GTTGAGGCCCCAGAGCCCATCACCATCCAGTGACACAGGCCCTGCCATTGGCCCAGGGGAGCCTGCCAGCCCTGGGAAATGACACGTGTCCGTGACTCCTAGCCACGCAGACTAGAGCCTGAGAGAGCAGGTGCCTGCTACCCGTGTGCCTTGTCCGTGGGATCAGACACATAAATTACCCAAGGCAGCCACCAAATACAGCCCTTCAAAGGGAAGCTTCTAGCCTGCTTGGGTCTTCCTGAAAACAGACTGACCATTGATGTGCTCTGTGTGTCCTTCCAACCACACTGCCCATCCTCATGGCTCAACAAAGTGCCATCAGTAAAGTACATCCAAGATGGAGCCCACCTGGACGCCAGGGGCCAGCTGACGCCATAAACAAGCAGCTGCTTTGCCAGGGGTGCACTCCCGCCCTCCCTTCGCCAGGTGGCGCCACGGCTCACAGATGTCCCAGCTGTAAACGCAAAGCTGATAGTCTTCTCCTTGCCACGGAAACCAGGCAAGAAAACTGCCCAATGGGCCAAAGTCCATATGACAATGGTGGCCGCACAGGCCGCTCCAGCAGCAACTTCCTGCCCTGTAGTTTTGGGCTCACAGGCCATTACAAACTGGTCGTTATATGGTCTGGTAACTGACAAGCTGTTAGTGGAACCATTAAGGGGTCCCCTGTGTGGGGACAGAGACTGTGACAACATCTGTGGATGGAACAAAACCCTATTCATCATTCATATTAATTGCCTATTACAAAGAATTATTAATGGCCCGCGGACCAAAGAGTCCCAGGTTCGATTCCAGCGAAGGGCATGTACCTCCGTTGTGGTTCGTCCCTGGCCTCGGTTGGGGTGGTGCGGGTGGCAACCGGTGGATGTGTCTCTCTCATGTCGATGTTTCTCTCTGTCTCTCCCTCCCACTCTGAAGATAAATGTAAAAATATCCTTGGGCGAGGGTTAAAAACAAAACAAAAAAGCAACAATGAAAATGCAAATGGAACTCACGAGGTAACCTAATGTGCTCAGCAAATAGTCATGACTGCCCATTGGGTCCACCACAGAAGGGACCACAAAAGTCCACCTCAGACAAAAATGGACAATATCACAAGGACCCACCTCCAAAAAATGGAAACCAGCTTGGCCGGTGTGGCTCAGTGGTTGAGCACTGACCCATGCACCAAGAGGTCGCCGGTTCAAGTCCCAGTCAGGGCACATGCCCAGGTTGTGAGCCAAATCCCCAGTGAGGGGCATGCAGGAGGCAGCCAGTCGATGTTCTCTCTCATCGATGTTTCTATCTCTCTCTCCCTCTCTCTTCCTTTCTCTCTAAAATCAATGAAGGAAAAAAAAAAACAATTAAAAAAAAAGTTGTACCCCAGCACTTAAAAACAAACCAATCAGCAAGCAAACAAAACCCCCCACAAAAGACGTGAGACCAAAGCCACAGCACTTTGTGTGACTCCTGCCAGCGAGTGCGGCCCATGCAACGTGGGGACCTGGGCCCCACACAAATGTGGCAAATTGACCACATCAGACTGCTAGTCTCGTCACGATCCCAGCGGCTTACCACGTGGACATCCGTTCCGGTGTGCCATGCAGACATAGACCACTGTCATGGCTTAGAAAAACACCTTTGCCAGACATTCAGATATCCAACAAAGCTCTCATCGACCGTGACACCATATTCGCAGCCCAAACAGCGCAGCGATGGGCTTCCTCCTGTGACGTGAGGTGGCGCTCTCCTGTCCCCAATCACCCCGACAGACAGAGCCAAATGGCACTGAAGTGCGTGGCTCAAGCAACAACTACACAGAGGCATCAACAAAACAATTTACCAGACAGTACCCTGCCTAAGGAAAGTCATTCAAACGTTAAACACCGCCCAGCACACAGTGGGCGAAACTAAACTGGGAGTGGCCGGAGGACCAGCAGTCACCAGACCAGGCTGCACGGGTGGAGTCCCAGCCTCAGTACACCTGATGGCTCTTTTCCTTTTCTCCCATTGGAGCACACTCCCTGGGGGTGACCTGTGCTCAGGGCCAAGCGGCGTCACCAGTACGGCCTCCCAATTCAAATGTGAGGCGGGTGCTGCCTCTTGGGTGCTTCCTTCCTGGGGGACCCACATGAGCGGTGGAGGGGACGAAGGAACATCAGGGCACTAGGGTTCCCGGGTCATGCGGGGACCTCTGACTCAAGTGGGTGATATAGGATATGTCCAGGTGTGACTATTCAGGGTGTGACTTCCCTCCCCAGGGTGATCGGGCTGAACGGTCTGGGTCAAGCAACAGGGGCAATGAAGAGGAGCAGGTTCCCGTGCCCACCTCGCCGCGCTCCTCGCTTACTTCCTCGGGGCTCATGGAGCACAGCAAGGTGGGAACGTGACCCTGTCTTCCTGCTCACGTGGAAATCTCCACCGGCCTGCCCCACGCACAGATACGAACGGGCACAGCCTGGGGCGAGGAGGCGAACTCAAACAATGCTGGGTCTGTCATCCCAGAATAAAGTCCCTCTCGTCCCACGATCCCATTTTAATGGCTTGGCCGGGACACAGCAACTGGACTTTCCTCTAGACCAGTGATTCTCAACGTGTAGGTCGCGACCCCTTTGGGGGTCGAATGACCCTTTCACAGGGGTCGCCTAAGACCTTTGGAAGACAAGTATTTCGGATGGTCTTAGGAACCGAGACACGGCTCCTCTATCGTCTCCACTACAACCTGAGGACCTGTAGTCAAGGGTCGCGGCATCAGGAAGGTTGAGAACCGCTGCAGACCAACAAGAACCACTGAATGCACAGACCCAGCAGCCCGCAATTACCTGCTGCAACAGGACGGCTTTGTGTTACTGCTGAGGCCTCTCGCTGTGGATCTATCAACAGTGCGGGTTTGGGGGTGGCTATCACCTGTGCCCCTGCAGTCCCCCAACTTCTTTTTGACCTCTTTCACTGGCTTAGTGCAGACACTGGGGGTTCTGGTGGGGGACCATCCTCCAGGGAAGCCTGATCACCGTCCTGGGTCTGGTCCTCCTAGTGACCCTGGTGAAGCCCTGTCTCAAAGTGACAAGGAAGCTCTGTGAACAGATTCCATCCGGTGGTTCGGGGGCGGGGCCGGCTCTGCCTACGCATCCGAGGCAATGGTGGTCCGCCCGCAGTGGTGTGCTTTACCTGCTGTTTCCGTGGCTGCGCAGGGTGGAGGGCGGCCGTGGGAAAGGCGGTCACATCTGAATGGGCCTCAGGCCTGGAACACTTCCTTCCTTGCCAAGAGGTAAAGTCCCCCTGGCCTGTGCTGCTCATCACCGGTCCTGCTTCACGCTGAGCGTGGACTCCTCCCTTCTGCTTCAGGGCAGGTGGCAGGGGCCCTCGGCTGTCTGTGTCTCCTCCCACTGCCGCCACATCACCCGCTGCGGCCTCGGGGGCCAGCAGGCCACGGGGGACGGTGCTTTACCAGGGGCTGGATCTCGTGCCCTCGCTGTCCTCTCTTGCTGTAAGGAAACCCTGCACCACTTGAGCCTGGGCGGCTGCTGCCTGTTCTCAGCAACCTCCTTTCTTCCACGGTCTTTTCTCCGGGCGGCCGTTATCTGCCTTCTGACCGTGGCCCCACAGCCTGGCCACCCAGTGACCAAGGAAACAGTCCCAGGCAGTCGCGGACTCCCATTTCCGGGATTTTCTGGGATTCTGTAGGGCGACTGCTTGTTGTGACAGCATTTACTTCTTGTAGGTACTCACTGTTCTTGGCACTGCTGTGTCAACTGCCATCCCCCCAGCTCCCATTTCCATATATATATATATATATATATATATATATATATATATATATATATTTTAATGTATTATTTAAATACATATATATATTTTATATATATATATATTTTTAATCCTCACCCGAGGATATTTTCCATTTATTTTCAGACAGAGTGGGAGGAAGAAGATAGAGATCGATGTGAGAGAGAGACATCAATTGGTTGCCTTCCCCATGACCCTGACCAGGGCCAGGGACCAAACCACAACCAAGGTACATGCCCTTGACCGGAATCAAACCTGCGACTCTGGTCCACGGGTCAATGCTCTAACCACTGAGAACCAGCCAGAGTCAGTCAAGGACATGGCATTTGGTCTTTTCCAAGACTCAACCTGTCATTACTGTTGAGTCCTTAGCACCAAGCACCGTATCCAGCACATTGTGGGCATGCAAAGGCTTTATGAGTCAAAGAATTATTAGAATCTGCTACAATTCGAGGTCAATCATTTTCTGAGAATGTCTTTAACATCCATGGTTGGGTAGGGTTTAAAAGTGTAGCAGGGATGGCCAACAGGCGGCTACTAGGGGACCTCAGGTGAGATTATGGTGGTTACTTCTAATCTGTTGGAGCAGACAATTCACTACCCTAGCGCTCCACCTTTAAAATTCTTTTTTTCTTCTATTATTTCTAGCTCTTCTCCAAGCTCGTATTTCTAGACATCAATTATAGCCTCCACACCCAGTCATCAGATGGCTGCCCTCTGTTCCTCTGCAAGGGTGACCAACCAGAACTCGGGTCATTTGCCTTGAGTTCCAGGAGAGAAGCTCATCATTCCAGAACACAGAGTTCTGACTTACCTCCAGCTCTTCCCTGACCACCCCCGCCCTGGCCGATCCCCCCATTACGTGTCCTCAAACCTGTGTCTACTTCCTTTGCAGCCCTTGTTGGTTTGTCCTGCTTTGTTCTGGAAATCTTGATGACGCCTGCACTGAATTTTAAGCTCCATGAGGCCGGGGGCCGCAGCTGTCTCCTCTGCTGCCCCCCAGCACTCTGCACCGTGCTGACAGGGAGGTGTGCTGACCGCCTGCGTGATGGCTGCACACTGCGGGTGTGTGCAGAGGAACAGCTCCCGAACCCTCCTCACACACCACTCGCCTTACTCCGCTGCCCGGGCAGACGCTCTGCTGCCCGAGGAGAAAGCAGGAATTAGTGAATTTTTGGGGGACTAGCTTTCTAAATTTGGCTCAAAATGTGAAAAAGTGAACACCTGACATGAAATTAATTTATAAATCAGTTTATTTACAGATTTTTATCTTTTCTTAAAGTACATTTCAGTTAACAAATCTATTTACACTGGTGTACATAGGAATTCATCCCAGTTATTTTACAGATCATACTTACAAACCACACCCTAAGTCTTGTGTGCAAAGCTGCACCAGATGGGACTATTGGCTGAAATGGCCTGGTGAGCAGGCTATTTACACGTACACAGTAAACGGGCTTGTTTTAATGTCTGCACAATACAGTACACACGGAGGCCGGGCCTCCCAGAGCGCTTTGCAACGTGTTTCCCGGGAAGGCTTTGCAAAGTCCAGAAGGAAAAGCTATTAAACATGGGTTAATTAAAATGACAGTACCTCCTTTACATCAGTTTACATTGTTTTCTTCACATTTTTATAATACAAAGATATTTTATTGGATTGCTGCACAACCAGTTTAAGATGATTTGTAAACATGTAAATTCCTACAGTTTGCATTAAACATCATTGTAGTTTCTATCATTTGCTCTTTGAATTAATGTTTTATTCACTAGTATTCCTAAGGTAGTAAAAGAAGATGTAAGTTCAAACTTCTTGCAGAAGAGCTGAGTCTCTAATGCTGTGTGAGTACACACTTCATTCAAGTATTGCAAAAAGCTAAGGCCACTTTTTTCAAGACAAGAAAGTGAACAAAATTGTTTTTATCAATAGGCCACAACACTCTTATGAGCAATGAAATCTCTTCTGAAAGATAATTTCTCAGAGACCTGTAGTCACAGAAGGAATTTTCCTTTCTTTTAGGTAAAAGAAAAACAAATTACCTTCCTTATTAACTACTTTTGAGCTTTTCCCACTTTTCCCTAGAGTAAAAATTCCTGTTTAGACCTGAAGAGGGAATCGATACCCTGTACTTAGTTAACCCAGAGTCAAGCACCCTGGATAGCACAAATTGTTTTGGACTCAGAAGTAAATCTGAAGCCTGTATGTTGGTTTACTACTAAATTCTGAGTGCTATTCTAAAAGATATTACTGCTGATGCAAAGATCTTTTTCTCAGAGGAATCATGAAGAAAGTGAAAGAGGATGGGAGCGTGGGGAGAAGGAACAAAGATTACAAAGAGGGAACATTTAGATTTGTGGTTACGAGGCAGAACTTGATTAAAAAGATCCCAATATGGAACAAGAGGCTGGGTATCCATATTTATCTCTCCAATCCTAAAAATAAACCCCTTTCAATTATGTCCAAATGATTAAAATGATAAGAAATCTGCTAATTATAGATTCCTTTGTTTTCTGCTAGCAAACTATGGATAATCACTTCCAGCCAGGAGTAAGACTGGTCAGGAATGCGTCTCATCTGGAGCCCGGACTCCCGGGTGGTGAGGACGGCGGGCGTGTCCGGGCTGCTGCCCCCGTGCTCTGGGCAGCACCCTCCCCGGGGCACTCTGGGCCCAGGTGCCGATTCCACGGACTTACAGTATTTCTTTCCTTTTCTGGAATCATAATGTTATAAAGAATAAAGATAAACTTTCTTATTAAAAACTGATTTAGGTCCAAACAATGAGGATGTAAAAAAACAACCTATATTCCTATTATATTATCTTTATATTCCTTTATAAAAAATTTACAGCAGCTGTAATGTTTCAGTATCCTAAGGACAATGTTATCCTACAAACAGCCAAAGGATGTAGACAAGAAGACCTGCTGTCTTCCAAGCTGGAAAGAGAGCCTCTGCTTCCCCTTGGCCAGTGAAAATGCATCTCCACACTACTGGTTAACAACCCAGAAGCCCCAGCTTCTCTTAGTTCATTTGCTCATATGGCTACGAGACTAGAGCTCAGCATCCAAAGCCTAGAAGAAATGCTGGCAACACATCGATCTGAGCGGTTCCCAAGATCCAATCACCACATTGAATCAGTGCTTTCCTTATTTGTCAAGAGCTATCATACCAGTCATTGTGCAAAATGCAAATAGTCCAATGTTATTTCAGTAAGTCTCGCATAATGACAAGATGAAACCAAAAAGGAATGGAAGTGTGCATAGTGAGCATTGGAGACGCAAAGGCAGGTTTGGAGGAAAGATGCAGAAATGAATGAACGTGCACACGTAAAGATTATACCGTCTTTGGGGTTTTTCTAACGTGTTGAAGCTATAACATTCCAGAATCTCTGTAAGTAGAAATGCAGTGGATGTCTTCTATCATGCTTCTAATTGGGACCTTCGACATTAAGGCATTTACATTCACGCCTAAGATTATCCACATTCTTCTAGATACTTGAAGGACAGGACTGATTAGGAACCAGTCAGGAAGGCAGGGCACTGTGGTCCCGGAGAGCATCGGGCGGCTCTCATGTAGCAGCTGGAGTCTAGATCACTTCTCAGACACAAGTAATAGTTGTGAGAAGCAACACATCAAGAGAGGCAGAACTGAATTTTACAATGTCTTTAAATCACTTTATCCCATTCCTGCTTCCGCAGGGGATCTTGGAAAAGCGATCTTCTCTTCACCGAACTAAAACGCCTTCTTCAGCATTTGTGTGGGTTTAAAACTGCAGGTTTCCTGTGCGAAGACCACGACCAGAGAGGCTTCAAGATGGAGTGGAACTATTGTAAGGAGGGTATTTTGCTTCTGAATAGGGACACACATTTTCAGCTTAATAATTTATCTTAAAATAAATTAAAAAATGTTCTGTAGCACAAAACAAGCACACAAACAACAGACAGTATCTTTTTGTCTTTGGTGCACACACTCATTTCCTAAATCATTCAAGTAACAGCATCTCTGATTTCTCGGGGAGAGATGGGAGCTGGAAGTTTGAAGGCCAAAATGAATGGCTTCCACTGCTGCCCGGATGCCTGAGATGTCCTGAGGGTCTGTGACTCTGGAGCAGCAGCAGAGGTTCAGAAGAGTAAGAAAAGTGTGGGGCAGACAAGAGGCAGAAGAGCCAGCCCTGCATCGATGCTTTGAGCCCAGTCTTCAGTGAGGGCATTTCTTTGTTCTTGTGCCCATATAAAGAAAACTAAAAACCATGCGAAGGTTCACGACTCTTGAAAATGGTGCTGATTAAGCAAGGCTGCCACTAATCTCTGTTAGCCTGCAGTCTGCTTGATGCTGCTCCACTACAAGGGAAGAGAATGGTCTTCGAACAGAAGCGAAACGAACTCCAGAATGTGCAACAGGCACTCACTATCAAACCTGCCTATTTAGAAGTAGTTGAGGGTTTAATACTGTTTAGAGACTATTACGGACCAGGGTTACATTTTAAAAATGGCATGATGCATTTATCTATATGCCTCTCCTGCCTGACTTCAGACTGAGAAGTGATACCCTAATCTAAGCTACGAGGTAAGTCTGGAGTTTTCAGCCCTCATCTGAGACCCAGTAGGGGTGCTAACAAGAGGTGTAGAATTATACTGTGTATCAACATCAGGCGGGCAACCCTGCCCACTGAACATCAACAATTATCCAGTGGACAGTCTCTAAAGGCAGAGGCTGCAATACCAGATATACTGCATCGTCCCGTGGGCTCCAAACCAGTCGTCTGAGAATAGGTTCCCGGTCCAGAAGCGCTCTTGCTGTGATGGAGATGGGGGTGTGGGTCAGGAGGCAGAAAGGCCTAGGACTCATATTAGCACTCAGTGTTCGATTTATTTGCAAGATGTCACACAAGGAGCACTCTCCCCTGTTTTTCACTGATTTGGTTCAGAACATCAATAGTATCTCTGATCAAGGTCTCAAAGATTCCATCAGCTAGCTGCATCTTCACACACAACTCATCCTCATCATAGTTCACCCACTGGGCCTCCTCCTCATGGAGCTCCTGGACCTAGAATTTAGAAAACACAAGTTAGAAGTTACCATAAAAGCTACAAAACTTTTTATATTTGTTGACTTTGTAGTCCCATCCATGGGAGTAGAGGCTGAGGAAATAAGCCAGAAAAAAAAGAGTAAGTTATATGATATCAACACCCCTTTCAAAGTTGCAAAAAGTATGAAAAGACTCAATTGCCAGCCCGGCCGGTGGGGCTCAGTGGCTGAGCATCCCAAGAAGTTGCTGGTTGGATTCCTGGTCAGGGCACATGCCCAGGATGTAGGCCTGGTCCCCAGTGGGGGGCATGCAGGAGGCGGCCAATCGATGTTCTCTCTCATCGATGTTTCTATCTCTCTCCCTCTCCCTTCCTCTGTCTCTAAAATCAATAAAGAAAAAAACAAAAAACTCAATTGCAAAATAAAAGTAGCTTCAAAATTGTCACAATGGCTTCAATCTGTCAAAATGGATTTGACAACATTCCCGTATTTATAGTTGGGAAGAACTGCAAGCACGTTGTCTGTGTTCACAGAAGATAATGTGTACGAGAACTTAAGGGGGCGAGAAGAAAGCAAATTATTACTTATATGGTTTCACAATTATAAAATGCATATATCCAAAGATAATATTGGATGTGACTCTGGAGTATAATAATAAATGAATAAAATTAATATTCATTAGAGTATTTTTAAAAATGTACTATCGCTTAAGCTTATATTTTTAAAAATCACTGTTATACAATACTTGTATCTTTTGCATTTTAGGATTTGGGGATTCCTATAGTAAGCCCCAAACTAATCAAATTAGATCTGCCCAAAATTTTTGCTTGTTTACAATAAATATATTAGCCCTGGCCAGTATGGTATAGTGGTTAGAGCATTAGCCCTCGCAATGAAGGGTCATGGATTCGATTCCTGGTCAAGGGCACATACCTGGGTTGCAGGTTCGATCCCTGGCCTCAGTTAGGTTGTGTGCTGGAGGTAACCAATCAATGTGTCTCTCTCACCAATGTTTCTACGTTTCTCTTTCTCTCTCTTCCCCTCCCTCCCTCCCTTCCACTCTCTCTAAAATAAAAAATCAACAGAAAAAAATATCCTCAGGTGAGGATTAACAACAAAAACATAATAGAATTATTATATGTAATGATATCACTGAGATGGAGGCTAGGTGGAGAAGGTAGATTGTAAACCCTGATCTAGTCCCAAACTCAGCAGTTACTGCAGTGAGGGGGTCTCTAGCCAGAAGTCTAACTTGGCAAAAAAGTCATGTGCCAACAAGCTCCCGAGTCGCCCTGATCACAGTTGCATCTGGAAAAAGGCAGAGAAAGTTAAGTGGGGAATTGTCCCCATCACAAGGAAATGAGAAGACTCTTGGGAAGAAGAAACCACATCATCCAGGAGTCTGGGCGAGTGCTTGTTTACAATAAATATATTAGCCCTGGCCAGTATGGTATAGTGGTTAGAGCATTAGCCCTCGCAATGAAGGGTCATGGATTCGATTCCTGGTCAAGGGAGGAACAGCACTGGCCAACACATACCCTTGGCCAGGGTTGACAAGTACATGTCAAGGGAGCTGCTCCATTCTTTCTCTTTAAGGGGGCTGTTTGAAGGACATGTAAATACTCATTCCTTCATTCTCTAAAATGCTCCAGGAACAGAGATGCCACCCAAAGGCTTCTATGGTCAAACACGTTTCAGAACACTGCCTCTGCGAGTTTCGCAATGGACACTGGCCTATTCAAGAGAAGTCCACCAGGAAAGGAACTTGTTTAACTCAGAGTTCCCTGTATTTATCTGATCAAAGAATCATTCTGTGCGAATGTACAAGAAATATTTTCACCTACCAGAACCCAATGCTCCTCTCTTATGAAGAACACTATATGTGCCCTGGCTGGTTTGGGTCAGTGGTTAGAGCATTGGCCTGTGGTCCAGAGAGACCCGGGTTCGGTTCCTGCTAAGGGCCTATACCTTGGTTGCAGTCTGTCCCCGGCCCTGGTTGGGTTGTGTGGGTGGCAGCCACTCGATGTGTTCCTTTCACGTCGATGTTTCTCTCTCTCTCTCTCTCCCTCCCACTATCTGAACAAAATATCGAAGAATGTCCTTGGATGAGGATAAAAAAAACAAAAGAAACAAAAAAACACTACATGAAACAGCCTAATGCAACAATGCCCAAGCTGGTGCTGAGGGAGAACCAAGTTGTGGGAAAACTAATAGGTGTGTCCCCATAAAACATTTCACACCTCCCATGAATTTATTTGCTCAAACAAAGTTGTTATCTCAGCCTTTGGCATTAAATCTGTTTTTTGAGCAATTTCCTCCCCAGTATCAACATTTACAAAGCAATGTCCTAATGAAATTGTTTTTGCCCTTATAATAGAAAGACCTCTCAGGGTACCCCCGATGAGCCCCCACAGTGCTCTCATCAGTATCAGCAAAAGCTTTGCTCCTCCTTAAGAACAGAAACTGTTTCCGTCTCAGCCGGCGAGAACTAACATGTTTTCCTTCTCGTTTTGGCCACCAGAAAGCACAAAGCTTGCCCTGGCTGGTTTGGCTCAGTGGTAGATCATCAGCCCACAGACCAATGAGTCTCGGGTTCAATTCCGGTCAAGGGCATGTACCTCGGTTGCGGTTCATCCCTGGCCCTGGTCAGGGTCGTGCAGGAGGCAACCAGTCGATGTGTCCCTTTCATGTCGATGTTTTTCTCTCTCCCTTTCTCTCCCTCTCTCTCCCTCCCTCTCTATCTGAAGATAAATGGAAACACATCCTCGGGTGAGGATTTAAAAAAAAAAAAAAGAAAGCACAAAGCCCAACTTGGAACTTCAACTATGGCAACCAAGGGATCTTATAGCCTGCAAATTTGCCTCCATTTTTTTATTTCTGGTGTTTACAGTCTATTCTATTACAATTTCCCTGCTCCTGAAGATGTATGTATATAAATTAATGTATGTTATATAAAAATTAGATTACATTAAAAGTCAGTGTAACAATAACATAATTTTCCTTTTTCAGCAGGGTTATTAGCTGGTAGAAGAGATAAATGTGAGAAATGCAATGTAGCCAGACTTTAGCAGACTTTTCCACCATATCCTTTTGAACAACATGGGGAAAGAGAGACATCAGTTCGGTGGATCTGTACTTTTTATTTTTTTATTTTTTTTTATTTTCTTTGTTCAGATAAGAGTGGGAGGGGGAAAGAGAGAGAGAGAGAAACATCGATGTGAAGGGGACACATCGAGTGGCCGCCACCCACACAACCAACCAGGGCCGGGGACAAACTGCAACCGAGGTACGTGCCCTTAGCGGGAACCGAACCCGGGTCTCTCTGGACCGCAGGCCGACACTCTAACCGCTGAGCCAAACCGGCCAGGGCGATCTGTACTTTTTTGATGAAAGAACAAGACAACTATCAACCTGGAAGGAAGTACTGCCTGCAGGACTCAGGAGCTTCTCCCTGTGTCCCGATCTCTCTTGTTCCTGCTCCACCGCAGTAGTTACCCCACGGAACTGCAGTCTGTGAGCTCCTCAAGACTGTTCTTTTTATTTACGATCCCCCGTGACCAGGACGGTGTTACTATCTGGCATATGGTTTCGAGTGCTGAAAGGCTGTCTTTAGCTCTGTCCAGTTCACCAATGTTAGCAATGACCCAGATGAAGGCAGGCACATCAATTTTAGAGACACATGAAGCTGGGAAATTCAACAACTATATTGGGAAAAAGAACCCAAAAATGTATTGGTAGCTTGGAATGATGGGCCAAATTTAACAAGATGAAGTAATAAAATAAGGCCCTGTACTTGGGTCCAAAAAATAACTACAAAGGCACAGGTTGAGATTTTGGTCTTGGAGTTTTCCTAAGCTTTTTTGAGTCCTTTGAGAATAACATAGATGAAAATAAACAAAGCAAATGTGATTATAAATTGTATTAATCAAAGTACAGTCATGTGCTGCTGAAGGACAGGGATATGTTTCGAAAAAATGTGTCGCTAAGTGATTTCATCTTTGTGCAAACATCACAGAGTGCACTTACACAAACGGGGATGATATAGCCACTATACACCCAGGCTACATGGTCTGGCCTGTTGCTCCCAGGCTATGAGCCTGCACAGCCTGTTACTGCACAAAACAAGTTTAAATCAAGCACAAGAGAAAATGATGCAGTCAAGAAACTTGGTAAACTGGAGATGTATGAGGCATACTGTCTTACAGCAAACTTTTTTTATGAGTAGAAAGAGTGTTCTCTAAAATAACAATAAAAAGTATAGCACAGTAAATACGTATACCATTAACATAGTATGTACTGTACATACTTACATGTATGTACATCGTAGGTTTGTTTACACCAGCATTACAACATGTGAATAATGTGCTACCACATCTATGATGTCACTAGCAATAGGAATATTTCAGCTTCATTATAATCTTCACACACACACACACACACACACACACACACACACACACACATATATTTTTTCTTTTAGATAGAGGGAAGGAAAGAGAGAAACATCAATGAAAGAGAGAAACATTAATTGGCCGCCTCCTGCATGCCACTACTGGAGAACTGAGCCCACAACCCAGGCATGTGCCCTGACTGAGAATCGAACCGGTGACCCCTCAGTGCATGGGACAATGTGCAACCACTGAGCCATTATAATCTTATGGAACCATTGCTCTATACCGGTCCTTTGTTGACTGACACATCAGTAGGTGGTGCATGGCAGTACAGTATACAGGAAAAGGAGGAGGGTGTATGACTGTACTAATTTAAACAACACACAAAATATTAAATGGTCAATTCTGAGCACTGTATTCAAAGAGGGGCACTGACAAAGAGCTAAAGCTGACAATGTAGAAGAAACCCTATCATTTTGCAGATAGGGAAATGAGGCACAAAGAGATTAGTTAGATGATTTGTCCAAGAGTACACTCCAAGTAAGTGGCAGAACAGGAATTTAAACTTAAGAGTCTACACTGGTCTCTTCTCAATTCATTTCCTTAAACTTTGCTTCCTTAACTTTTTTTATTTCTCAAGTTCTCCACACCCACAAAATATTGTTAAGTTAAATACTCATCTACTGAGTTCAAAAGAAAGCAGTTTCCAAAACTGCAGAGCAGAAATGCAGCAAATGAAAGCTTTACAACTTTACTATTACAGACTTACGATCAACTCTATTCCCTTTCCTTTTAGAATCTAACTGCAGCCTGGCCGGTTTGGCTCAGCGGTTGGAGCGTCGGCCTGCAGTCCAGAGACCCAGGTTCAGTTCCCGCTAAGGGCGTGTACCTCGGTTGCAGTTTGTCCCCGGCCCTGGGTGGTTGTGTGGGTGGCAGCCACTCGATGTGTCCCTTTCACATAGATGTTTCTCTCTCTCTCTCTCTCTCTCTCTCTCTCTCTCTCTCTCTCTCTCTCCCCCTCCCTCCCACTCTATCTGAACAAAAAATGTAAAAAAAATGTCCTCAGGTGAGGATAAAAAAAGAATCTAATTGCATTCTGGTTTCAGAAGATATGGTCAAAATAGAAACAGCTCAGTTATATATACTGACCAGGATGTGATCCACTCGGTCTCTTTTCTTTCTTCCAAATTTCATCATTTTCTGCCAATCTGTTTTGTGGTTTGGCTCCTTTTTAAGACTGAACAACTTGAGTACTTCTGTTGCTATGAAGTTCTGTAAAAATAAGAGGAATGAATAAAACACAAACAAAGTTCCTGAGATTTCATGTTTATAATGCAACAAACAGATTTATGCTAAGAATATAACAACTGTAATAAAGAGTATACAGATTTCTTCCACTTACAGTTCCACTTAGCAATTTGAAGAGAAAAGCATTCCAAAACTCAGACTTTATTCACTTACAAAATGTTTGTTTTTACACAACATAAAAAACTAAAACCCATTGATAAATCTGCAAAGAAAACTCACTTTAAGAGTCCCCTCTACCCAAGAACTACTGATTTCAAGCTGGCAAAATTATTCAAGATAGCATAAAATAAATCTCTGATCCTGAAAAATCCAACAAAAATTTGGGAACAATGCCAGGTGAATAAGTACAAGGCTTTGGCTAGGATTATTTTGAAGCACCAAGATTCAACATGTTAATATTTAAAAATATTAATCAACCTTCAGTATAAGAAGCATAGTAATTTTACTGCTAACAATATATGAACTATCATCTTTTAAAAAGAGTGACTGTTTTTCAATATTAAAATTAGTGGGGAGCATCACTGTGTATTATATTGATATATGCACTCTGATATTGCTGATATACATTATGTAGCTTGTCTTATTTTCAACTTATTTGTTCTTTGTTATTAATAAAATAATTTGGATTTTTGTTACTTTTTAAGTATATTTAAAGTCTATTAAATATATGTTTAAGTCCATATATTATTACTTGTTTAAAAACAATGTTCTTAATGGAATAAAGGGCACATTTATGAATCAGAAGCATTTTGTGATGATTCTCAAATCAGTGTGTCCCCAAATTCCATCAGCTGTGGAGGGCTAAAGAAAATAAAGCATACCAGTGTTGTTGTTTTTTAAACTGACTTTTAGATAGAATGGGAGGGGAGAGAGAGAGAGGAGAGAAACATCGATGTGAGAGACACACCAAATGGTTGCCTCCCACACAACTCCAACCAGGGCCGGAGATCGAACCGCAACTGAGGTATGTGCCCTTGACTAGAATTGAACCCTTGACTCATTGATCCACAGGCCAACACTCTAACCACTGAGCCGAACCGGCCAGGGCAGTATACATACTAATGTTTTAAGAAAGCTCCCCAGGTGGTTCTGATATTCCTCAAAGTTAAAAATCATTTTAAAAGTTTTTCTTAATGAATCAAGTTAATCTTTGAAAACTTTTTTTTTTGCTCTTTACCTTAGTCTAAGCAAGTGTTAGAAAAGTTTTTCTGTAAAGGGCCAGATCATAAATACATTTTTTTAATCCTCACCTGAGGATAGTTTTCCATTTATCTTCAGATAGAGTGGGAGGAGGAGTGAGGGAGGGAGGGAAGGAGAGAAAGGGAGGGGGGGGGAGAGAGAGAGAAACATTGATGTGAGACAGACACATCAACCGGTTGCCTCCAATACCAATAAGATGAGTAACTAGAGGTCTGCTCTCTAGAAAATAAAATTTAAAAAAAGCTTTCTATGATCAACTAAGTTTGGAAAACACACCTCTAGAGCCTTGCTACTCAGAGTGGTCCTAGAATCAACATCAGCATCACTGGGGAGCTCGGCAGAAATGCAGAATTTCAGGTTCTACCACACACCTACTGAGTGAGAATCTCCATTTTAATAAAATGCCTAGACGATTCATATGCACATTCAAGCCTGAGAGGCACTGCACTGAAAATACAGCCTTTGATGAATTAAAGAAATGTGTCAAAAGAGAATTTTCACCAATGTCACTTTAAAGTTGGTTTGTTAGGAGTCATTGTAGCTTCAGGGAACTTCATCTTTTCAGGGGCTTCTCAGATAACAGTATTTTTTATGTATCATATTACTATCCCACATATTTCAAAACCACATTACCAAGTGGAAACCTCCAATATCAAATATGGAAAGGTAACACCTATGAGTCTAGGGTGAGCATGTTTGATACATGACACATATTTTAGGTGTACTTCTAGAATATTATACTCATCTCTACCAAAAACTCACCTAAAATACCTGAGATGCAATAATTAACCTCTGAGAATTTCCTAATTTTTTTCTTAGACAAATTGTACACACACACACACATATACAAATGACTATTTGTATGACTATTTATACAGTCATTTATATATATACATATATATGACTATATATACACATATATATATTTTATTTGGAAAATCTTGAGGATTCAGGATCCTCTCACCCCGCCCTCCACTCCTCATGGAGTCAATGAAACAGTGCTTAGTGAATGTCCACGATGGGACGGGCCTTGAGAACAGGAAGGTAAATGATAACAGAGGACCTGCTTTTACAGCATGTATAGATCTGTGCAAATAAACAGCAAGTCAAAAAGGAGATACTCTATGGTTTGCAGTTTACCTTGATTTCATCAAGGCTATCTGGGTTTTTCACTCGTCGGAAATAACTAGAGTTGATTCTGCATGGTTTCATCCAGACAGGTTGATTCAAGTTGGGATCCTCAGCAAATATTTCTTCAAAAATCTCTTTTGTTAAATCAAAAACCGCCTTGACAGAGAAAAATAAAACAAAATAAAATGGCTGAGAACCCGAAGTTCAGACGAGAGAGAGGTTTAAAAGTTAGAATTATCCTCCATGTCACATACCTGTGTGTAGACCCTTTTACTAGTGCTTTCTATATCCAGACCCTTACTGGCACAGCCAAGCAGCTTTAGAGGAATACTGATGCTATGAAGATCATGACCCAATTCTTTCCATTTCCAAAGTTCTTCTGCTGCACTGTGTACAAGAACTTCCACTTCCTCTGCAGTATGGGGGACGGCCAAGAGTGTTTCACACGGCTTTTGGAGAGCTCTTTTAGGTTCTGCCATTAGAGGTACAATGGTTTCTTCTGCCTTATTTTTTTGGATCTTGTGAGAAGAGCTCAAACCAAAATCTTCGTCAAACCAGTCTTGATCCTCCCCCAGCACGCTCAGGAGCTCCCGGCTGATCTCAAGTTCAGCAAGCCTCTTAGCAAGCTCTTCCTGCCCACTGGCACCAAGCACCGGACTTTCCTGCAGGAATGGAACCATCAGATAGTACACCACCTAGTGACCTCAGATCACTTAAGTTTTTTTTAAGACAAATATATTATTTGTATATTCACTATATCTCTAATAAATAAGCAAAACAAAAACCATATGGTGGCTACTAATGAACAATTTAGGAAAAAACTATCCTGTTTCCTATAATTCTGCTTCCATAAGCTAAATTTTTATAAAGTGTTTATTGATTAGTTTTTGTTTCCTTTTTGTATCATCATTATTCTGTTTCTGTAGATCTGTCCTGTCTCTGTGATATGGAGATGGGATATGAAATTTCTCACCTTTAATGACTATCTGGCTCAAGTTACTCAAAATCATTACTTTTGTTCAACTGCCCATGGACAACTGTAAACAAGTTGATGGTCTGAGTATATGTCATAGTGGATATGATATTGATTCTGGTAAAACTGAATTATAACTGGTAATCTTTGCAGAACAACTATAACTGAGTATATATGGAGACAAATTATTTCATAAGCAAAGAAAAAACAAACTGGGTTGAGAACCACTGGAAAGCTCCATGGGAAAAATTTGTTCAATGAATCTGAAAGGGAATCTGAAATCTGTGGACACTATTCAAGGGTTGTCAATCCAGCATAAACTTGCCAGTGTTTGTGACAACCTTACAGTGACCACTCATGACATAATAGAGGACAATTATACTTTAGATAGAAAAATAGTTACAAGGCCTTTAAAAACTAGTAGTGATCTTCACCTACTAAACAACATGTCACCAAAAAATCTGAAATTAAAATGCACTACAAAGGTAAGGTTTATTGATATTTCTTTTAGGCAAAATACTTACAGGTCTGGGACACATATCTGGTGAGGAAATCTCTTCTTTTTCATCTTCCAATTCAGATGTTAAGAAGCCACCTGGAGCACCGGGTGAAGGCTCCTCCTGAGTCTGGGCTAGGCCTTGGCATGCTACTTTCTTTTGATCATCATCACAAAGCTCTTGATTGCTGAGCTGGATTTTCTCATTCCTAGCTTTTTTAATTTGTTGTAGCTGACTGACTGTGTCTGTCACAAAGACTGTCAGTAAACTATCTGTTAGCAAGCTGACTGTTTCTAGTTGCTGCTTTGACTTTTTTTCCTCACTTAGTGATGACCTCAGTTGGGCTTCCAATTGATTCTTTTCTCTTGTTAAAAGGTCCAGAAGTGGGGTAGAAAACTTTTCTGAAACCTCAGGATACAGGTTCTCTTCCTTTTCTGTAAACTGCTGTTGCTTCTTTAACTCTTCAGAAAAGGTATTGTCTAAAGTATCGTCTTCTACAGCAATGGAAACCTCTTCTGTGGCACCAGAAACAAGGTCTTTGTTTTCCTTTGAAAAAATTAGTAAATCCACTGGAGACTGCTGCTGAACATGGGCTTCAAGTACCCCAGAAATGTCCTGTACATTGTCTGTTTCTATTTTAAGGCTTCTATCAACTGAGGGTTCTTCACTGGGTATGCTAGGTAAAGATTTCTCATATAAATATTCAATTGCATCCTTTTTTCTATCAAATGTGAGACCCTCTGTATCTTTTTGTTCTTGGTTATTGTATTGATATTGTTCATCTGGATAACAGTCTTCATCTTCATTTATGTCTACATAGTCTTCAAAGGTTTCTGGAATATGAGATATTTTGGGGGGAGGAGCAAAAATACCATGCTTCTCTTTGCACACAAAGTATACAATACCATCATATGTTCCATTGTTATTTCCTTCAGGTTTATCCAGTTCCACGCCAGCCCAAAATCCTTTAGCAAAACTAGTCACACCTTTGAATCGAAGAATTCCTGGTTGAACATTGCCAATCAACACCCTATCACCGATGTGGAAATCAGGTAACTCATCTGCAACAGGAACTGAAGCGAAAGAAGAGGATTCAGTAACTCTCTGTTCATGTTCTACATCACTGCGCTCTTTACTTTTCATGAGCTCAGTAGGGGACTTGAGTTCTAACAGCCTTTCGGAGTGGATATTGCTATGAATAGAAAGGCTTTTGTCACTGAGGCACTCGCTAATTTCATCATCAGTACCAAAGCTATTGGCTTTACTGTTAGAGCTTCTTGTTGGTTGTAACTTATCTTGGCAAGACTGAGAGTTCTTCCTGAGTGACAACAAAGACGATACCTCAAAGTCATCTTTGCACAATTCAGCTGAAATGTCTTTCTTGAAAGAAGACACTTCAAAATCTTCAGGGAATGATATCTCTTTAGGAGCAAAAAGATGTTCTGACGAAGACAAGTCCCTTTCCTTTATGTTCTTTTGTTGATGAATATCTCTTTCTGATTGGATGTTTCGACTATGATGCATATCTTGACCTGACTGTCTCTCTTTCAATTCTTTTTTATTAAGATTTTCAATGGCTAATCTAACTAAGTCTTTCTGAACATTTATAGCATCTAAAGAAAGATCTTTCCTTGAAAGAATTTCAGATGAATCTCCCTGTTCCAGGTCTAGTTTTAGTAAGACATCAGACTTCTGAGGTTCTTTAAAATAGGCTTCTTCAACCACACTGTCCTCCAATTTTGTGTATTTTACTTCTCGTATTTCTGATTTTTGACTAGCTTCTTCTTCAACCTTGGCATCTGGCACATCCAGAATTCTATTAGGGGCATTTAATTCTTTGGGAAGAGATAATGAAGGTATATTTTCTACAGAATCTCCAGATTCTGCTCTGATTTTCCTTGATGATCTAAGAATTGGAGACGAAGTCTGAAAATGCTCTTCTGTTCGACTGTCCAATTCAATCACTCTCTTTGCATAAGCAGATAGAGACCTTTCTGATACAGATCTCTCAGAACCTGCCAATACAGCATCTTAAAGAAAAAAGATCACATAAAAATTATTTAATCACATCTCTATTTCTGGACCCAAAGTTTAAACAAAAGCCAAACCTAGTGAGAAAACACTTAGGTCAATAAATATAACCTGTTTTGGTTACTATGATGTAAGGTAAGTTTTTCCTTTAAGAGAATATACCATATCAACAATAAACAAACATTTAAAATGACTAAAAATTTTAAATTGGAACACTTTCTTAAGTGTTATCCTAACTTATAAAGTGAAGAAAAATGTATCTAAGTTTATGAAGGCTTTGATTTGCATGATCACTCTCAAATCATGCAAAAACAGAGTTCTGTGACAAATGTTCTATGCATTCTTTTTTTTCCCCTTTATTGATCTGAGAGAGAGGGGAACATTGATGATAGAGAACATCAATTGGTCGCCTCCTGCATGCTCCCCACTGGAGATTTGGCCCACACCCTGGGCATGTGCCCTGACCAGGAATCGAACTGGCGACCTCTTGGTGCATGGATCGATGCTCAACCACTGAGCCACACCAGCCAGGCGATGCATTCTTCAAATAGGAAAACAATGAAGGAGGGGTAAATACACTTCAATATACACTTCTAAAAGAATGAATTTTCCTAGGGATTTTAACTAAGCTCTTGAATATAAAAAATGAAAAGAAAAAAGATCAACTATTTCTGCAAATATAATACTTTAAGAGCTAAAATTGCAAAAGAAGAGGAAAATAAGATTTGATGAGCTAACAAAGAAGTAAACGTTTTGAATTCAAATTGTTATTTCATCACTGTTACTAGGCAAGCTTTTCATGCCTCTGTTTTATTTCCTCATTGACTGATACTTTATTTTCAATAATTCCTATCTTTCTTTGGATTAAATGGAAATTATATATATATTTATTTATATGTATATAAATATATATGTATATAAATATAACCACTTACCCTGAAAAACAGTATAGACTGAAAATATACATAATAAAAAAAAATCTGATTAAGGGGGAATATAGAGATGCTGATGATATACTCAGTCATTTTAGATTATCTTCATGTCTCAGTTTTAAATAATAAATTTAAGACAATAAAGACTGATTCATAGCCTGGCTGGTGTGGCTCAGTGGATGAGCATCGACCCACACACCAAGAGGTTGCAGGTTTGAATACTGGTCAGGGCACATGCCCAGTATGTGGGCCCAATGCCCAGTTAAGGGGCATGCAGGAGGTGGCCAATTGATGTTCTCTTTCATCGATGTTTTTATCTCTCTCTTCCTCTCCCTTCCTTCCTCTCTAAAAATCAATAAAGAAAAAAATTTTTTTTTAAAAAGACTGATTCATATAACTGTTATATAATCAGTAAATCACTTTAAAATATAAAAGTAACTTAAAATATTAAATAGTCTATTATCTCTAAGAAATCCATTTATTAATAAAAGGTTGAATGGGAGAACTGTGTAAGCATTAGCATAATCCTCAATCTATGTATATACAGCGTCATTAATTTTTCTGGTTACATACCGACATGTTCAGCAATAGACTCCAGGGATCCTCTGGAACGTTCTGAGTCTGTTAGTGATTTCCAATTCTTTGCTGTTTCAGATCTGTAGAAAATAATGAACAGTAATAAATGTACGGCCAATACTATAATAACTAATAAATAAAGCAGTCAAGTCTTAGAAAACCACTTCTTTCTTCTCCTCCACAGGGGGTATTCCAACCATGGGCCACTTTCATTAAGCCTATTTCTGACCCTCATCACTGTCAGTAGATAATTTTGCTTCTTTTAATGAGAAAAATAGAGACCATCAGCATAAACTTTTTTGCCTTCAACCTTTAACCTACAAACTTATCTATATTCACAGCCATTCCCAACTGCATTTCCTCCTGTCTGCAGGGAAGAAAAAGTCGTGTCTCTCACACTTGTTCAAAGCTAATTGTTCGAACCTCATTCTGCCCCAAATCCCACACATTACCACAGCCTCGTCGATAGTACTCCTGAACTGTCCTTTCTCTTTCCTATAGTCTCTAGTCCTTCATTCTGGAGATGCTTTCCCTTCAACGTAAAAGTATGACCAAGCCTCAAAAAAAATGTCCCCCTTAATTCTTCATTTCTCCACCTCATGCTGCTGCCTCTCATTTGGCTTCTACTGTCTTTTATAATGCCCTTAAATGTTGCTATTTTATCATATTGAGTACTTGGTTCCCTTTTCTTCTCTCTGAATACATCCTTCTTTGGGTGATGTCGCTATATTCATGGCTTCAGCCACCATCTCTAGGCTGCTCATCCCCAGAGATCTAACTCTGACATCTTTCCTGGATAATTCCACTTAGATGAACTACAGGCGCCTCGGAATTAACATTTTAAAAACCAAAATCATGAGCTTCTCAAAAAGGATATCTGAGGATTATTGCTTTTAGGTTAATGAAACCTTGACCCAACCAACTACTTAAGAGAAACCTGGGAATCATCTTAGATTTCTCCTGCTTCCCTGTCTAGTCCTTTAATTAGTCAAGTCTACTTCTTAAATATTCCTAAAATCTATCTCCTATATTCTATTCTTATTACCGCTGATTATTTGAGGCCTAACTTAGACTATTTCTCCCTACTTCTAGGTTTATTCCTTCTTTCTTTCTTTCATATCATAGTCAGAAAGATCTCTCCACACATAAATATGATTGTATCATTCCCTGATTAAAATCCTTCAGTAGCTTGGTTAATAAAACTCTAAAACCATTATAAATATACTGCATAGAAATTATAGTTTACAATGGAAACATGTATATGTAGCAAAAATATACACAAAATCTAAGTATAAATAATCCTATAAAGAAATATATCTAACTGTTGACATTTCGTTTTTTTTGGGACAGTTGGGTATGATATGATTTAAACTTCGTTCTACTGCTTTCCTGAATATTCTATAGTAATAATAATAGTAACTAATACATAGTGCTAATTATGTGCGAGGCCCTATTCTAAATTAAGTCTTTTAACCTTCAAAACAAGTTCATTAGTCAGGTGTTATTACAGAAATAGAAGTCTATTAAAAAACTGAAGCACAGCCCTGACCAGTGTGGCTACATGGTTAGAGCGCTGGCCCACATATCGAAGGGCCATGTGTTCAATTCCTGGTCAAGGGCATGTACCTGGGTTTGATCCCCAGCCCAGTGGAGTGCATGTGAAAGACAACTAATCGATGAATCACTCTCACATTGATATTTCTGTTTCTCCCTCTCCCCTCCCCCTCTCCCTTCCACTCTTTTTAAAAATCAATGGGAAAAATATCCTTGAGTGAGAATTAACAAAACAAACAAAAAACACCTGAAGCACAGCCCTAGCCTGTGTGGCTCCGTGGTTAGAGCATCGACCTGCGCATTGAAGGCTCACAGGTTCAATTCCCAGTCAAGGGCATGTACCTGGGTTGCGGTTCGATATCATCAGGGCGTGTGCAGAAGGCAACCAGTAGATGCTTCTTTCTCACATTGATGTTCCCCTCTCTCCCCGCTTCCCTTCCTCCCTCTAAAAAAAAATCAATAAAAACAAACAAATGCACCCTAAAACACAGAGAGGTTAAATAACTTGACCAAAGTTGAATAGCTATCTGGTACTGGAGCCAAGATTCAAATTCAGGTAATTAATTGTAACGAGTTTGTATTACTTTTGTAACAAACAAAAACATTTCCAAAATATTTTTTAAAAACCTTGCAAGATTTTACATCTTCTAAAAAATAAAATAGAAACCACTAAGAATGAGTATAAAGTTTTCATAATTTGGTTTTTATTTATTTTTCTAGTTTATTCTCCTCACTCCAGCAAAATCCTATTATGTTCAGCTCCTATGATATGCTTTTGGTCATTCACGAATGTCCTTCTCTCTGAAATGTCCTCTATTTCTCAGGCCCACTGACCTGCCTAATCCCTACTCAATGTTTAAAATTTAGTTTGAATATTACAACCTAACTTTTTATATGCCATATTATATATTCTTATGTTGCTACTCAGTGTCTACCGCATATGCATTTACTGACTGCACAGTATTCTACCCTGAAAAGGACCATAATTTACTGGGCTATTCACCCATTTTTGGACATAAAGATTGCTTCCAATGTTTTATTAATAAAAAGATATTGTGATAAGCATATTCTTGCAAATAGAGATTTCTGGTAGCCCATATTTTCTCAAGCTAAAATCCCAAAAGTGGAATTATTGAGTCAAAAGTTACAAATTGTTTTTGACTTTTGCCATATTGTTTTTCAAAAGGTCTATTAAAACTTAAAATGCTATGATTAGGAATACTAGAGAATACTATTTTCATTGTACCCATCATATTTCAAGATTCAAAATATATTTTAAAATCTGTACATAATAATTTTATGTTAGTGAAACTAAAAATATAAACCAATATTTTTACTATTACAATTTCACAGTTACTTAAGATAGTTTCTACTAAAAGTCTTTCCTTATTCTTTTTCTCAAACAAGGCAGAATACAGATAAGTTATCAAAAATTTCTACCTGTGTAGTGGAAGGGGCTTGATCTTGGGTTTTTCAGAAGCTGAGGAGAGCGTTTTGATCTGAGGCTTGGCTGTTGGTGATGTTTCCAAATCTCGGCTAAGCTCGGCTTCAGTTTTCTTAATGAATTCATCATATGACTAAGTTTAGGAAAATCAGAGGAGTCACTATACAGAATTTTTAAAACTATCTTAAATTATAAAATACTGTATTTTATAAAATATTCAAACAGTATAAAATGTAAAAATCATTCTCCTAGCATCAGTGTCGTTCCTGAGAGCTCTATCAATAATCACTTGTATAACCTTCTTGAAACAGTCTATTTATAAGCAAGAAACAGAATTGTAATCCAAATATCAATTAGGAAATGATAAAGTCTCAATCTGCAGAATCTGAATATGTATGAAGCAATAATTTAGGCCCTGCCACATTAAAACACTTCTTTAGCTGATATAATTATTCTTTAAAGGATGGCCTAATACTTCCATGACACTTTACAGAAGTTAGCCATTATGCTGAGTTTTGAAGGCAGTAAGCTTCATAAAGAGTAGGCTCTTAGGAATACAAATCCTGAACACAGAGAAGGTTGTGGTTGGGAATATGACAGTTCAGAATTGCAGAAAATGTTTCCTAGTCATTAGCCATTCTGTAAATAAAACTTCACTAATTTATAATTCCAATTTGTATGAAATCTAAGGGAAGCTCTCCATCTATTAAATCTCTCTTTAGTTTTCTAAGCTACTTTTACATTTCTCACTATTGAGACTACAGCTGTTTTATTCAGGACTATATGTCCACTGTGCCTGACACAAAGCAGGCTGTCAATAAGTATTATAGAAGAAGTTAATGAGAAGATAGATGCTTGCCTATTGCTAAAGATCCCTAAAACTTAGGCTAAAATTCCTACTTTTACGACGCCCACTATCCATATTATCTTCTGGTATCAAACATATACTGCAGCTAGATGATCTAGCTCACTAGGTATATATGAGGACGTCTCAGATCTGAAAGTGACACTTATGTAAGTGCAGTTGATTTAGTAAATCCGTGGTCAAATATAATCCAAAAGGTTTTTTAAAAATTGTGAACTGCTATGATTATGTATTTCTGCATCATATACTATACTTTTTAAAACCTAAACACAGAATATTCTTTTGTCTTTACTTAACCATTTGATACAATGCTGACTAAAATAGATCCTTATGGCACTTCTCTAAAGATCTTTCTGGATAACATATCCATTAATGAACATTTTTGAGCAATGCTACTCAATCTAGTAGATTTCTTTAGCTTTCAATGGCTCATGACCTATAGTAGTGCTTTTAGAACCTAGGCCCCACCCTAGACCAATTAAATCAAAATCTCTGAAAGCCTGGGTATCTGTATTTTTCAAAAGGCTCCTCAGTTAATTCCAGTGTGGAGTCAGGGTGAAGACTACTGATCTGTAGGATAAAATCCAAACTCATCAGTCTGATTTCTAAGGTCCTGAACATGATTCTTTATATTTAAATTTTATTTTCCACTTCCTTCCAACATGAACTTCCTAGTATGGCCACTATATCCTAACCACTTTTTCTTAATTCTAAACATCTGTGTAAGTTTCGATCTCAGTTCCCAGGCCCACTGCTTAACACTGTGTAAATGTCTATTTTCTGCGGATCTGTCAGCGGACCTATTTTCCAGATGGAAGACAGTGTAGTATTGACATTAGGGGCACAGGATTTAGAATTAGAGCTAGATTAAAACCCTAGCTTTACCACATTTGAGCTATGTGTCCCTGAACATCAATCTCACTGAAACTCAGCTTCCTCATCTGTAAAACAGAAACAGTAATATCCACGCTTCACTGCTTTGAGAATAAAATGAAAAAAATACGTATAACTAGCTGATTTCCAAACACATACATAGGCACCTGAATATTTGCTAATTGAATTAATAAATGTAGCAGGAACACGTGCCTGGTGTTGCCACAATGAGGACAATTAAAAGGACAGAAATCTTGGTTAAACATAACAAAAAGCTTTCTGATACTTAGAGCACCTAGAGTCCAACAATGAAACCAAAGTTGCCTTGAAACTTTGAAATTTCCTGTTATTGGAAGTGCTTGGGTAGAAGCTGAAGGATCTTCTCTGGTGATGCTATGAAAAGGGATTCTTGTGATGAATAGGAGGGTTTCAACCAATTCTATAACGAACACTAGGCTGGTAGAGTGTATGCAAGCAATTGGGAAACAATCAGAGGCAGGGACATTTAAGAGTCTAATCAGACAGTAGAGGCAAGAGATCATAAGGGCCCCAAATAGTTTGATGGCAGTAGGAATGAAAAAGGACAAGCAAGAAGCTTCATAAAAAGGAATCAGTGACATCTGATGACTGAATGAACAGGAGAAAACAGAATGAAGAAGCTATCAAAATCAGGTTTCCAGCCCACAGAATCAGGAAAGGCTGCTAGATCACAGGAGAAAGTCAAGTTTAGAGTTATTTAGGAGCCATCCAAATAGTACAAAGAGCCATACTAATAAGTTATGTGGCATGAAACATTCTTCTAACAATAAAAAACATTTTTTTAAAGGCAGTAATAGCCCTGGCCAGTGTTTGTCAATGGTTAGAGTGTCAGCCTTTGCATGGAAGAATCTCAGGTTCAATTCCCAGTCAAGGGCACGTACCTGGGCTACGGGTTCAATCCCCAGCCCCAGTCAGGGTTCACGGAGGAGGCAACCAATTAATGTCTCTCTCACATCGATGTTTCTATCTCTTTCCCCGTCCCTCTCCCTTCCTTTCCACTATCTCTAAGAATCAATAGAAATATATCCTCGAGTGGGAATTAACAACAACAACAAAAAGGGCAGGAACAGTTCCAACAGCTAGAATTATTTATCTAATGGTTCTTTGCGCTTAAGAGAGCATAGATATCAATCTTTCTTTCATGGGTATAATCTTTCTTATTCAGAAAGAAATCTTATTTCAATATTTTAATTAATTTTAATATTTACTTTAATACCTAATAATATAATATTTACTATTTTAATTTAATATTTAACTTAGTATTGTAAGCAAGAGTTTGTTTAGATAGCCCTAGATATTTTTTTTTAAGAATTAGGATAAAATGTGGCACCAAACTAATGCTGAAAAATCCTAACTCAGGACTTTATTAACGACACGCGAAACATCTGAGGCTCATCTCTGCATCGGCCCATGTGGAAGCCCTTCCCTCCCAGCCTAACCTCTAACTGCTTGATCAGGCTGGCCTCCTGGGCTTTCAGTCTCTCCTTTTGCCGTTTTCTCTGCTCCTTCTTCAACTGGTCCACCACTGATTTTCTTTTCCGCAGTTCATCCTTCAGAGCTCTGATCCTACCTTCAATGTCACTCTGGTCAGATGTAGTTTCTGAAAGAGATACAGAGTCTTTTATTTAATTTTAACTTAAGAGTAAAGTTAACAATAATGACTAATGAAAAGCAGCAATGTAATATTCCATTTAACAGTGTAGAAACTAATACAAAATATTGAGTAAACTGTAATTGAAAAATAATTAAAAAATAAAAAATAAAGTCAACCTAACATTTAAAAAGAAGAAATTTTAGCTTCTGAAAAAATTGTATTAGTGAGTTTGCATTCCTCTTCTCCCCTAAATCTCTATTTTTTTTTGGTGGGGGTGGTCCCTCTATTTTCACTTTATAATCATACTATTTGGAATTGTAAATAAACTCAAGTTACCCTGTCTTGGAAAGATAAGTAGTTGGAAGTTTATAAACTTTTAGGCTAGTGGAATTTAGGTGTTCTATAATAAACTTTTTCCTGGTGACAAATTAGTCATTTTTAACTGTCCTTCCCCTTAGTTGTTTTATTTTTATTTTTACTTTTTGTTAATTCTCACAGGAGGAGATTTTTCCATTGATTTTTAGAGAGAGTGGAAGTGGAGAGGGAAAGAGAGAGAAACATAAATATGAAAGAGACTCTTCAATTGGCTGCCTCCCACACGACCCCAACCAGGGCTAGGGATCAAACCTGCAATCCAGGTATGTGCCCTTGACCAGGAATCAAAACTGCGACCCCTTAGGTCTGTGGGCTGAAGCTCCAACCACTGAGCCAAACCAGTCAGGGTCTTCCCCTTAGTTATTCATAGATAATTTAATAGTTTTAAAGTCATATTGAAATCAAAGTGGAATTTTACCATTTTAAACTGATTATGAGTCATCAGATGATCTTAATATCACATAAAAGAGAAGAGAAATTATAAAGAAATATACTGTGCTGTAACCTTTCTTTGGAAGCTCTTAAAATATCTGAAATGAAGCTAGTTAAATCTTATTTTCTTCCCAAAAGTTCATATACATATATACACACAGAGTAGCTGTCCAGTCATAGTAAAATCATGAAAAAGACATTTCATTATAATTAGGATCACACACATACTATGAAAATAGGTATCACTTAAAGACAATGCTTCACTACACATGGAAACTACACAGAAAAAAAGGACTATTCCTTACACCTCCTCCTTGAATCACAATGGTGTCATTTCCAAATGCTAATGCTGAGTAAGCATTTAATAACCTTACAATAAAAATATTGTATACAAATCTGAAGATACAGATATACAACTACAACATTACATCATATATTTATAACCAGGGTATCCCCCCACCCCCACCCCAGGTACGTCAGATTAATTTGTGTAAGAAATAGTTATGAATTTATTTAAATACAAAAAGATTATAGTCTTTTAAAAAAAAATGTGATCCAAATATCTGGATTAAAAATAATGCAATCTAAGTTCCTGTCATTTCTATGTCACTGATATAAGGTATACTAGGGAAGTTGTACCCATTTTATACCAGCAGTGGCACCATACTGAGCCCTTAGCTTGGGCAAAGCTCACTACTTACTGATCAACACATAAAATGAAATAATGATAAAGGCGGTTTTCAACTTTGGATCTGCTGCTCATAATTGGTCAGGTGTTTAGCCCTTACCCATCTCTAGAGCTGGTGTGAAGACGAACTAGTATGTAAAGCATGTAGCACAGTACCTGGACTACTATGAGAGCTCAGTAAATGGTGGCAGTATTAATATTCACATGAAACAAATGTTTTATGTGGCAATATTTTAGGTAATATATATTCTAGTTTAAAACTAAAAAAGGTAGTGGTGTGGAGAGAACTACTGAATATCTCCCTCATGCTTGCTTCTAATTTCTGGAAAAAAGTAATCAATTGGTTTCAGAGTTGAAAGGTTCTGAACTCTTAGTGGGAGGTTTTACAGTGATTCAATTGATGATGCTAGTACAATAATTGAGGATAGGATTGCAGGTTGTGCTAAAAATTATAATCTTTCTAAAATAAAGTATAAATCCATATCTTTGATCTTCTAAAACTGTACCTTCTATTAGTTTGATAAGCTTTATATGCTTCTAAAACTTGAAAAGTTAGTGTTTTTTGTTTTTTTTTTATCCTCACCCAAAGATATGGTTGTTTTAAAAATTGATTTTAGAGCGAGAGGAAGAGAGAGGGAGAGAGACATCGATTGGTTGCCTCCAGTTAAGCACCCTGACTGGGGACTAAACCCGAAACCTGGGAATGTGCCCTTACTGGGAATCAAACCAATGACCTTTTGGTGCATGGGAGAATGCTCAACCAACTGAGCCACAATGGCCAGGGCAGAACCATGATGTTTTGAATACTATGGCCTTGTAGTATAGTCTGATATCAGGTAGCATGATTCCTCCAATTTTGTTCTTCCTTCTTTTTTTTATTTTTTTATCCTCACCTGAGGACATTTTTCCATTTTTTTGTTCAGATAGAGTGGGAGGGAGAGAGAGAGAGAAACATTGACGTGAAAGGGACACATCAAGTGGCTGCCACCCATTGATGTGAAAGGGACACATCAAGTGGCTGCCACCCAACCAACCAGGGCTGGGGACAAATTGCAACTGAGGTACATGCCCTTAGTGGGAACCGAACCCAAGTCACTCTGGACCAAAAGCCGATGCTCTAACCTCTGAGCCAAAATGGCCAGAGCTGTTCTTCCTTCTTAATATCACTGTTGCTATTTGGGGTCCTTTGTGGTTCCATATAAATTTTTGAAATATTTGTTCTAGTTCTGTGAAATATGCCAATGGTATCTTAATAGCAATTACTCTGAATCTATAGATTGTTTTAGTATGGACTTTTTAATAATGTGAATTCTTCCTATCCATGAACATGGTCTAAGCTTTCACTTAATCTGTATCTTCTTCAATTTCTTTCTTCAGTGTCTTATAATCCACGTACATCCTTGGTTAAATTTATTCCTAGGTATATGCTAAGTGAAATAAGTCAGTCAGAGAAAGACATGTACCATATGATTTCACTCATGAGTGAAAGCTAATGAACAAAATAAACTCACAAACAAAACAGAAACAGACTCATAGATAGAGAACAGTCTGACAGCTGTCAGAGGAGAGAGAAGCTTTCGAGGCTGGGTGAAAAAGGTGAAGAGATTAAAAACAAAACAAAAACAAAACACAAACCCTTATAGACACAGACAACAGCATGGTGATTATCAGAAGGAAGAAGGGTAGAGGGAGGCTGAAGAGAATATAGAGGAGACAAATGGTGAAGGAAGGAGACTTGACTTGGGGTGGTGAACACAATACAATATATGGATGATGTATTATAGAATTGTACACCTGAAACCTACATAATTTTATTAATCAGTGTCACCTCAATAAATTCAATAAAAAAAGTTTTTTAAAGAAAAATTTATGAGTTGACATAGTTTAGCTATGAAAACTGACATTAAGGCTTTAGACTTTCAAATTAATTGCCTCACTGAGTTAAAAAAGTAAACTAAAAATGAACTCAGAAGCTATACACTTAATATGGTATTAGTATATTATTTTTTAAATAATTTTTCTTCAGAGGGAGGGAGAGGGAGAGATAGAGACTTCGATGAGAAAGAATATCAATTGGCTGCCTCCTGCATGCCCTCCACTGGGGATCAAGTCCACCACCTGGGCATGTGCCCTGACCGGGAATTGAACTGGTGACCTCTTGGTGCATGGGTCAATGCTAAACCACTGAGCCACACCAGCTGGGCTAATAAGGTATTATGTATCCCACATAAACCAAGCATTGTCTGTCTAGATATACTTCCCAAGATCAACACCTTCAAGTCTTTTAAATAGAGGCTGCTCATTCTTTTGTAATCTATATACTAGAGAGATTTATAGTAGGGTAGAGGTTATGGGAAAATAGACAATGCTGCCCACTGCTATTTGTAGTCTGTTCTCTACTTTTCCTCCCACTTTATGCTATCCTGCTCCAACACCTGCCATCTCTCCTTATGGTCATCATTAATTCATTCAAGAAACATTTCATAAATACCTACCACATGCAATGCAAAGTACCTGCTAGGTTCTGGTACTACAATTTTTAACAAAACACAGACTCTCCTTTCCAGAAGTCTATACTCTAGTAGGGGAGACCTCCTGGGTAATATCTGGTTGCAAGTGATATGCTGTCTGGTGTAACAAGTGGAAGCACAGAGTGTAATAGGAACACATAAGTATGCCCGACACATAGAAAATACTACAAATGCCTGATAAATAAATGATGCCTGTTAACATCAGAGAATATAAGTTTGTCATATTTATTGTAATTAGGGATACAATTAATTATCAATAAAAAGCAAAGAATCATGCAATTTAATCTTGTCAAGAAAAAAGGTGTATTATCAAATGCAATAAAGTGCCCTTGCCGATTTGGCTCAGTGGTTACAGCATCAGCCTGCTGATGGAAAGGTTGCAGGTTCGATTCCCAATCAAGGACATGCATCTGGGTTGCAGGTTTAATCCCCGATCTGAGTCATGCGGGAGGCAACCAATTGATGTGTCTCTCTCACATTTATGTTTCTCTCTCTCGCTTTCTCTCCCCCTCCCTCCCTCCCTTCCACTTTATCTAAAAATCAATGGAAAAATATCCTCGAATGAGGATTAACAAAACAAATGCAACAAAGTATAACATCACACCAGCATATAGCTGGACAGATCTTAAGAAAAATTCAAGTATAGTACAAAGTAAAAAACTTTTCATTATTTAGTCTTACCTGACTGTGTCATAGATAATGACTCATCTGACCAACTGTAACAGGGTTGATGGGACTTGACAGGCAGACGACACTGTCCTCCAGTCTTATTACTTCCTTTGCTAGACTCCTGCTTTGACACAGATGTACAGCTTTTGGGAGGTGACTGTTGAAACAGAAAACCAAATGGGAACTGCTCTGTGATATAGTTGTAAATTCTTTTTAAAACTCAAGATACTAACCAGTTAAAATTATTACTTACAAAAAATTTTAAATAACTCTATGACAAAGTGTGAAAACACAGTTTACAAATTTTATAAAGGTAAGATCTCAATTTTTTAAATGTATAGAAAAAAGTATGTTTTAGAAGATGTTTATAATAAACCAGGAGTAGCTATAGTATAAGTGATATTTACCTCTTATTCTTTTCAATTTAAAAGATACTAAATGGGGGGGGGGGGCAGGGGCGGTGGCTATCCCTTTAACATAGTGATTTTGCTTCCTTTGGATATATACCCAGAAGTGAAAATGCTGGATCATATGGTAGTTCTCCACCAACAGAGAAATGATTAAAGGACATGTGGTATATCATTTGAAACAACATGGACAGACCCTGAGGGCACTAAGCTAAGTGAAATCAAGTCAGAGAGAGAGAGAGAGAGACATAGACAGGCAGACAGACAGACAGACAGACAGACAGACAAATACTAGATGATCTCACTTATATGTGGAATCTAAAAAAACCCAAACTCATAGAAAAAATAGATTGGATTTGTGGTTACCAGAGGTGGAGGACAGAGAATGAGAGAACTGAGTGAAGATGGTCAAGGTACAAACTTCCAGTTAGAAGATAAATAAATACTGGAGATGTAATGTTCCACATGATGACTGTAGTTAACACTGCTGTGTGGTATACTTGAAAGCTGCTAAGACAGTAGACCCTAAAAATTCTCATAACAAGGAAAAAGAATTTTTTTGTAACTCAACCTAAACTCAGTGCGGCAATCGCTTCACAACAGAGGTGTGCCAAGTTGTTCTATGCTGCACACCTTAAACTTACACAGTGTTACATGTCAATTATATCTCAATAAAACTGAAAAAAATTTAAATACTAAATATATACTACTTTTATTGAAGGAAGGAAGAGAAGGAAGAAAGGGAGAAAATGGAGCATAAGACTGCCTACAGAGATTACAAAGGACGTAATTTCTACCCTGACATCAACTGGAAGTGAGAATGCTTGATGTGATCCTAGCTTCATCACTTCCCATCTCTGTGACTTTGGGCAAGTTTCCTAGCTTGCTAAGCTTCAAGGTGGGGCTTAAAACATAATATGGTGAGGATAATCCACACAAGAAACCACTTTCAGGAACACTCATTTTGATTTCCTTGATATATTTTTTGTGAGGAAAAACCCTATTTTTAGTATTCGATCAGATGATGGCTATCCTGGACCTCAATAAGGATGCCAGACAAAACCCAATCAATTTATAGCAAGTAATAAAATAATAAGATTGTGTCAAAAGGCACAGTTTGGTTGTAAATTCCTGCAAGGTAGGAATCATGCAACAAGTAAATTATCTATACAACAAGCCCATTATTAGATAACAAACAAGATAATCACTAACATAAAAATTTAATTAGAAGCTTTTTATAACCTAAAAGCTGTTTTCAAGTATGTGCACAAAACACTGAAATATTCTGCAACATGACATGCATGGAATGGGCTCTTCGTTGGATAAAAAAATTATGTTCTCCAAATGCTTCAAGTGCTGTAACACATGTGAATCTCACTGACTTTTCAGTAGGGAAATGCTATTCTTTCTTCACATCCACAGTAAAAATACTCTTTAATAAAGGATATTCTATCCTAAATTTAGGTGGATTACTTTTTTAAAACAGGTTTTCACAATGTTTGTGCCCATTTAATATTTGATATTGTTAGGTTAATTCCTTTATACACTTTATAAAATCAAGGGAAAAAGTTAAGTTTCTGGTTTAAATTTTTATCACCTAAGTTTTATTTATGAAGTACAGAATTAAGGACAATGTGGAAAACATTATTATTCTAAAAGTGATCATTATTCTAATTTAGATTCAATGACCATTTCAGATTTACCTTAAAAAGATGAAACCGTATTTTTATTCTGATTATGATTTTTTTTCTTTTATTTTTCTTACAGATGTTTCTCCTTTTTTACCCCATTGATACCCTCCTCCCCATCCCCCCACAGCAATCCCGGCTTTGTTGTCCATGTCTATCTGTTTTGCGTACATGCATATAAGTTCTGTGGTTTATCTCTTTCCTCCTCCCACCACCCCCTCTTCTGAGGGTTGTCAGTCTGTATTCTACTTCCACGTCTCTGGGTCATCCCTCAGACTGTTATGTTCATTATATTCCACAAATAAGTGAGATCATGTGGTATTTGTCTGATTATGATTTATAGAGCAGTTATAAACTACATTATAGAAAAGGTATACTGGTATGGTTTAAGCTCTTATTATTTCTATTATATGACAAAACACAGATTTTAATAATAACTTGTGATTTTCCCACATATCTTTATCAAAAGACCTTAGAAGTTCCTATACTCTCAATATTAACAAACTTAATAGCATGTAATTTTATAACTGTCACTAAAGCTAAAAATCATGTATTTATAAACCTTTAGGAGTAAATGAAAAACTTTATATCTATTCAAATGTCATATACTGTATGTTACAGGTATGAATGATCGTCGACGTTGTTAAGAGCAAGAATATAACTTAATGATAGATCTTTTAGAACATAAATACACACTAACTTACATGTTTACTAGGAGAAGGAGAGGATTCCAGCTCTTGGGAAAAAACCATGTCTTCAGTAAGTATACTGTGGTCTGGACTACCCGGCTGCTCCTGAACCATGGACTCGGACGGTACATACTCCACAGCAGGGCTGCCCAACTCTTCCGGAATAGATATTTCACTGTGTACATGAGAGTAGGAAGGTACTGGAGATTCCGCCTCACTTGCTATTTCTAGAAAGAGATGAAGAAAACAAGAAAAAGTACAGTCTTGGTCAAGGGAAATGTTTCATTGCTATACTTTATATTTTTCTTTAGCATAATTTCAGTAGTTGCACTTGGATATAATCTTTTAGTCCCACACTTAATGAACCATATTTACTATAAAGTCTGTTCAGTCTAAGAATTTTGGCTGACGCAGACTGAGAGACTCTCTAACATACACTCTGCAGTGATAGGTACTGAGGCCTGAGAGTCTGTGACGATGCAGAGCAGTTACAACTCATACATTCGTTTAGGAGTGAACGATGGTCCAAACACTTTGGAAGACAATTTGGTAGAATTTGGAAAAGATGAATGCACTGAGATGTCATATATTTTTTTTTCTCCTTTAATCTAAGTAATTCACCACCTTATCAATTTTTTAATGTGTTAAATTCCACTTGGTCATAGAATACCCCAATTCCATTTCGTGGAATTTACCTATTTCTTCTAAGTTTTCAAGTACATTAGCATAAAACTATTCACAATATTCTTCCAACTTTCCAATTTCTGTAACATTTGTACATGTATCACCTTCATCACCCTTAATCATTCATATTTTTTTTAAAAAGTGACCCAGCCGGAGTGGCTCAGTGGATGAGCGTAGGTCCATGCACCATGAGGTCGCAGGTTCGATTCCCGGTCAGGGCACATGTCCAGGTTGTGGGCCTGATTCCCAGGGGGGTGTGTGTGTGCGTGTGCAGGAGGCAGCCAATCAATGTTCTTTCTCATCGATGTTTTTATCTCTCTCTCCGTCCCCTTTCTCTCTTTGTAAAAATCAATAAAGAAAAAATATTTTAAACAAACAAATAAAAATTTTAAAAATAATGAAGTAAATCTTTCGTCATATTTGGCTTTAATTTGTAGTCTGAATAGCGTTAGTCTTTGTTACCTTTCTGTTCTGTTCTCTGGTCTTCCAATTCTTTCTTAGGAGTTTTAGGTTTTATTAATTCTTTGTCCCAGGCAGCCAAAGCTTGTTTTTCCATTTGACGAATTTCTGCTTCCTCTGCATCTAAGCGTCGCTTCCACTCTAGCAGCTCTTCTGCATGTTGTCGCCGTTGCATTAGTTTTTGCTCCCGCTTTGTCAGAAACCTATGGTCACACCATGATAAACAGTGAGAACAAGTCTACAAGCAGAAACCACTCTGAAAGCGCTATCACTCAGTACCTTATCAACAAGCTGTGTAAAAAAGAACATTCACACAACTCCTCTGAAAAGTTTGAGATAGCAGAAGCTTTGATTAGTCAACTTACTCAGAAAATGAGAGAATTTATGTTTTACTTGTAATTATAAGAGTAGCAAAGGAAAAAGAGTGGTAAATTCAAGGGAAAATAATCTCCAAAATCTGCACAACCATGACTGATAATATATATTCACTTTTCATAGGTGATTCTTTTAAATGAGAAAACATAAGAAATTTTTTCTGAAGGCTTAGGCCAGAAAACACACAAACGCAAAACAACAAAGACCAAAACAACAACAAAAAACAAACCCCGTAGCCCCCAAACAAGCAAGCAAACAAAAAACATGTTTATGTCCCTTTTTCAAATTCAGTCTGGTTTTGCTTCATGTACAATGAGTTTGGTACCCATTACCTAAGAGAGACAATGTCAGGAGTTAATTTGTTTTTCATGGAGAGAACACTGAGCACCACAGTCAGATGCCTTAGGCATATAAACATAATTGTTTATTTACTGCAGTGAGAGGCACCAAATCCCTCAGATTTCTTAATTTAACCCGATCTTTGAAATTAAATAGCCCAATATATCTTAGCTCCAAAATGTTAGGAGAAATTACTGATTTAAGAAACGTTTTTTGAGTAGTTAAAAAGCTACTATTAAACGCTCCTCAAATGTACACGCCACAGCTAAATAGAAGGTGGGCTGCTTATTTTACTGGTGTTAGATCTGCAGTGGTAGCTAATCAACAAAAATGCACCCACGCATCCAACAAACACTTCATATAAAAGCACAGGAATTGTCACTTCATTTCTTGAACAGTCAGCATGTCAAATTAATGTAAGAGAAAAAAGGAGATATGGGACATTTGACAAGAGGCCCCTGGGCTGTTAGGAAAAAAAAAAATCTTTTAAAGAAGCAAACAAAACAAACAGAAAGAACAGAGCATGCTCTATCAAAGAGTGCACTGAAAAAGGTGCAAAGTTACCTGACCAACTGGTTGTAGATATACAGCTGGAATTTGGGATGAAGGTTGGGAAAACAGACACTGAGAGAGGCCCAGTGATGAGACGTAAAGACAGAGAAGAAGTAGTGAACAGGAGAGCAGTGTCTACAAAATAAGGAGGAAGATTTTAAAACCAAGAGATCAAGAGGCAGAAAGAATGAGAAAGGGAAAGTATAAGAGCTGAGTGAAGAACTTTTAATATGTTTCCTGAAGAACATTATAAGCTACTCAGTTAAAGCAAGTGTTATACTCTGTGTGACATATAAAACATGTACTTTTTATAGATCTTAGCAATGATTTCTGAATACACATGCCTTTCTTCTCACATGCTGCCTAACCATCATCTATACTTTCTGGTAAATTTACTTGTTTGTGAGTAAAGTAATGAAGAAGTACATTGTGCAACTAAACAAATTTTCCCATCAGCTTTAGCATAGAGTACAATAATTATGGCTGTGAACCTATATATCAGCAATTCTACATACATATGTAATCCTGAACAAGTGATTTTTATATCTGTACCTTTTCATATATTTTAAGCTTGATATTAAATAAAAAAAGCACACTGCCTTATTTAACCTTACCATCATAATCAACTTTAAAATAATAATGTAATTTAGAAAACCAATTCATAGTAAATATATACTGTTAACTTCTATAACATAAAACTTCTGCTATTAACAGGACCTAGTGGAGGTATCTTGCTTTATATTTAACAAAGGCCCAATTGAATAATAATATTGAAATACAATACCCATCCTATAAAATACCAGGACACATAATTAAGAATAAACTGAGCTAATACCAATAAAAAACATCATGCTGTGGATGACAGCTCAATCACAAGGTTAAAGGTAAGAAAATTACATGTTAAATTTATAAAAGGAGCAAAAACCCACTAGTTTCCCTTCTTTTGAAATAGTAAATAGATCATTATATACATGGAAGGATAACTAAGTCTAGTGATAGTTTGGAAAGGTTAATTCTCTTTGACAGAGCATGCTCCTGCTCACATGCACACAACAGTAACCTGTAGATCAAGGCAACATTTATTGCCTTGGAAGGGCAAGGAATAATATCAGTATGTCACAGAAGTGAGAAAATCTAGGTATAAATCCAGCACTCATTTGGATTTTAAAAAGTATGTAGAATCTTGCCTACACGTATATCTTTAGAAAACAGACTATCTCAATGTCTGTTACCCACATAAAACTTATTTCACCTCCCCTTCACTTACTCATACATACACACACACACACACACACACACACACACACATCTGGATTGCCTGATTTTCTGCACCAAAGTTCAAAGACAAACAATTTTGTCAAATTTCAGTAAGACACTGCAATTTTCCTTGCCATTCTTTATGAACGTATAATAAACTTATTTTGATGCCAATTATCAAAATATTATGCAAAAAACATGTACTTGGCAAAAGGTCCAAAAAAAACCTATTCATAACACTCAAATTTCACCCACCCTCTTAAGTGTATAACTGCTAAATGCATACATGACCTAGTACAAAAGTAGAATATTGAAACATATAAATAAACTATAAATTGACACAATTTAATTTTTTTGTCCAACCCTATAAAAGATCATTTTCTTTGTTAAAACAAACACAGATCTTTTTTTTCATTTGTAAAGATTAAGCATATTCAAAAGCTCTAGGTTCAAAATGAACAGCAAAAGAAAGCTAATAAAAAAGGAAAATACAATCGTTTAAGAAATAGTATAAGAAGTTTAACTTAAAGTCAGAACTTCTTTCCAGAACATATGTTCCATATTTAATATATGTACATTTTAGAAATAAAGAATATCCTTTAAAAGCTGAATAAACTAAAGTTGAAATAAAAGAAGCAGTACTTCACACTAGAGTTAACAATACTTTAAGATGCTGCACAAGAAATAAAATTTGTGAATCATTAAGACATAAATGCCTACTAATAGAAAATGCTACTGCCCTGGCCGGTTTGGCTCAGCGGCTGGAGCGTCCACCTGCGGTCTGGAGAGACCCGGGTTCAGTTCCCGCTAAGGGCACGTACCTCGGTTGCAGTTTGTCCCCGGCCCTGGTTGGTCGTGCGGGTGGCAGCCACTCAATGTGTCCCTTTCACATCGATGTTTCCCTCTCTCTCTCTTCCTCTCTCTCCCTCCCACTCTATCTGTACAAAAAATGGAAAAAAGTCCTCAGGTGAGGATAAAAAAAAAAAAAGAAAGAAAGAAAATGCTACTAATACTCTTTATAGTCAATGTTAAGGCATCTCCCCAACAAGACCTCTGATGGTAACAGAACAGTGGACTAGGATGATATGTATAATAGATTTAATACAGTATGGAGATTATTATGTTCCTATAATGTTTAATCTTAAGAAATTCATGAGTAACTGATTCGTTTTTAAAGTCACACTTTCACACTCTCAACTTGAGCTATGCAGCTATTCAACTCCAGCAATCAGCCAATGGGCATTTTTCCAGTTTCAATAAATACTATTTAGAAGGGTCAGTTTCTGCTTAAATAACTTTAAGTCATCAATGTTGGTTTAAAAAAAAAAATCTGAGGTTAAAAGCGGATAGGCCAACTTAACTCAATTTTAACATTAGCTGGCTCACGTCCAGAGACCAGGGTTCCGGTTCTAGCTCTGCCATTTGACATGTGTGTGACCTGGGACAATTACTTAATCTCCATGGCATCGATTTCTTCCTGCAAAACTAAGGGACTATACTAGACAACTTACATAAGAGCCCATTTAGTACCAGCATTTTATGAATCTTCCTTTCTCCGTTTAAGCACCTACTCAGACTTTTTAAACGCCACAACAAACTGCTAGACCATGTGACATAAATGAGAACTCTTTTTTATTTCATCCCACTAAGCTAATATAACTGTAGGTTATTTAAACAGATTATAAAATCATATAATTTGGAAGAGCAAACTTAGGGTCTAAATTTATTACTGTTATTTTCTTTATTGATTTTAGAGGGAGAGGAAGAGAGAGACAAACATCGATGAGAGAGAACATTGACTGGCCGCCTCCTGCATGCCCCCTCCTGGGGATTTGGCCCACAACCTGGGCATGTTGCTCTGACCAGGAACTGAACCAGTGACCTCTTGGTGCATGGGTCGACGCTCAACCACTGAGCCACACCAGTAGGGCTAGGGTCTAAATTTTAAATGAAACTTCCAGTTCTAAAATCATTTGGTTCTGAAAAATATTAAACATTTCTTCCTCTTCTAACTTTCGTAGCAGTGGACTAATATGTACTTCTCTAAAGGAGCCTGATATTTGTTTTTTTCCCCATCTAGAGTATAAGCTCTTTGAGGGCAAGATTCATGTTTGATTCCTTTTCATATCCTTCAGAACAAATAATAATGTCTAGTAGCAAAAGCTCAAATGATTTTGTTATTATTAGGTGTCTATTGTTACAAAATTGACTATTTAATGAGCTATTGAAGGAGATCTAATTCTAAAGTTTGTGATGATCTGAACTGTATTTTGTTATTGTTGTTGTTAATTCTCACCTGAGGATATTTTTCCATTGATTTTTAGAGTGGGAGGGAGGGAGGGAGAAAGGGCGGGAGAGGGGGAGAGAGAGAGAGAGAGAGAGAGAGAGAGAGAGAGAGAGAGAGACAGACATTGATGTGAGAGTGAAACATTGATTAGTTGCCCTCCCGCACAACCCTGACTGGGGCCGGGCATCAAACCTACAACCCAGCTATGTGCCCTTGACAAGGAATCAAATCTCAGACCCTTACAGTCCTAGGGCCGATGTTCTAACCACTGCACAAAACCAGTCAGGGCTAAACTGTATTTTTTTTTTTATTCTCACCTGAGGACATTTTTCCATTTTGTTGTTCAGATAGAGTGGAAGGGGGAGAGAGAGAGAGAGAGAAATACCAACATAAAAGGGACACATCGAGTGGCTGCCACCTGCACAACCCAACCAAGGCCAGGGACAAACTGCAACCAAAATACATGTCCTTAGCGGGAACCGAACCCGGATCTCTTGAGACCACAGGCCAACGCTCTAACCGCTGAGCCAAACCGGCCAGGGCGGGCTAAACTGTATTTTAAAACTAGTTTTCACATTACTTTGTTCGGGAGATCAAAAACTAATGCATAATAATATTCCTTTTTAATGCACTGGTAATTTTGAAAAATAGTCCACTTCATCCTCAAATTTTAGCACCATCATCCAAACCTTAAAGCTAACTCCATTGCCACCACTGTCCTTACACCATCCCTACCCACAAACACAACTGCATCGCTTCAAACAACAAATCAAGAAGTCATTAAAAAAGAGTCATGAATGCTTCAAGGCCTATTCTCTCTGAAAAAATTCTCAGAAGTTTACTGCAGTAGTTGACCAAGGAAGGGGTTTAATATTTTGGATTCTGAAAAAATAATTAACAGAATAAATAAATTCAAACTTAAATTTGTCAAAGTTTAACCAAATCTGAAATAAGCATCACATAAATGGACTAATCTCACAGATAAGTAAGAATTAGCCGTTTCTTCTACAGATGTGATTAAAATTATTAGGTTATCATTCATAGAGACTAGCAATGAAGATCTTACTGATATAGACAAGTAAGGGATCAATGAAGACATTACTCCATGAGCTGTCTTTCCTCTAACATTTACCATTCAAAGACATTTGCAGACAGATATATAATGTCAAATCAGTTATGAAAATTTATGAGAGAGATTATTCTGAGATTAAAGATCCTTGGAGCAACAGAGCATGCATATCTAAACAGGCTATTGATAAATTTTATTAGGAAAGGAAGAAAACATCTTTATTCTAAATTTCAATGAATTCCTGTTTGAAAAAGCCTTAATTAGTCTATGCGATGGAAATCATACAAAAGGAATATTTACACATTGGTGAATAATTTGGTTTCACCCCTTATATATTTTATTTTTTAAATGTATATTCATTTTTTTAAACATTTTTTAAAATGTCTTTATTAATTTGAGAGAGAGAGGAATGGAAAGGGACAGAGAGAGAGAAACATCTATGAGAAAGAACATCAACTGGCTGCCTCCTGCATGCCCCACACTGCGGATTGGGCCCACAACCTGGGCATATGCCCTGACCGGAAATCAAACCGGCGGCCTCTTGATGCATGGGTCGATGCTCAACCACTGAGCCACACCAGCCAGGCTATATTCATTTTTGAAACTCATTTTTATAATCAAATTAGGATTTTTAAGTTATGAAATGCCGATATTACGTTTTTGAAATATAATTTCAATTAAGCAATGAAATGCCAATGTATAACACTGCACCCATAGTAAATAAGATTTGACTTACAGCTACTTGGCTGTTCAGAAATTAATTAAATCATAGATTGATTTAATAAATATAAAGCATTATTTTGAATATAGAGCATATTTATGAATACAGAGCATTATTAAATTTAGTGATGGGTGGCACACTGCCAAAGGATATCAAGATACAACAAGTTCAATCTGTGGTTCAAATTGCTAACTTAAAGTGAAATGACAATCCACAAAAATTTGGAATGAGTCTCTTCCATATTTAAAGAAGGTAGAGGTTATATAGTCAAAGAGAGGGTTCACAAGTAACTAATTTACAAGCATATTTAATTAAATATACATCCAATAGAGTAAACTCTCACATAAATGTCCTTTTATATGGTCAAAGCTAACATACAACTGAGCTAGCTACATTTAAGTAGAAGCAGCTTTCTTTAAAAGAGCCTTTAAAAACTAATACTTAGAAATGTTTAAAAGAATGGTAGAACCCGGTCGGTGTGGCTCAGTGGTTGAGCATTGACCCATGCACCAAGAGGTTGCCAGTTCAATTCCTGGTCAGGGTACATGCCCAGGCCAAATCCCCAGTGGGGAGCATGAAGGAGGCGGCCAATTGATGTTCTCTCTCATCAATGTTTCTATCTCTCCCTCTCCCTTCCTCTCTCTTTAAAAGCAATAAAGAAAAAATAATTAAAAAAGAAAGAATGGTAGAGTGCCAAATTATTCAACATCCCAGGAGACTTTGAGTCTTTGTGGATTCAACTGAGCAATCCACACCTACTCATAAGGTTAAATTTCACTCTTCCATTTGAATAAGCCTGAGAGCTGTCAGAGAGCCACAGGATGAGATCTCAGGACATTCCTTAATTAATTGCTCCCCCAAAGTCAGTAGACCTGTCCTCAGATATCAGCGAAGGTACAAATTTCACACTTAAACATAACTTTTGGTAAAATAAAGGAAAAAACATTGTCATGGGTGTATGTGCAAATACTACCTTGATGCTTAAAGTAAGAAACCAGATCTATAGTTAATTGACTTCTAGACTGACTTAATCATTCTGCTAAAATGCTACTGAATCCACAAAATACTGTTATACCAAGCCAATCTAATGAAGTACATTAAAAATATTATTTGTTGCTACTACTTTCAAAATAAACAGGAGATATTTATAAAAATGAATTACTTTTCATCCATGCGGCTTCTCATTTTCTTCAGTTTCTGCATAATGCTGCTAGTTTCACTACTAGAGATGGAAATGGGGGAAGGACTGCGGGTCTCCAAGTCAGTTGGACCAGGACTGACTGCCTTATTATCCTTTGTATCATCATCACTATGAGAGTCCTACAAAGAAAGGGGGGTAAAGTATTACACTTTTACTGTAATTCAAAATCTCAAAGTGATCATAAACACTGTCATCTTAAAATAAGTTTATCTTCAAAATAGTATTTGTAAAATAGATGAAATTATGGTATTACTTAAAGGACAAAATTGTATCACATTTAAAACTGGCTAAGTTATACATTTTACGTTATGTATATTTTACATATATTTATATATAATCACAAAGTATAGTATTTTTTAAGATGTAAAAATAAATCAAAAAGCCCTAGCTGGCATGGTTCAGTGGTTGGAGTGAGCTTATGCACCAGAAAGTCTTGGGTTTGATTACAGGTCAAGGGCAGGTACCTGGGTTATAGGTTTGATCCCCTGCCCCAGTTAGGGCATAGGCAGGAAGCAATGGATGTTTCTCTCCCTCTCTCTCTCTCTCTCTCTTCCCCGGTCCATTCCTTCTTCCACTCTCTCTAAAAATCAATGGAAAAATATCCTTGAGCGAGGATTAAAAAGAAAAAGAAAAAAAGAAATGTAATAAAAATAAAAAAATTTCTGCTGCTACTAATCTGGTATCTAAATGTCCTCTCTAATTTTTAAAAATTGAACTCCTCAGAGGGAATATAAAATGATAGACATTATAAGTATATAAAACATATGTATAGACACAAAGAATGAAGGGAACACTAACTTATTTTAATCATACTGACAAATGGATCTTTTTTCTTTAAATATTTCTTACAGAAAACAATGTTTTTACAAAATAAAAAGTTCATAATAAAAACATTTAGGAACCATTGGTTTAATCAATATATTATCTCTGATAAACAAAAGTAAAACTTTAACTACTTAATAAGACTTTGCTACAAATAATTATTTATTCTCTCAACTTTTCAAGAAGATGGGCAGGAACAATCTTGACTGTTTTATTTTGTGAACAATATAATGAAGCAGAGGCCTTGTCCTTCCCTTCCCCGTTCATGAATAAGTCAGTCCTAAAATCATTAGATGGAACAGAACAAGGTGGAGAAAGACAAAGGGACTAAGAATGAGGTGTCCCAACCTGAGGGTGATGAGGAGCACCTAATTAGTGCAGGACAGGGGAGTCGGAGCCCAAGTGGGGCAATGAGGATGTCCACGTGAACATCAAAACAAATGATAGACAAATTGTAATGCTCAGTAAAATGGGAATCCATGAGTCCACAATGATAAAAATAAAAGAATTAAAGTTTGACAAAGAATAGGAATTTGTGTAGTCTCAAAATACCTCCATGTAAAGTACATATTAATTACAAAGGGAAAGAGAATAACTTTACAGTGAAGTCTGGTAGATGCTACCTTAATCAAGTCAACATCATCATTAATGGTTAAGTCAAGCAGGTGCTACAGGATCAAATGCAATGAGGAGAACACAGCATCACTTATGTGATATTACTGCCAAAGATGCACAACCTGAATCTAATTAGGAGAAAAAACCAGACAAACCCAAGTTGGAGGGCATTCTACGAAATACCTGGCATGTAATCTTACAAAGTGTCAAGGTTGAGAGTCAAGGAACTTTTCCAGACTAAAGGCAACTAAAGAGACATGAAAACTAAATGTGGTTTTGAACTTAGGTTTTGATGTAAAGAACATTATTGTGAAAATTGGAGAAACCTGAATGAGGTCTACAAATTAAATGGTAGTAATATATCAATGTTAATTGTAAGCAACATACTCTCAGCTCAAAAAAAGAGTTCTTTATACTGTGTTTAAAATTTTGTATAAATTTGAGATTGTTTCAAAATTCAAAGTGTATTTTAAAAATCAAAGCAGAGCCCAGGCCGGTTTTGCTCAGCTGTTAGAGCATCTGCCTGTGGACCAGAGTCCCGGGTTCAATTCCGGTCAAGGGCACGTACTTTGGTTGCAGTTTATCCCTGGCCCTGGTCAGGTTCGGGTGGGAGGAAACCAGTCAATGTGTCTCTCCCAAGTCTATGTTTTTCTCTCTCTCCTTCCCTCCCACTCTACGTGAAAATAAATAAGAAAAAAAAAAAAAAATCCTCGGGTGAGGATTAAAAAATAAATAAAAATCAAAAGCATTTGATTTGAGCCTGGCCGGTGTGGCTCAGTGGTTGATCGTCAACCCATGCACCAAGAAGTCACCAGTTCGATTCCCTGTCAGGACAAATCCCCAGGTTGTGGGCCCAATCCCCAGTTGGGGACATGCAGGAGGCGGCCAATCAATGTTCTCTCTCATCAATCTTTCTGTCTGTCTCTCCCTCTCCCTTCCTCTCTCTCTCAAAATCAATAAAGAAAAAAAAAAATTCAAAGCAGAGAATATTAGAGAGTAATTTAACCACACTGCCAAACAGTCTGGGTTTTCCAATACTAGTTATATTGACACTTCATAATATCTTATATTGACACTTTACAGTATCAAATTTTATTTTTGTCTGAGTATCTCCTTTAAATCGTGTATCATTAACATTGGATAGCTGAAATCAGCATCATAAAGAACAAAAATAGTCTCTCTCTTTAATTCTAAGGAATGTATCTGGATTGATCGGAATAGGTTCTCTGTCCCAACTGAGTTTATAAATAGAAAACATTTATAAACTAATATATGAGCCACGTGTCCCTTTCAAACCTTGAATATTCCATAGTAATAAAAAAAAAAAAAATACCGTCACCTTGGCTGGTTTGGCTCAGCGGTTAGAGCATTGGCCCATGTACCAATCTAGGCTGCAGGTTCAATGCACGATTCATGTGAAAGGCAACCAATCAATGCGTCTCTTTCACACTGATGTTTCTCTCTCTCTCCCTCCCTCCCATTCCCTCTGAAAATCAATGGAAAGATATCCTCATGTGAGGATTATCAATGGAAAAATATCCTCGGGTGAGGATTAACAACAACAACAACAAAATACTGTCACTGTACATAAAGGCACACACATAATACTTTACCCTCATTCATCATGTATTACAGTGTCAGAATGAGCATACCCATCATATCAGAAAATTAGATATTAGCAAGCAGCATGAGGTCAAAACAAATAATAATTTCATGTAATGTACCAATTTATTCTCCCCTGCAGACTTTAACTTCTCCTGAAGTTTTATGGTAGTCTGTCGGATCCTTTCTATCTCCTCCTGCTGTTTAAGAATCAGCTGTCTTTCCTTCCGAGCTGCTTTATTGGCTTCTTGAAGACGTTTAATTTCTGCCTAAGGTTTAAAAAGTTAGGAAAATTACTGAGATTTAGAAGAGAAAGGTCCAAAGTAATACATTAAAAGGAAAATCCAATCATCACATATAACAAAAGTAAACAAATATATACACTATTTCAAGATAAAAGTGATAACACTGAAAACTTTGTAAGTATTGAAAGAGGAAAAACAAGCCCTGGCCGGTTTGGTTCAGCGGTTAGAGCGTCGGCGTGCGGTTTGGAGAGACCCAGGTTCGGTTCCCGCTAAGGGCACGTACCTTGGTTGCAGTTTGTCCCCAGCCCTGGTTGGGTCGTGTGGGTGGCAACCACTCGATGTGTCGCTTTCACGTCGATGTTTCTCTCTCTCTCTCCCTCTCACTCTATCTGAACAAAATATCGAAAAATGTCCTCGGGTGAGGATAAAAAAAAAAAAAAAAAAAGAAAGAGGAAAAACAAGTCACATAACTCCATCTATGTAAAAAAATTTAACACAATCCCTTAATTTAAATAATTGTAATAACAGACTGATAATTTCATATGCCCTTTTTAAACATAATATACCCTTGCCCTGGCCGGTTTGGCTCAGCGGTTAGAGCATCAGCCTGCGGTCCCGAGAGACCCGCTAAGGGCATGTACCTCGGTTGCAGTTTGTCCCCGGCCCTGGTCGGTCGTGCGGGTGGCAGCCACTCGATGTGTCCCTTTCACATCGATGTTTCTCTCTCTCTCTCTCTCTCTCTCTCTCTCTCTTCCTCTCTCTCCCTCCCACTCTACCTGAACAAAAAAATGTCCTCGGGTGAGGATAAAAAAATTAAATTAAATTAAATAAATAAATAAATAAACAAACTTAATATACCCTTCACTTTTTTCCACAGCTAAACTCATTAATATAAGCATTATTCTATTGTTAATCTCTTAAATCCCTTAAAACTTTTACCATCACCAACAATGCTTTAATGTCTATAATTGTTTCACAGAGATTAAAAAAAATTAGGACATTTTATGGCCCTTAAAATAGTTTTTAATTTTTTTTCTTTATTGATTTTTTAGAGAGAGAGGGAGAGATAGAAACATCAAAGAGAGAGAACAATCGACTGGCCACCTTCTGCATGCCCCACACTGGGAATCTGGCCCACAACATGGGCATGTGCCCTGACCAGGAATCAAACCGGCAACCTCTTGGTGCATGGATCGATGTTCAACCACTGAGGAATACCGGCTGGGTTTAAAATAGTTTTGAAAATTGCTTTCAAAACAGAACTGTCTCCCCTTAAAATGCCACCAGAAACATTTAAGACTATACTGAACCAAACTCGTTCTACAAAGGATATTATTAACATCTCTGTTGCAAATTAAGTGGCAAAAGATAATACATTTCGCTATCAATAAATGTTAAAATGTAACAGAGACTTTTTAAAATAAATGTTTTCATATCTTTTCTTGTCAAAAATAATAAATGTAATAAAGATATTAACAACCCTTGCTGGTGTGGCTCAGTGGACTGAGCTTCGTCTCATGGACTAAGAGATACCAGTTCAATTCCCAGTCAGGGCACATGCCCAGGTTTAGGGCTCAATCCCCAGTAGGGGGCATGCAGGAGTCAGCCAATCGGTGTTTCTCTCTCACATCGATGTTTCTATCTCTTTTTCCCTTCTTCTCTCTCTAAAAAAAAAAAAAATCAATAAAAACATATTTTTAAAAAAGACATTAATAATTTAACTTATAATTTCTTGCAATAATGTTTGAGATATTTTAAAACTATCTAAAAATGCAGAATAGTTCACAATAAGCAACTAATTTCCAAAAATCCCAAATTAACAATTTTTAGTAGTCTGTCATATTTTCTCCTTGTCTTTAATTTCATAAAAAAATTAAACAATACATTGTCCCCGGCCCTGGTTGGTCGTGCAGGTGGCAGCCACTCAATGTGTCCCTTTCACATCGATGTTTCTCTCTCTCTCTCTGTTCCTCTCTCTCCCTCCCACTCTACCTGAACAAAAAATGGAAAAGTGTCCTCGGTGAGGATAAAAAAAAAGAAATTAAACAATACAGATAAAACCAGTTTGCAATCCCCTACCCGAACCCCCTAGAGGTAACCACTCTTATGGCCATATCCTTCCAGCATGTTCTTTTTAAATTCTTCCACAAATAGTTGTACTTAGCTGCAAAATCTATACTGTTTGGTTACATATTTTTAAATTTTATAAATAATATCATACTTTCAATCTTGTTTTATTTACTAGACATTGCTTTTGATATCACTCTATTGATTTACACCTATTTCACTTATCCCATTATCCCTATGGTTGGATAAGATTGTTGTCTACTATTACAAACAATGCTACAATGAAAATCCTTAGATTTTTTTTTGTCTCTTTGGACACATATAAGAGTTTCTCTGGAGCTGCAGTTAAGAAGTTATTAAATGGATTTAACAGTACACACAGCAGTGTAGAACGAATAACTAATGAATTCGAAGACTGGTCAATAAAAACTCTTCAAATTGAAGCACCGTGTTTTTTTTTTAATTATTTTAAAGCAGCGGTTGGGAACCTTTTTTCTGCCAAAGGCCATATGAATATTTATAACATCATTCACAGGCCATACAAAATTAGCAACTTAAAATTTAGCCTGTTATATTAGGTCAGGCTAATTTGATGAGACATGTGACATTAGCTGCTACTGATTTCACAGACCTTACATGACCCATGGGCTAGATGTTCCCCACCCTTATTTTAAAGAATGATATGTAAACAAAACAGAATAGAACAGAGATGTGGTAAATGGTCAAAAGATCTAACAAATGTCTACTTTGAGCCTCTGAAGGGAGGGTGAGGATAGGGCAGAAATAGCACAATGAAGAGACCGTTTTCAAAACCTGATGAAACACAACAAACAAAAGATTCAAGAAGCTCAGCAAACCCTAAATAGTATAAATACAAAAGACACCTAGGCACATAATAGCAAAACTCTTAAAAGCAGCCTTCAAACAGTAAGAAAACTGACTGCTCCACAAAAACAATGAAAAGCAGTAGACAATGGAAAATGAAAATGCTGAAAATAATTCTATACCCAATAAAAATATCCTTCAGAAATGAAGACGAAATAAATACATTTTCAAATTAACAAAAACTAAATGTGCTATCAGCAGGCATGCAATAATATATCAGATTCATCAAAATTAAACACTGTACTTTAAAGCACACTATTGAAAACACAACCCCACAGATTGAGAGAAAATATATGTAAATTTAGCTTTATTCTATTTTACAAACAGAAAACTACTATAATGTTGTAAGAAGTTATTTACTTATTTTAACTATGAAAAAATTTAAAGTTATTTAAACCCAATTTTTCTGGATTAAAAACATACAAGTTTTTAAAAAAACAACAACAACAAAGTTCAGAATTTTTTCAAGTTCATATGATCAGCAATGTTTCCTAGGGTAAACTTAAGAAAAAGAAAAGGCTATTTAAGTAGCAACTCAATAAACAACTTAAATAATTAAGTTCAGTAACAAAGTAGTAGTAACTGGCAACAGGTCAATAAGGAAAAAGAAAACTATAATCTATCAATTTCATACTGAGCAGTATATGAAACACATTTACATATGTTACCTCATTTAGTCCTCACAACCAATATATGAAGTATATATTATCTTACTCCTACAGATAAGAAAATAAAGTTGAAAAGAGTTCCTAAATTTGACTATGATTACACAATCGCAAGTGACAAAGCTAGAATTCAAATAACACCAACTGACATTCACTGAGCACTTGCCATTGCATCAAGGGCTGCTCTACGTTTGTTATATGTATTAATCCATGTATTCCTCCCAGCAAGCATGCAGAGTATGTTATCGTTGTTATCCTCAGTTTACTGATGAGAAAACTGAGGCACAGAGAAGTTAAGTACCTTGTCCAATGCTATGAAACTAATATTGGTAGACTTTGGATTTTAACTCAGGAAATCTGACTTTAGAGCTGAATTTTTAACTACTACAACACCATGCTACCAGGATTAAAATTCCAGGTCTTTCTGAGTTCACTAAGTCAAAATATCTGTCAATTTGTAATTAATATGTCTTGAAAATCTATTTGAAAAAACAGTGACTAAAAAAATTAATCTAAATAGACTCTTACAAATATCTTAATTTTTAAAAATATGCACTTCAAGGACTATTTTATTTTATATACTAAATGAAGGCAGAAAGTCCAACTATATTGCAGTGATTTTCAACCTTTTTCATCTCACAGCACATGTAAACTAATTACTAAAATTCTACGACACACCAAAAAGTATATTTTTTGCTGATCTTACAAAAAATAGGTATAATTTTGATTCATTTACACTGGATGGCTATTGTTGTGTTGGCTGTTGTCATATTTTTATTTGACAATCTGAGGGAAAAGAGGTCAGTGCCCCTGACTAAATAATCAGATAGTGGATGTTTTAAAAATTCTTGCACCAAGAGGTCACTGGTTCAATTCCTGGTCAGGACACATGCCCAGGTTGTGGACCCGATCCCCAGAGAGGGGCATGCAGGAGGCAGCCAATCAATGCTCTCTCTCACTGATGTTTCTATCATTCTCTCTAAAAAACTCAATAAAGGAAAAAAAAAATTTTTAATTCTTGCAGCATACAGGTTGAAATCACTGCTATACTGTATTAAGTTATCAGTGACACGCAATCCTAATTTGGAGAAATATAGCAGACTACCAAGCAACTCCTATAATTATAGTGGTATAGGCATAAACAGTGGTAAATATCAATTAAATCTCATTTAAGGTAATAATAAAAAAAGAGATCAGGCAAAACAGCAGAATCCACAATCTAACTTGCCTTATGACAGGTTCTCTTAAAGGAGTCTTTTTCCTAACATACCTTCTCTTGCTGCAACCTCAAGAGCAAACCACGCTGTTTCTTCCGAAGTGGAGGCATTTTATCATCTTCTCCTTTGTCTCGTAGATGTCTGCAAATATTTCCCATAAAGATAAAGATTAGATTAAATTGCTAATGTCAATAATTTCAACCACTAAAGTCTCTAAACCAAATGAGGAAAACAGTTGCTGCGTGCAACAATTCCTATTCCAACAATTATTTTACTGCATATGTAATGTATGAAAAAACTAGACTGTGTTCTTTAAAGAGAAAACAGCTTTGAGAAATTTACAATATAATAAGGGAATTAAACATAAAATAACAACATAAGAGTCACTTAAGTGATAACAGAAATGCAAAGAAAAAGTCACATGAGTGAAAGTAACATGATTCAAGGATGGTAGCCACACCCCTGGCCGGTATGACTCAGTTGGCTGAATCTCATCCCAAGTACCAAAAGGTTGCTGGTTCGATTCCCAGTCAGGGTATACATGCCCAGGTTGCAGGCTCAATCCCTGGTCGGAGTATGTACAGGAGGCAGCTGATCGATGTTTCTCTCACATCGATGTTTCTTTCTCTCCCTCCCTCTCTCTTCCTCTCTCTCTCTAAGAATCAATAAAAACATATTTTTCAAAAAAGGGACAATGGACATATTTCTAGTTTGTGAAACTGGGTTGATAAAATCAAATTAAATGAGGAAATAAAAACATCTTTAAAAACAAAGCATTTCCTTTCAATCAAAGAAGAAATTAAAAAGTGAAAACTATGTTCACTGAAACTTACTTTTTCTGATGCTCTAGCCAGGCTAATTCAGCCTTAGTTTTCTCCTTCAAGGCTTTTTCACGGAGACGCAGGAGTGAAGATTGGTGAGCTGCCCTCATTTCCTCTTCTTTCATATACTGTCGAACCATCTCCATAGTAAACTTAGAAAAGCTATCTTGTCCTCCTGAGAATGGCATGCTCAGCTAATATAGAGAGTTTATTTTGAGTTTATCATCATCTAAACCTTTTAGAACATAATTAACTTCATTAAAAAAGGTGTGCAGGGAAAAAAAGAGGTATGCACTTATAAAAATATATAGAAATAAAAGTAAATTAAATAAATTAAAAATATTGCCAATCATGTAGAAAATATTCTTCAAAAAAGGCACGAGAGGGAGTAACATTCATCTGCTAATTTATTCAGCGATTAAAATTTTAACAAACAACCACTGTGGCTAGTACTGTCCTGGGGATATAAAACAAGGTAAGAATTTGTCCCTGTTATTGAAAAGGCTTACACTTTAATAATATAAATATAAATTTTAAAATAGAATAAGGTTCTTTAGGGGTGAAGCAAATAAAAAAGCTACAGAGTAACTTTGGCTCAGATCCTTAAAGGCCTTAACAAATAAGTTTGTATTCTACTCTGTAAGGAAGGCAAAACCATATTTTATAACAAAAGTATAACATAAAATTGGTATCTTAGGAAATCACTTTGGTAGCTGACAACTGAGTTCAAGTATAAAATGTGATCTCACAACTTTGAGGAAACACATCACAACCACTTATGACGTCTCTATAGGTAAACTGAAACCCACCTTGGCAGAAGATAACGTAGTCTTTTCTGGGGAAGTTTCTTCATCAGAGTCATCATGATGGCCTCTTTTCTTTTCCATGTTAAATCTGCGATGACTCTCAGAAGGTAATAAAGATCGAAATGATTTTTCTTCTATTTCATCTTCTGTCATGGATTCATCAAATTTCAGGGAATATTCTGTTGCAATAGAAGCTGAATCTAAAAGAATATGGAGCAGCAGATTTTATCATAACAGTTTTCAGTAGATATTCAATTAGTAGTGCTTATTGCCTCTTTATGGGACAGTATAACAAATTTATATAACTAATCACTAGCAGTAAGCATGAAATACAATTCACTTATCTTACAAACAAGAACAAAAACTCTAAAATATCTAAAAATATTAGTATAACAAATATGGTAAAAGTGTAATGCACTTCATATACAAAGAGCTCTTACAAAGCAATTAGTAAACTAATACCCCTATAGAAAAATGAGAAATGGTCACAGGCTGCATTCCATGCTGGTACCACCACCCTTCCACACACACATTCTGGCAGATGTGTATGTGTTTAGTTTGCATATGTTAAAGTTTACTGTTTGTGATGTACGAGTCTGGGGTTTTGACAAATGCATAGCACCAGACAGTGCATACAAAACCATACAAAATACACAATATCCTTTGCATAACAGTTGTTTCACACTAAAAAGTTCTCCTGTGCATTCACTTTGTAGTCAATCATTCTTCCTCCTAACACCTGGGAACCATTAATCTATTTTCCATCCCTATAGTTTTGCCTTTTCTAGAATTTCAAATAAATGGAATCATACAGCCCAGGCCGGTTTGGCTTAGCGGTTAGTGTCAGCATGCGGACCAGAGAGTCCCAGGTTTGGTTCCTGTTAGGGGCAGTTCATGGTACCTCGGCTGCAGTTCATCCCCGGTCCCGGTTGGGGTTGTGTGGGTGGCAATCAGTTGATGTGTCTCTCTCACATTGATGTTTCTCTCTCTCTCTTCCTCCCTCCCACTCTATCTGAAGATAAATGCAAAAAATATAAATAAATGAATGAATGGAATCATATAATATGTAGCCATTAGGGGCTTGCTTCTTTCACTTAGTAAAATTCACTTCAAATTCATCCATGTTGTTGCATGAATCAATAGCTTCTTCCTTTTAATTGCTGACTAGTATTCCATTGTATAGATCCACCAGTTTATCTATTCCTCTCATAAGATGTACTGTAGCTTCCAGTTTTTAGCAATTAAGAAAAACAGCGCTACGCTGGCCAGTGTGGCTGTTGGCTGAGCATTGTCCCATGCATCAAAAGGTTGGTGGTTCGATTCCTGGTCAGAGCACATACCCAGGTTGTGGGCTCAATCCCCAGTAAGGGGCATGCAGGAGGCAGCCAACAGATGTTTCTGCCTCTCCCTTCCTTCCTATATAAAATCAATAAAAACATATTTTTAAAAAAGAATAATAGTGCTATGAACAATAGTGATAGGTTTTTGTGTAGACGTACATTTTCAAATCATTTGGGTAAATACCTAATCATGTGATTGCTGGGTCCTTACAAAATACTGTGAAAACATCTCCAAAAGCGCATTTTACACTCTCTTCAGCAATGAACACAGCAAGCTCCTGTTGCTCTGCATCTTTGCCACCAATTTATTGTCAGTTTTTAAAATTTCATTTTCCTAATGACATGATATTGAATACCTTTCCTATGTCTATTTGCCATTTGTACGTTTTCTTCATTGAAGTGACTATTCAGAGCTTGTGCACATTTTTTTTTTAAATCCTCTCCCAAGGATATTTTTCTACTTATCTTCAGAAAGAGTGGGAGGGGCTAGAGAGGAAGAGAGAGAGAAACATCAATGTGAGAAAGACACATTGATGGTTGCTTCCCACACAATCCTGACCAGGGCTGGGGACTGAACTGCAACCAAGGTATGCGCCCTTGACTGGACTCAAACTGTGACTCTTTGGTCTGTGGGCCCATGTTCTAACCACCGAGCCAAACTGGCCAGGGCTTGCAGATTTTGTAATTGGGTTGTTGATTTTCTTGTTGTTGAATTCTTAGAGTACTCTAAGATACTGGAAGTTAGAGTTTCGACAGGAATTTTGAGGAGAGACAATTCAGTCCACAACATTCCATCTTCTGGCTCCCCAAAATTCACTCCTTCTTGGGAATGGCAAGAGGTATTCAAAGTGATGAAAAGCAACAACCTACAACCAAGATTACTCTATCCTGCAAAGCTATCATTTAGAATCGATGAACATACAAAGAGTTTCCCAGACAAGGAAAAGCTAAAGGAGTTTATCACCACCAAACCAGTATTATATGAAATGTTAAAGGGTCTTCTTGAAGAAAAAGAAAAATATGAACAATAAAATGGCAAAATACATATCTATCAATAATTGAATATACAAACAAATGAATAAACAGAACAGAAACAGACTCATAGATACAGAGAACTTTGTGTTGGTTGCCAGATGGGAGGGGACTACAGAGATGGTGAAAAAGGTGAAAGAATTAAGAAGTACAAATTGGTTGTTAAACTGATGAACTTCAAAGAAAAGGGGGGAGGGAGGGCAAGAAGAGAGAAACCAAAGAACTTACATGCATATATGCCTAACACAGACAATAGTGTGGGGAAGATATGAGGGGGGCAAGAGCGGGGAGGAGGGGGTCAAATGGGGGGGAAAAGGCAGGACATCTGTAATACATTCAACAATAAAGATAAGTTTAAAAAGAAAAAAAATTCACTCCTTGTTTGCAAAATACATTCACAACCCAAGAGCTCCAAAAGTCTTAACACATTCCAGCATCAACTACACATTCAAAGTTTCATCGAAATATAATTTAATTAGGTATGGGTGAGAGTCAGAGTATCATTCATCCTGAGACAAAATTCCTCTCTAGCTATGAACCTGTGAAACAATACAAGTTATATGCTTCCAAAATACAATGGTGGGACAAGCCCAGAACAGACAATCTCACTCCAAAGGGAAACACTGGAAAGAAAGGAATACTTGGTTTCCAGCAAGTCCAAAACCTATCAAGGCAAATTCTATTAGATTTTAGGTTCAAGAATAACCCTCTGGCTGGATGACACGCTCTACAAACCCACAGAAATGACAGTCATGCTTTCGAGGCCTATCAGGGTGGCCTTGCCTACTCATCCCTGAGTGGCAGCTGCACCCCTTGGCCACTGGGCAAGGGCAGCCTGGACAACTGAAACCAAGGAGGTGCCCCACCCCCCCTCTGAAACCAACGAGTAGGCAGTCTTTTCACCTGGGCCTTTGTGCTCTGAGCCTCAGGATCATTCTTATCTTTTCTTGAAGGATAAGGCATGTTCACAGCTGGATCACCCTACTGTCTCATTTCCGAGAATCCCAGAGGTCTGAAAGCCTTCCTAAATTTCATCCCTTCTCTTGCCCTTCAATGCAAAGTAGCAGTGTCACCGCTGGTAAAATCCCATCTCTATTCCTGGTTTCTGCTGAGATGGTTGATTATATCCATGGGTAATCTCTTTATGGAGTGATTGTCAAGTAATATCCTTGGTGTTCTCTCCAGAACATGTTTTCTCATTTACAATACCAATAGGCTGAGAGTATTCTAAATCTTCAAGTTCTGCTTCCTTTTTGCTTAATTCCTTCAATTTATCTCTCCTCTCACATTTTACTCTAAGCCATAGGAGAAACCAGGCCATGACTTCAACACTTGGCTTAAAAATTTCCTGGACTAAATATCCAAATTCATCATTTTTAACTTCCATTTTCCACAAAACTACAATACAGTTCAACCAAGTTATTTGCCACTTTGTAACAAGGACTGCCTTTCCTCCAGCTTCCAACACATTCCTTATTTCCATCTTCACCTGACTTCACCAGTCCTGCCAATGGGTCTGCAAGACAATGTAGGCTTTTTCTAGCATGCGCCTCAAAACACGTAGCCTCTGCTCATTAGCCAGTTCCAAAGCCACTTCCACATATTTAGCATTTGTTATGGCAGCACCCCAGTTCTAGGTACCAAGATCTGTATTAATCAGGTAGGGCTGCCATAACCATAAACTGCAATATCCATATATTATTTTCATTATAAAATGTACGAAAAAGATGTTTAAAGGATGAGAAAAATTAAACATTTTCTTCTTGGACTCCAAAGACAATCCTGCCCACGCTGCTTTGCAGACTACAGAACTTACTATCAATCAAATACAAAGCTTAAGAACCAGTTATTTAAAAAATAAATTCTAGCCCTGACTGGTTTGGCTTAATGGTTAGAGCACTGGCCCATGGATCAAAGGGTCATGGGTTCACTTGCCAGTCAAGGGCACATACCTGGGTTATAGGTTCGATCCCTGACCCCAGTCAGGGTTGTGCAAGAAGCAATCAATTGATGTCTCTCTCTCACATGAAAGTCTCTCTCCCTCTCCCTCCCTTCCTCCCTCCCTTCCTCCCTTCCACTCTAATAACAACAACAACAAAAATCAATGGAGAAATATCCTCTGGTGAGGATACACACACACACACACACACACAATCTAGAATGGAGGCTGCTAATATTCTGATTTGATGTCTTAAAGGTGTCATTTGTTGCCAGATTCGGTTTTCTTTATGTTATTTACTGCCCATAACTTGATAGGAATACAATTTTTATTTATGATCTAGGAAGAGCTGAGTAATGAATTTTAATACAGTTGTCATATTTTATGTTGTCATTATACAAAATTATATCTTTCTTATATAGTTTAACATGTAAAGTTCTAATAATGTATTCTTTTTATGCTTATTACATATATATCTATAATAGGATAAAAGTAGGTTTTTTCAGTGTTGAGTATATATTTTTCATTAACATGAACATTCTCCTAGATTTAGTTTTGCCTCCCCTTAGGATCATGACACATAATTGTATAAAATACTGGCTAGGATTACTGGCATAGTGTATGCCCTTAAAATAGTTTCACCTGGATACATTTACTATCAAACACATAACCTTGTCTTCATTATCACCATGTTCTAATTATATTAACTAGCTCAGTCACAAATATCTCAAAGGGTTCTGGAAGCCTCCCAAAACAAACAGTTACACATATATGTACAAGGAAGTTACCTTTCTCATCGGGAAGAGATGGTACACTGTCACTCCGTAGTGAATCATCCGCAGCAGTCTGAACCTGTTCATCAATAGAACTTTCCATCTTGCCACTGTGAAGTTTCTTCTCATTTTCCATAGAAGAGGGAACTGAAGGACTTTCCTGACGGCTGCTGCTACTACTACTCCTGCTTATAAATATTATAGAAACAAACCAAAAAAAGGCAATATCGTAAGGTTAACTTTAGAGTAAACTTATTTGGCTAAAGGAATGTTCAAGCAAGCTATAAAATGATAAAATATGTAGTATCAAATATAATAATAATAAGAATACATAAATCTGAGAAGAAACTTTTAGAAAAAATGAGTAGGGCCCTGGCCGGGGTGGTTCAGTGGTTGGAGCATTTGCCTGAGCACTGAAGGGTCATGGGTTTGATTCCTAGTTAAGCGTTGCAGGTTTGAACCCCAGCCCCAGTCAGAGCACGTGTGGGAGGCAACCAATAGATGTATCTCTCTCACACTGATGTTTCTCTCTCTCTCCCTCCTTCCCTCCCTTCCACTCTCTCTAAAAATCAATGGGGAAAATGTTCTGGGGTGAGGATTAACAACAACAAAAGAGTAGGAGAGAGGAAGGTTTCACATTTAAATAATAGTCACAATGGGCAACCGCTATATTTTAAGGCTATTACACAGGTAATTCCTTTCATTTTAAAACCAAGCTACTGGGAAAGGGGCTTCTACTTGGTATTTCCATTCCCTTACTTTTCATCAACATCATGATTGACCACAGTCTGCTTCAACTCCAACTACTCTACTGGAACTTATAAATTCTACCTAAACTCTAACTGCCAAATCTAACAGATATCTGCAACATTAGATGGTGTTGACCTGTACTGCCTTCTTTAGAAGTTCTACTTGCTAAAGCAAATGTAAGTAAAATGTTAACATTAGGCTAGTCTGGATAAAAGATTAAGTATAGCCCTGGCCGGTTTGGCTCAATGGTTGAAGCGCTGGCCCATGGACCAGAGAGGCCTGGGTTCGATTCCCGCTAAGGGCACGTACCTTGGTTGCAGTTTGTCCCCGGCCCTGGTTGGGGTCGTGTGGGTGGCAACCACTCGATGTGTCTCTCTCACATCGATGTTTCTCTCTCCCTCCTGCTCTATCTCAAGATAAATACCAAAATGTCCTTGGGTGAGGATTAAAAACAAAAGATTAAGTATAATAAATACATATACAGTGCTTATAAATATAGGTTCTCAAGGAATGGCAGCTATATTGCTACATAAAACTGCTTTATAAACCAGCTAATTAGATGGGAAAGCCAAAACTTTGAAGGGAATACACTATTTCATTTAAAGAAATGAGATTAAGAAGTCAAAAATAAAGCAATGTCTCAGCCACTTATCAGACTTTACAACATCACTTTTTTCACCTTCTATCGTGATTCTTGTATCTTGAAGATTCAGAATAACTATCAAATGAAGACGAATACTTCTGATGCTTTGAGTCAGAGGTCCCTTCTTTATTGTGAGAGAGTGAAACAGACTGATTTTTCCTACAAAGAAAATAAAAATGTATTAAACATTTAAAGTCTCTAATAAAAGATTATAAATACTGTTCAACATTAATATGAGATAAATGAACAGGAATTATAAAATAACTTACAAAGTACTTGAAAGAATTCACTCACAAAAAGAGTATATAACACATTAAAGATATCTTCTGCTTTATTATGAGAAATAAACACAAATTACCCCAACTATCAATGAATGTGAATAGACTTAAAAATCTATGAATTAGAGAGTCAAAATATGATGTACAAGGCAACACACACAAAACATGATCACTTTACCTAGCCCCACTTAAAACACTCTCTAATGACTTCGTTGCTCTAGAATAAACAAAATCCTTAAGGTCTTCAAGACCCTACCATCAGCCCTGGCCGGTTTGGCTCAGCGGTTAGAGCGTCGGCCTGTGGTCCGGAGAGACCCGGGTTCGGTTCCCGCTAGGGGCATGTGCCTCGGTTGCAGTTTGTCCCCAGCCCTGGTCGGTTGTGCGGGTGGCGGCCACTCGATGTGTCCCTTTCACGTCGATGTTTCTCTCTCTCTCTCTGTTCCTCTCTCTCCCTCCCACTCTACCTGAACAAAAAATGGAAAAATGTCCTCCGGTGAGGATTAAAAAAAAAAAAAAAAAAAGACCCTACCATCATCTGATCCCTGGATCATCTCCTACCATTGTCCCCTTTGTACTTTGCCTCCAGTCCCATTGGTCCTCCTTCCTTTTCTCTTCCTACATTTACATGTATTGACCTGCCTATTCCTTACCTCCTTTACCCTACTGACTCCTTTTCATCCACTATATCTCACTATAAGCCTTAGTTCCTCAGGAAAACTTTCTCTGAACTCTTTGTACCCACAGGCTATTCAAATTCCTTTGTTATATATCTCAGAGACAAAGTTCCTTTCTTTCATAACACTTACCTCAATTTACAGTGTTCATTCTCTTAAGTGACTATTTGATTAATGTATACCTTCCTCTCTAGACTGTATGCCCATCACTATATTCCCAGCACCCACAATAGTGCCTGGAACACAGGAGATACTCATTACATATTTGATGAATGACCGAATATTGACCTATCTGTTTCAGCTCTGGTCCTCAATTGTTTCACGAAGTCTGGAGCATGTTGGCGCTGGTGGTCGTACAGTGTTGCTAGGTGAGCTCCTGAAGCAGTAATGGCATCTGAGATATGAGTTCGAGTCAATTCTGCCATCTAAATATGAACACACACAAGGCAAAAGTAGATGAACAACTAAAAAGGAGTAGGATGTCTTAAAAAGACCACCGAACTGAGCACAAGCAAATTTTGCAGTAATAGGGGAATACTGTGGGCAAATCATTTAGACCCTTTAAGTCTCAAAAGCTTCCTTATAAAAATAAATATAACATGACTTTTAAGGTTTCACCCAGCTATAACAATCTACAAATTAGACAGAAGACCTTCAAGTCACATAATGAGTTATAGTAAACCAAAAATTAAATCTTCCTTTAAGAATCAATTCAATTACTACTTCCTATCTGAGTCTTTTCTGAGCAACAATGTGAACTATCTTTTCCTTACTCTTAGTCACTAACCCATTTCTGCATTTATTTTTCATTTTGTATTTTTTCAATCACTGCCTTGATGACTTGAAGTGTTTTTAAAATCTTTGTTAATGTTTAAAATTTTCCTGAGAAAAAAGATGCTATTTTATACTTACTTGCACAATCCTATAGTATCCAACACACAGAAGCTTCATGGCTTTTTAATAACAATAATTTCACAAGCAATATTAAATGGTAACTGCTAAAATAAACTGAAACTATATTGACTATGATATCCTACATAGAGACAGCAGTAAAACTACTTCTAGCTTTATCCTTGGCACAGTAAAAAACACTAACAACACTGGGTAAAATGAAATCTTCATATAAAGCAGGTCAGTGGCTCCCTGGGACCAAGATTGGGAACTGACTATAAAGGGGCATGAAGGAACCTTTTAGTGTGTTGGAAATAGTGACTAAAGTGATGTTTATAGGGATGGATAGATAAAATACATGCATCTATGTATTTCTCAAGTCATCAAACTGTATACTTAAAATAAATGCATGTTATTATTTATAAATTATTCATCCATAAAATCAGTATTATTTTTAAAAAGCTTACTCAAGGGAAGAAATGTAGAGTTCTCCATCTTTTTCTCTGCCTCTGTGCATTCAAATGAACAAGACACTGCAATGAAAAGCACTGAGAAGCAAAGGGTCCTCAGTGGCTCTCACCTCGCAGATCTGGCGTGCTGCATCTGTGGTGAGGCGAGCAGTCTCTGTCTGCTGCGCGGCTATTTTACAAGTTGCTTCCTGCAGGACTTCAGTTACATCCCGTTGTGACTTAACCACCTGTTGTAATGATTCCACGTGGACCTGTAAATAAAAGAAGATGAAAAGAGAACTTCTGTCATGTCACAAAATTTGTAAATTTGTTTCATGAATCAAATGCCTTACAAAAAACAAACCAACCAACCAATGGACTACTACCTGAATTTCACGTCTTAAAATCTAGAGTTTAAAACTTGGAGTCTTAATATCACTGCTGAAGTTTAAGTCTTAACTCCACTGTTCATGAGATAATGTGTCTGTAGACAAGTACTAACATGTACCTCAGCTCCCACTTATTAAATTGGGGCTAAATCTTGACTACATAACTTCACAGGGTTGCTACAAGAATCAAATGACAAGAAATTAACCTATATTGCATATTTTACATCTTTTCCTTTTTACTCCTACATAATTAAAAAAATACTGAAGTGATTTCAAAGATACAAATTTAGGTTTAATAACTAGTTCTTGCTGCAAAATAAGTTACCTGAGCTGCTTTGTTTTGGGTTTCTTCTAACTGTCTCTGACACTCTAGAGCCTCTTGTTCAGCCTTCAATTTCAAAAGGGCCAAGTCTCTTTCATGGCGTTGCTGCTGTGCCTTCAAGATAAAGAAATGATCAACTATTAATCCTAAAACATTAAACGATTGCAACACAGTGACTATATTAAACACAATGCTATTTTCTTAACAAATCTTTTGAAAAATAAAAAAAGACAATAAACAGGATAGACATCAACTATTTATCATTTACCAAAATATTTAGTGACCACCTATGTTTTTTTAACTCATCATTAAGACTATTTTAAATAGCAAAGAAAAAATTTTAAAAACACAGAAAGCTGAAGAAGAAAACTCCACAAATACCTTTATGATCTGAGCTAGAGACACACTCTCTTGCTGAGCAAGTGAAATGCCTCTAACTCTTTCTACATCTGAGAGCTGACGCACAGACTCCTCAATGGCACTCAAGTAACTCAGTTCAGCTGCCATACGATGCTGGAGGCCAGCAGGAGAAAAGCGTTTAGAACCTGGAAGGCATAACAAATGTCAAATGGGAAAGTTCACATGAAGTTAAATTACATCTCAGATTTCTAAGATTCATTTCTCATTTTAAGAGCCAAAAACAAAGACAGTGACTTATAAGTACCATGTATTTTAATAGTTACTTCTTTGTGTGTGTATGTGTGTGTGTGTGTGTGTGTGAACATGCACAGATGTCTACATGCATACATAACTATGAACACTTAGGAGTACATACATGGCATACATTTTTCAATGTGTTTTTGCTAACGCTGGCATGATGGGGAAAATCACTACTACTGAATCTCTCATGCTTCTTTTTTTTTTTTTTTTTGTTTTGTTTTGTTTTTAGTCCTCACCCGAGGACATTTTTTGATATTTTGTTCAGATAGAGTGGGAGGGAGAGAGAGAGAGAGAAACATCGACGTGAAAGGGACACATCGAGTGGTCGCCACCCACATGACCCAACCAGGGCCAGGGACAAACTGCAACCGAGGTACATGCCCTTAGCGGGAACCGAACCCGGGTCTCTCTGGACCGCAGGCCGATGCTCTAACTGCTGAGCCAAACTGGCCAGGGCTCTCATGCTTCTTAATATTCATTTTCCTGCACAACTTCTGTTTTCCATTTGAAAAATCATTTCCTCGTGATTCAACTAAAAGAAACCTTTTTAAAAAATTAACCTTTAAAATCTTTAAAATCACAACGGCACTGCTGACTTGCCTGGTGTTGAAGTCATCTCTGCAGATGCTCTGCTGGCAGCCATGCTCACATCAGGAAAAGCTGCATTAGGCTTGAGTCCTGCTATAGATGAAGGCATTATAGCTGAGGACTTAGATCTTTCTAACGAAGTTCCTGGAAGGTCAAACTGCAACAGTTTCTGGGAACTTGGAGATAGGGGAGAAGTTGGAGTTTTCTGAGATCTTCCCTTATCTGATGAGACACTAAAAGATTGGTTTCAAAAAAAAACATTAGAGAAGGGAAAACTACTTCAGAAACCAGCTAAACAATTCATAAGAAGAGCATGCATTACTTTATTAGCATCAGCTTTAAAAGCTGTGATTCAGGCATTTATTCATTCAACACAGTCGCTATGCTGAATGAACTCCTCTGAGTGCTCCTCTTATTGTCGCATTTACAGTGGTGAACAAGCTAGAAACAAACCTGCCCAAAATAAAATGGAAAAGTAGTCTCTGGATTAAACTACCACTTTTCTCTACAATGTAAATATACCATAAATTGTTACTGAAGTATGAGGCAAAATCCTTTATTATATAGCAATAAAATTAGTCACATATAAAAGATCTAGTCCTTTAAAAATGTGTTAATATATGTCTCTGAATGAGGAAAATATATCATTTTGTATTAAAAATCAATAAATGACAAAAAGTACTCTCTTGTTATTCCCTTTAACCCAAAAGGTAAAAAAATAGAGTATGCAAACTCCATAATCATATAAAATTGAGATTTCAAAATCTGCTTGAGTATTTCAATAAGTTGAAAAGGAGAGAAAAATTCAGAGAAAGAAATAAACAATGAGGCCACAAGAATGCCAAGTAGTTGTGTTGAAAGAGTAAAAGAACACAGTTGAGAAGCAAAAGGTACAGACAAAGGAAATGAGAGAGTCCGTGCTTAGTGAAAACACTTCAGGCACAGTTAAGTTCTTAGAGCTGATCTGCGGGGTGGCTGTGAGCTGCCCAAGTACCCGAGGGAAGCAGCTGCCTGGGCAAGGGTGAGCGAGGGAGCGGCTGTGCAATGGCGTCTAGAATAGAAAGGTGGGCTGTGCTAGAGGCAGAGAATTCCCGAGGGAGAGGTTGTTAATATTTTAGATGAGAGATGGTCAAACTCTAAAATATAAAGAATAGAGCTATGAACAAAACTACAGTATCTATTCATACATTACAGAAATTTATTAAGTGGATTCACTGAACATCAGTAATACTGTACCTTTAATTAAAATAAATTACAGTATGAAATATACATTATTTTACCTCAAAGAATGCCCAGAAAGATCCTCCAAAGTGCTCTCTGTGTCAAGAGTCTGCTCATAGTCTCTGACAGAAAGTTTGCTGCCGGTCTCAGACTTTTTCCCTTGATGAGAGCCACGTTCTGAGCCAGAGTGTACTTTTTCCTCATCAAGAAGTGAGCTCTGAATGTTTCCAGTGAGTGAATCCAGCCCTGTAAAGTAAATTTCTTATAAAGCTGATTTCCAATAGAAGCGACTGAAAGATAATTGACAGATACCTAGATTTCAGTAAAATATAAGTGCAGAACAGAATATTTTAAAATTGACTTATTTTTGGCCCTGGTCGGTTTGGCTCAGTGGTTAGAGTGGAGGCAACCAGTTGATGTGTCTCTCTCACATCTCTCTCTCCCTCTCCCTCTCCCTCTCTCTCTTTCTCTCCCCCCTCCCACTCTATCTGAAGATAAATGGAAAAATATCCTTGGATAAGAATTAAAAATAATAATAATAAAATAAAATTGACTTATTTTTAAAATTTATTTTCCATATCTAAAATAAAGTTCACTCTTCTGCTTCCATTTAAGGGAAGTAAAATTTCTTACATTAACATCCTTTATTTGCTATTAAAAAAATAAATGGTTGTTAAATCAAATGACTAAAAAAGACTACTTTACAGTACTATTCTAAGCCTATAAAAAAGTAACAAAAAGAAGTCTTTCAAGGATAAAACCCAAAGTTGAAGAAAAATGTTATCAACTGCCAACTGGACTACACAATACTTTTGGAAAACTCTATGGTAAGTACTACATAGCCAGATTCATAAAACTGTTCATATTCTCTGACTCAGAATGAGTATCTTAAAGAGATCACTGACACCAACAAGCAAAAATTATGTACAATAATCCATTAACAACTTTATATGATTTTCAAAAGTTCAAACTTTATTTGCAACAGAAGAGTTGTCTAAATTACATAGATAATAGTAATGTAAACATTTAAAAAGCACTTGGCAATTTAAAAAGCACTCCTTAAACATCTTATGAAGTGGGTAGTGTATGCTCCTTTAATGATGAGGTAACTAGCACTGGCTGGTTTGGCTTAGTGGTTAGAGCGTCGGCCCATGAACCAGTGACTTGTGGGTTCAATTCTGGTCAAGGGCACATACCTCAGTTGCATTTCGTGCCTAGCCCTGGCTGGGTTGTGCGGCAGGCAACCAGTCGATGTGTCCCCGTCACTTCGATGTTTCTCTCCCTCCCTCTCTCCCTCTCTTCCCGCCTTCCTCCCACTCTATCTGAAGATAAATAGAAAAATGTCCTCAAGTAAGGATTAAAAAAAAAGAAAAAAAATTAAGAGGGAACTAGAGATCTATGAGGCTCCTTTCTTAAGGATACATGTTCAATAGCAGAAATAGGGTTTCCCAGGCTTCATGACTCTATATCTAGTGCACCATTCACCTTGACATGTTTCAATAGCAGCATAGGAAAATATTTGTTACGTTAAAAGAATAAGCAGAGCCCTGGACAGTTTTTCTCAGTGGTTAGAGCATCGGCCCATGGACCAAAGAGTCGAGGATTCAATACCCCTTCCCAGTCAAGGTCGTGCATGAGGCTTTCTCTCTCTCTTTCTCCCCTTCCCTCCCATGGTGCTAGTTGCACAATAAATCAACGTACTTACTTCTACTGAACTGTGTGTGCACTTAACAATGGTTAAATTTTGTAGTCAAATTCGTAGACATGAAATAGAATGGTGGCTGCTGGGGGTAGGGGAAGGAAGAATGGGAAGTCACTGTGTAATGGGTACAGAGTTTAGTATGGAATGATGATTGCCACTTTCATCTACTAACTACTTTAAATTTCATTGGGAAGCAGTTTTTTGTACAGAGCATGCATACAGTCCTTTGCACCACCAGATGGAGTATACACAACAAAAATTACACTGACTTGAGGATAAGAAAATTAAGTTTAAGATGATACTGTGGGAAGTAAAATAAATAGTTTTTTTAAGTCACTGTTAGAGGGACCAGGAATCTGAAAGCCATAAAACACTACCTATATTACATTTAATGTTTTATTTTTTACTTTTTTTATTTATTTTTTATCCTCACCCGAGGACATTTTTCCGTTTTTTGTTCAGGTGGAGCGGGAGGGAGAGAGAGGGGGAGAGAGAGAGAGAAACATCGATGTGAAGGGACACATCGAGTGGCTGCCACCCGCACGACCAACCAGGGCTGGGGACAAACTGCAACCGAGGTACGTGCCCTTAGCGGGAACCGAACCCGGGTCTCTCTGTACCGCAGGCCGACGCTCCAACCGCTGAGCCAAACTGGCCAGGGCACATTTAATGTTTTAGATTCTAAATTTTAAAAACCTATAATGAATCATATTGCTTATAATCTTAATATATCGTTGATATTTTAAGTTGTACAGTATATTGTAGTAGAATTTGGGAGTCAGAATTCAGGCTTGAGTAACCTTAAGTGAGACACTAACATAAACAAAGCATAAAACTGCAAAATAAAAGAACTAAACAAGATCAGCATTTCACAAAATGTGTTCAGCTGACTTCTAATGTTATAACATGCTGGTTCACTGAAGAAATGATTCTGTGGGCAAATAAATTTGGTTAATACTTCATACTATAGCCTAACCCTCTTCCTAAAATAAATAATGCATATTAGCATATTAAAAGTCTGGGATGATGAAAAAGGTCTAGAAATGGCTAGTGACGATGGTTGCACAACAATGTGAATGTGCTTAATGGGAATGAACTGTTCACTTTAAATAGTTAAAATGATAAAGTTTGTATTACGTACATTTGGCACAATAAAATAAAACAAAATCTAAAAAAAGTTATCAGTTATCTGTAGGTGGAAGGATTACAGGTGATTTTTAATTTTTATTTATTTATTTTAATCCTCACTCGAGGATTTTTTCTTCCATTTATCTTCAGACAAAGTGGGAGAGAGGGAGAAGAAGGGGGAGGGGGAAGAAGGGGAGAGAGACACAGAGAAACATGGACTGGTTGCCTCCTGCACAACCCTGACCAGGGCCGGGGACCGTACCCCAACCGTGTATGCCCTTGATCGAAATCAAACCTGCAACTCTTTGGTCCTCGGGAGGACGTTCTAATCACTGAGCAAAACTGGCCAGGGCTGGAGTGAAATAACTTTAGATCACTATCACAAAATCATTGATAAGAGAAAAAGTCACCTTGTAGAATTCCACTTACATTCTATCTTTTCCTTTTTTCCTTTCCTTCCTTTAGAAGAAGTAGATGAACGAGACGATGCAGCAGACTGGGCCCCTGATGAATGCTGGGAGGTAACATCCACAGAGGAAAGATCATAAGCTGACTTCCTGCTAGAATGGTCATCCTTAACGCCCAAATTGCTACCACCAATACTGTCAAAAAATAATAGTGATTAAATAAATAACAAGTATTAAAATGCAGCCAAAGTATAGATATTTTATATCTATGTAATCACAAGGAGAATATAACTATACTCAAAGATGCCTTCTACTTTTCTTTTTTGTTTTCTTACTACCATAACCCTGGATTCTTTCAATTATTACTGAGAAAAATATCAGGGAGCTGTTTACCAAAATAAAACCAATAAAAATGGACAATTCAGACACAAGAGAAATAAATATACTGGATACTAGAAAATGTGGCCTCAATTTCTATTCAGACTTGTAATTTTAGATATGATCATTATTTTCCTTCTGATAATCTTACAGGGAACAACACTTTAATATGTTCTACTTCAACCTAGAAATGAAATGCAATACATAATATTGATTGGTGATATTAAATGTCACAATTAAATCCTTACGGGTTTTTATTTTAAAATTTGATCTTTTCTTTAGAGCTCAAAATTTAAAACTACACTTTTCCTGCTATAATTTTAATAATACTTATTTTCACTAGTCCAAATAAATACAACTATTTTTAAAAGATCATTCAATAATTTTATATGGATTACAATTTGCAATTTATTAAGAAAATTATATTAAATTTAAGTAATTACTATAGTAAAAAAATTTAGGAAGGAAATTTTCTCTGGCCCAGTCTGATTCACTTGCTATATGACTCTGTACAAGTATCTTAATTTTAGTGCTTCAGTTCCTGAAGTGGGAATGGCAATAATAATACTAATCACATCAGGCTACAATAAAAATGAGTTAATATAGGTAAAGGTCCCTCAGTCCTCTCAGTGCCTTGCATATTTAAGTGCTCAATAAATATTAATGTTATATTTTTAATGCTTTGCAGAATTTTAGATGTTATCCCAATTATAAAAGAAAAAATTACTGATTACTTGGGATCATGAAGTCAAGGATCTATGTGGTCATTCTCAGTTCTAGCACAGAAAACCATTTCTTAATCTTCTTACATTAGTATACCATGGGCTAGCTCCCCAATATGACCCTCTACTGGGAACTCTTGATTTAACAACCTATATTTTGTTTACTATGTGCCAGGCCATGTTCTAAGTACTTTACTGAATCTATGACACTGATACTATTATTCTTTCCCATTTCACGGAGAGGAAAACTGAGGCACCAAAGGTTAAGTAAATACACCCAAGGACAAACAACTAATAATCAGGAGACCCAGGACTTAAACCCTGGCAGTCTGAATTCGGAGCCTGTGCTGTTAAAAACCACTGTGCTATGCAACCTCAACATGGATCTTTAAGCAAGCAAAATTTGACAAATATTCAGACTACAATTCTCATTTGTACACTTTCCTCACTCTTTAGATTTTATTCTACGTTGTCAACATAATCTTACCTAGGTTCAAGAGATGATTTTTTTTCTGTCAAAGTCCCACTCCCTGGAGAGGAGACAAAATCATCTTCATATGAAACACTGCTTAGAGGACTTGTGTTGGCATTCAAAGGCCGCAATGTGGATGTTCCTCTTTCCAACCTGTCTTCAAACCCTGTCAAAAGTAGTCATTGAAATGTGCTTTAAAAGAAAAATAAAAATACCAAGCAAAGCACTCCACAACATGGGGATTAACAACATAGATTTAGGAACATTTTAGTTTTCTTTTACAGTGCTTATTTTTAATTTCTCTTTATATCTAACAATATATTTTTAACTTTTTATTAATTTTCAAGCATATATGAAAGTAGAGACAAGTAGAATGAAACCAATGAATCCATCACCCAATTTTAACAATTATCAATACATGATCAATCTAGTTTCAATTAAACTTCCTATTCTCCCTATCATTCCCCTTAGCAAATCCCAGACAACATATCATTTCAACTGTAAATATTTCAGTATAACTATAAAATCTTTAAAAAAAAAAAAAATCTAATGTAAGGATTTAAGAACCTGAATTTCTTATGGAAAAAAAAAGAAATAAGAGTATTGATTTATAAACACTTGGCTTTCGCCCTGGCCGGTTTGGCTCAGCAGTTAGAGCGTCAGTCTGCAGTGGGAGAGACCTGGGTTCAGTTCCCGCTAAGGGCACGTACCTTGGTTGAAGTTTGTCCCCGGCCCTGGTTGGGTCATGTGGGTGGAAACCACTTGATGTGTCCGTTTCACATCGATGTTTCTCTCTCCCTCCCACTCTATCTGAACAAAAAATGGAAAAATGTCCTCGGGTGAGGATAAAATAAATAAATAAATAAAATAAAAACACTTTGCTTTCATCAAAACAACTTTAGCCCTGGCCGGTGTTGCTCAATGGTTAGAGCATCAGCTGGTGCACCAAAGGGTCGTGGGTTTGATTTCTGGTCAAGGGTATGTACCTCGGTTGCAGGTCTGATCCCCAGCTGCAGTCAGGGAACATGTGGGAGGCAACCAACTGATGTTTCTTTCTTTCTCTATTTCTTTCTCTCTCTCTTCCCCCTTCCATTCCACTCTCTAAAAATCAATGGAAAAAATATCCTCTGGTGCCCGGCCAGTGTGGCTCAGTGGTTGAGTGTCGACCCATGCACCAAAAGGTCGCTGGTTCAATTCCCATTCAGAGCCCATGCCCAGATTGTGGGCCCGATCCCCAGTGGGGGGCATGCAGAAGGTGGCCAATCGATGTTCTCTCTCATCAATGTTTCTATCTCTCTCTCCCTCTCCCTTCCTCTTTCTCTAAAATCAATAAAGAAAACATAAAAAAGATTGTAACAAAGTGGCTAAATATGAATTCAGGGAAAATGCAATGTGATGCCCAATTAAGCATAAGATAAATAGATGAAATTACTTAATTTGTCAAATAAATTGTTCACCATGTAGAATGGAAATAAAAAACCACGGTACCAAGAGGTGACTTAAAGTTCCACCTCACTTTCCAATCTGAAATTCTAAGGTTATGCTAGCGTAAGATGGGTACAACCCACCTATGGCAGGAAGAAGAGAGACAGGGACTTGAAGGAATGGAGACCATCATAGAAAAGAAAATTGTGTTGCAGAATCTCAGGGACAATGAGGGATCTTTAGAAGTTATTGTTTCAAGAACCAAATATGGAGCTACATTACTATTCAGGTCTATTTTTTTGTTTGTTTAATATCCTCACCCGAGGACATTTTTACATTTATCTTCAGATAGAGCTGGAGGGAGGAAGAGAGAGAGAAACATCGATGTGAGAGAGACACATCGAGTGGCCGCCACCCACATGGAAACAAACTGCAACTGAGGTACGTGCCCCTAGCAGGAACCAAAACCAGGACTCTCTGGTCCGCAGCTGACGCTCCAACCGCTGAGCCAGCCAGGGCAGGGCCAAAGTCTGTTTTTAAAATTAGTTTTGACAAACATTAATAGATTTGTTTTCACATTAGAAATGTTACTACAGTTGCCTCTCTTAATTCTTGACTACTATATTCCTAATAATTCACAAGTCACTGTATTAAGAAATGTATTTACAAATCAAATACGTATCTATGGTCACAGAAAACCTAGCATGCCTTTGATACATACCAATCTTGAACATCATCTATGAATTTTTCTAAATTAGACCAAAATTTCTATAATTACCAATCAATGATTGTTTTATGACAATAAAAAGCAAAAAATAAAAATTTAAAGATTAAATTACAATACTCTAACTGAACCTTGCAGATAATTTTGATTTAGACAATGTTTCCATTATCCTCATAATAATAAAAATCTGTACCTAAGTATTATCTTTACAAAATTATGAAATAATTATCTTAAGATAATATACAAATATTATAGGGTTTACTTATTTTTCTTACCTTTTCCATATGACTGATATGATTTTGTAAAAATATTAATGACACTATGTGGACTTCCCTTTGCCAATTCTTCCCATGGTCCTTTGCTTTGTGTACCACCTATGTGCCCCAAAAGTGGCAAGAATTTTTCAGCCTCCTTCTGAAACTCTTTGATGGGTTCATAAGCATTTCTTTCTCCAGCACAGAATTCCTTTTCTTTTAAGATGTCTGCTATCTTCAAAGGGGGTCGTCGATCTCGGCCTCCCTCTTCTTCAGAGAGACTCCCCTCACTAAGAAGAGGCCCTTCACTGACTGAGTCTGTGCTGGAACAAAGGGACATTTTGGCTTTGTTGTGAGAACAAGCCTGCAGATCAGAGCTAGATGAGTCTGTCTGCTTCTTACACAACTGTGCCAGTAACCCTTCTGGTTTGGGACCAGGCGATCTCATTCTGAAGCTTGAGATGGCACTGTGAGGTCTTATCGTCTCAGGAAGCTTTTTAAATTCACTAAGGTTGCCTACACCAGGAAGCTCATCATCAAACGCTGCATGAGATACACAGGTTCCCAGCATCTTTTGAATTCGGGCAGAAAAAACATCTTCAGTATCCTCTTTCACAGGTGGACTTACAGCCTTGGCCCAAAGTCCATCTTCTTGGGGTGTCTGCTGCACATCACACTCAGTGTTCCACACTGACCCATAATTAATGTTAGCCCCAGCTAATTTCTTGGCTTCACTTTCAATCCTGCTGGACAAAGAAGCGGCTGTTGCTTTCAAGGCTTCAATACGATCTAGTTTACTCTTATATTGGCTGGCACTAGATTTTAACAAGGCATCTGGATGAGCAGCTGGTGAGGTCAGATATGGTTGAGGTGTAAAAGTTAATGGCCCTGAAGCAATATTAGGGTTCTTCCTGGTTGGTAAAATAGATTCAAAATCCTTATGCAAAAACCCTGCATGCTCTAGACTCAAGAGATGGGAGAGTAAATTTCCAGCTGTTCCAACAAGAGGCTGTGGTTGAGAATGGTGGACTCGTGGGCTCAATCTGTCAGGCTGCATCCATGCAGGTTCTGTCAAGTCCCTTCTGCAGATGAAAGTCACAATACATTAGTTAACACAGCAACTCATAACTAAGCCACCATTGTTTTCAAATTTTTGTTTTTTTCTGATTATATGAGTAATGTACACTCACTGCAAAAAGAAAAAGGACACAGTGAGGAAAAAAGGAGAAACATCTGTAATAAAAATTAATTAGTTAATTAAAAAAACTGAAAAAAAAAAAAAGGACAGGTGAAGAGGACAAAAAGATAAATATCACTCATAGTTAAATAATGACAAAAAAAGACACTATTAATATTTCATTTAGAATTATATCTTTCCAAACATTTTTCTTGGTGTATGCTGTGTTCTGGTATTATTTTCACAAAAATGAAATCTTATTAGACATACGGTTTTGTAAACTGCTTTCTTCAACTTAGATATTTTAAGCCATTAATTAAAGAGGAGGCATTACTACCTTAAAAACTCTGTGGACAAAATTCTTTACAACAGTGGCTCTACCTTTCCCTTTAAAAATAATGTTACATAACAAAGAATGTGTAAGATTGCTGAATCTTGCCCTGGTCGATATGGCTCGCAGTTAAGAGTGTTGGCCCTTGGACCAAAAGGTCTTGGGTTCAATTCCAGTCAAGGGTACATCATACCTGGGTTGCAGGTTTGATTCCCGGTCCCAGTCATGGTTGTACAGGAGGCAACCAATCAATGTCTCTCTCTCTCTCTCTCCCCCCCCTCCCTCCTTTCTCTCTCTTTCTCTTTCCCTCTCTTCCACTCAATCTAAAAATTAATGGAAAAATACCCTCAAGTGAGGATTAACAAAGAAAGAAAACGATTGCTGAATATTAACATAGGCATAATATGCATTATCCTAATCAACAAATATTAAATAAATGCCAACATTTATATTTAACATTATACATACTAAAGAAGTAAGATTATTACAACCTAGATCTTAAAAAAATTAATGAACTTCAAAACAGTGAGTACCAATGTAAAACTATGAGTACCAGTCATAAACATACAACACAGTGTAGGATATCCATAAAGTCTAAAAACAGAATAAAGATGTCCTAGACAACACTATAGAATTCACCTATGTTTCCGGACTAGGGACAGCCTGTGTATTAAGGGATACTATAGATATATTAAAGGCTGCTGTTAACTATTAAGAAGATCCTTAGACAAAATTATATGAGGGTTTTTCCTTGGTATTGTCCATTATTTTGGGATGATGACATGAAGATAGGTTTATCAAATTTGAGGATGACAGAAAACTGGGAAGTATGGCTAACACTACATTATCAAATGATGACTCAAAGCTATTTGTTTTTTTGTGGGGTTTTTTTTTTTTGCATTTATCTTCAGATAGAGCAGGAGGGAGAGAGGGAGATAGAGAAAGAAACATCAATGTGAGAGAGACACATCAAGTGGTTGCCACCCAAACGACTCCAACCGGACCGGGGACAAACTGCAAGCAAGGTACATGCCCTTAGCGGGAACCGAACCCAGGATTCTCTGGTCCGCGGGCCAACGCTCTAACCACTGAGAAAAACTGTCCAGGGCGTAAAGCTATTTGGATAGGCTGCAACCTTAGACCAAACTAGTGTATGGATAAATGTGAAGTCCTACCAATTAAGTTAAAAAAAAATCACCTGCAGAAGGGTAGCCATGATGATAAGGAAATTGAAAAGCATTGTCATGCAAGGTTTGGTTTGGAGGTTATGTTGTAACAGTCTTTTATACTGAAGGGCTACTATGAAAATGGAACAAAGAAAGGAAGACTAGTGCATAGACTCTATGCCATAGAATATAGATTATTACAAATGCAAGGTGAGAGGTTATTAGGGCTCGAACTAAGGTATAGTAATGGGAATGCAAAGGAAGTTATAAATAGAAGTAATGCTGAGTAAATACAAAATCTTTAAATTCATCTGTTTAGAATGACAATTTTTTGGCAGGTACTATGTTGATGGAAGAGAAATGGGGGAAACTACAATGAAAAGACTTCAGTTATGACTTAATCCTTACTCTTTAGTTTCTCAAGATCTAGCAGGGATGAGAGATTAATAAACAGCTAAAATACAGTGTTAAGTACCAATACAAAGATATATAAAGTTCAACAGGGTGTGGACAGGGAACAATGAACTCTGCTAGCCAAGGAAAGTGACTTATGAGCTACATTTCAAGGTCTTCAAGATCAGATAAGTAATTTGGAGTTTTCCAGGCAACTAATGAAGAATCAAGAGACATGAAAAGCAAAGAAAAGAAATGCTTTGCTTTAAAGCATGAAGTAACTGAAATGTGTTAAAACTATTAACAGGAATGGAAAAGCTAAGGAACAGGTAGAGAAAAGTGAAGGCAATAAGTTGGCGATCACAAGTCAAAGAATTTGGTATTAAAAGAAAGGAAAGAAATATGCAAGGTAACAAGGTTTAGTAATAGATTTCTTTATGTTTGGTTGTTTTTAATAGTGGCTTACTTGTGCAGAGCTAGAAGGAAACTCAAGACAAGGTAAAAATTGAAGACATGAAGCCAGCAGAATATGTTTGACAACAATAATGGGACTGAGATGAACTGGAGAGTACACCTACCTATAAATATTCAAATAAAAAAAATATATAAGTTTATTTATGCTTAAAATTTTAAATGTATTGACAAACTTATATCATATGAAATATTTCACTTACTGGAAGGTAGTGTGCAGAATGGGTAAAGCACAGGCTTCTGGGATCAGACAAGTTCAAATGCATCTCTACCACTAACATTTTGATATTTGAGAAAGTTAATTAAATTATAGGTCTCAATTATCTCTTTTGTAAAACAGGAATAACAGTGCCTAACTCAAAAAATGTCACAAGTATCAAATAAAATAACACATGCAAAGTACTCAGATCAGTGCCTGGAACTTAACAATTACTCAATCAATTTTTGCCATTTTTATCAGTATTACTAGAGGGACAGAACTATGTATATTAACCCAAAATTGGAAAGTGATTTGATTTTTATTTGTGCAGTCTCCAAAGAAGAATGTCAAAATCTTTCTCTTCCCAAAATGGTTATTTTAAAGTATAATTTATAACCATGCAATCTCAAAATAACCTTAACTTTCTTGCACAATAGTTTGTTTTCTTAAAATTTATTGCAATCAATATATTACAGGGAAAAAAAGTTTTTACAAAGATTTAAGGTAAAATACCCCTCAATCACCAATCTGATATCAAATCCCTTCCTAGTCCTTATTCATGTGTTCAACATGCACCTCCAAATACAGCTTTTGAGAGGTAAGATGAATAAACTGGTGTGAGACATATGAAGAAATTCTGATTAGTAATGAATACAGAAGTTCCTTTTGAAAATCATTCACCACAAATACTTTAAAATATTAATTTCACTGTGATTCATTCATCCAACAAACTTTTATTGTGTGTTTAGTTCAAAGTAAGAGTGCTTTTAACTGCAAGTGATCCCCAGGAGGAACTGACATTTACTTTGGATATTACAAGACAGGTAAAAGTTGAACAATAAAATAGGAGATGCAGTAAATATAGATATAACCATGTGTAAGTATCCATCGGAAAATATAAACCAATTTCTAAGTAAACCTCTTGCTCATACAGGTCAGTCAACACAATTTACTGAGCACAGACCACTGTCCTCATACTAAATTTCATGTAAAGAAAGACCCTTAATCATCTTTCATTCTCCCCTTTTTACCTTGCAAGAGGCTGTGGAGGTTCTGACAGAGACATGTCACTGCTGGAAGATGCACTTGGGGGACGTTCCTGCACTTTGTTTTCTTTGTCAGATTCTCCAGATGGCTGATACCCTGGTCTAATCTAGGAGAAAAGGACATCAAATTTATCTGACTCCCGTCATGAAGATATATTTAGGGACTACATGGGACAAATATTAAGTCATTTACCTTTACAAAAATCATGAAATGTAGGGTTTTTTTCTGTCAAATAAAACCAATTCAAACTGTCCTGGCTGGTTTGGCTCAGCGGTTAGAGCATCAGCCTGCGGTCCAGAGAGACCCGGGTTCGGTTCCCACTAAGGGAACGTACCTCGGTTGCAGTTTGTCCACAGCCCTGGTTGGGTCGTGCGGGTGGCAACCACTCGATGTGTCCCTTTCATGTCGATGTTTCTCTCTCTCTCCCCCCCTCCCACTCTATCTGAACAAAAAATGGAAAAATGTCCTCAGATGAGGACAAAATAAACAATTCAAACTTAGTTTGTCTTAAAACCAGCCATTACAATTAACAGCAAAATTACACCTGATACTAACTGCATACTTTAGAGGATGTAATAAACATCAGTTTTTCACTGGTAAGTAGAAACACTAGTAGTACCTACATCTTCTCAGGGTTGTGAAAATTTACCAAAGCTTAAGTCTGTACAACCTTTAAAATGGTATGAACTTAATATTACTCTTATTATTTTTAAAAACATTAGCAATACTCATAAAATTATCACAATAAACTGGGATATTCTCCAATTTCATCGCAGATCACAAAACTAGGCTTTTCAGCCCTGGGTGATGTGGCTTAGTTGGTTGGGTATTGTCCTGTACACCAAAAGATTCACCAGTTCGATTCCCAGTCAGGGCACATGACCAGATTTCGGGTTCCATCCCCACATGGGGTATGTAAGGGAGGCAACCAATCAATGTTTCTCTCTCCCTCATGCTTATTCTCTCTCTAAATGTCAATAAAAAACATATTTTAAAAAACCCAGGCTTTTCATTATCATAATCTAACTTCATTTGCTCAGTAATACAATGAAGACTAGGTAGGGATATAACTAATAGCAATGATGTGATGAACAGAGATCAGTAACAGAAATAGTAAAACACTAATTGAGTACTTATGTTCAATCATATTTACCAAATAACTTTTCATATATAATGTCATGAAAGGCCATCATTATTACAAATATTATCTGAACATATATCTGAATCTTAGGAATGGTCGGTAAATTTTAAAGTTTATTATAGCAAATAAACTTTTCCTAACTATAAATCACTTCCCTTTGTATTTCTGCCACTACTATTACCTGTGTTTCCTGCATAACATGTTGATGAGTCGGCTCTTCAAGCAAGGTCTTTTCTAGTAGCAATTTGGAGTAAGTTTCCTGCAGTCGCCTAGTTGCTGAGGGTTCAGAAGGAGGCACATTTTTTACTTTAGTAAAGGCTTCTTTCTGCTTCCGATAGAGCTCCTGTAATCGTTTGTTCTTCTGCTCAGTGGCCTCCTTTTGAGCCTTCTTCTCTTCATTTTGCTTCCTCTTCCTTTCCTCCTGCTGTCTTACAATGTACTGTCGGACTTCATCTGTGTCATAGTGACGCTTTTTAGAAATAACAGGGGGATCTTCACTAGCTGTTATTTTGTCAGGTTTTCTTTTTACTGGACTATGACTCCTTGAAGCTTGTAGTGGTGCTGATGACTTCTGATTCTGTAACTCTCCAGTCTCTTGCCTTGTTGCCTGAGCTGCAGAATCCAGCTGTAGGTCATCAAGAATTCCACGAATTTCAACAGGTAAAAAGTCCTTATTTAAGGCAGTATTTTCCTCCTGTTTATTATCTGAAAGAGATGGAACTACTTTCTTTATATTATTTTCAGACCGAGCTCGACTTCTTGAACGTTCCAAGTTCCGTGGAAGAGGTCTATGTAAAACATCCAACCTGGGATCAGATTCTGCTCTTCCAATATGACCCCCTGCAAAGGATGAACTATTAGTGATGTATTAAAATTCTGTATTCTTTCCTAAAAATTATTGCATTCAGGAGAAAGTCAGGGAATTTTGATTTATCTTAAACTCTAAATCAAATATTATATAAAGTCTTCTAAAGAATATTATAGAAGAAAGCAAAAACCTTTTTTAACAGTAGGAGAAAAAATTCTATATTCTGAAACACTATCCTTCCTTGGCATCTGGAAAAATGCATCTTTTAATATTTCTGAAGTAAGGACAGATATTATTGTTGATGTGAATATTTATCTATTAATAGAAAATGACAATTTCTCTCTCATGTGCTTATTTAATGTCACTCTCCCTCCCAAATACCCAAAAGTTCAATAAAAAACCAACAATGTTAAGCAGCCACAACTCTCCAATGAATGACAAAAAAAAAATTAAATATATAGAAAACAATCATTTTATTATCTAGACATTTGTTGATGTGGCTTAATTTTAGGCTGAGAATGCACATGAGTTGATTTACAAGCTAAATGAAAAGTGAAGAGAAGAAAATACAAAGTATATATTGACCTGTATATACTAAATTATAGTTGCAATTGCATTTCTTACTGAAACTATTCCAGAAGTTCAAATTAAGGCAAATTTTCCTGCTGAAAAGGAAAGCTGGCCTATAGGTACATATATTTCATTTCCCAAAATAAGTGTTCATGAAAAAGTAACTAGTTATTGCGAACAGCATTCAAGACATTTCAAAAAGAAAAATGTGCCCTGGCCGGTTTGGCTCAGCAATTGGAGCTTCGGCCTGTGGTCCAGAGAGACCCAGGTTCAGTTCCTGCTAAGGACACATACCTCGGTTGCAGTTTGTCCCCGGCCCTGGTTGGGTCGTGCGGGTGGCAGCCACTCGATGTGTTCCTTTCACGTCGATGTTTCTCTCTCTCTCTCTCTCCCTTCCACTCATTTTTCCAAAAAAATATAAAAAAATGTCCTCAGGTGAGGATTAAAAAAAAAAAAGAAAAAAGTAATGGACTCATGGGTCAAACTAAGCAACTGTGGATCCTAGCTCAAATTTTGCCACTTATTGCCTGTATACTCAATTCTCTCTCAGGGTTTATTTCCTAATCTGCCAAATAAAAAAATTCAACTCTGTTAATGTGTGTCTATATTTGTGCACACAGGAATGAAAGAGATTGGATTTGATTCTCTTAAGGTTCCTAAAAGTCTAATAATATTTGATTAAATAAAGCTTTGTTATTCACAATGACAGCTAAATGTAATTAATATAACATAAACAGAATTCTTAATAAAGATCACCAAAATACCTCTGTGCAGAAATTATTTATAGACAAGCCCTATAGGCCATGTCTTCTTTTTTGAGCTACATTCACAATTATACATATAAAGCAAAGTCATAAAGTATTACCAAAGAGTATTTTCACCCTCTTTAAGTACTTACACAAGCAACTTTTAATTGTTTTTCTCAATTTTAATTATTGAGATAATTTAATAATTTGATCACTTACCAGATTTAGTAGTTCTCTCTCTTCCACTTCTGTCACTTGATACTGTTCTTCGCTCTTTTTGTTCCGTTTTGGGTGCAGGTCCCAGAATCTTCTTTACTAATTTTTGTCCATCTCTCCAAGAAGACGTACTTATCAGACGACTGCTACCTAAAAAAAATATATATATATATATTCTGCATTGAATTTAAAATGTAAATTTTAGCTGTAAGAAGTGCATCTATTCAATCATACAGATTTCTAATAATCTTATGCTTTTCTTAAACTAAAGTCAAAAGGTTTACAATCTTTTACTTTTAACCCTAAGTCTCCAAAATCAATGAAGAGTTTGTTTAAATCTTGATTTACCCATACACCTCAAATAAGTATAAAATACTTTGAAAGCTAAGTAGCAAATACAAATAATAACTGAAACCTCAAAAACTAGGTCACTGAATCCAACAATTTTGGCACAGAACAAAAATATGCCTTAACTATAAAAGTTAAGTTTTGGTTTATCAACACTAGCACAGTATCTGGCACATAATAGAATCTATGTTTGCTAAACAAACAAATGACTTAATCTAAGCACACAAAAATATTTGAAGAAATATATAACATAACAAACAGTTAACCGTGATTAACTTTAGAGGGGATGGTATTACATGGAATTTCACATTAAATTTTAGATATATACCAAAACTACATACTACATTTTTATACATAAAATAATGACATTAAAAAAACAAATACCGCTCTGGCCGTTATGGCTCAGTGGTAAGAGTGTCACCCACAGACCAGAGAGTCTCAGGTTCAGTTCTGGCCAAGGGCAATGTACCTCAGTTGCGGTTCGTCCCCAGCCCTGGTTGGGGTAGTGCAGGTGGCAGCCAATTGATGTATCTCTCTCACATCAATGTTTCTCTTTCTTTTCTTTCTTTTCTCTCTCTCTCTCTCTCTCTCTCTTTCTCTCTCCTTTTTTCCCTCCAGCTCTATCTGAAGATTAATGTAAAAATGCCCTCGGGTAGGAATTTAAAAACAAAAACAAAAAAAGAACAAATACCATCAACATTTTCAACAGCCCTAATTATAAAAGTTCATAAAAATAAAAGAATGTTCCAGTAATTACAGCTGTATACCAGAAGAAAATATTTTCATTTACTATTTTCAGATTATAAAAAATTTTAAATCAGACTATCATCTTGAAACAGACAGTAACTTAAAAACAGCAACACATGGTATAAAAGACTGTTTCTAACATAGAAACCATAAAAATAAACATGAAATATATATTTAATTTTTTTTCTTTTTATTGATTAGAGAGAGAGGAAGGGAGAGAGAGAGAGAGACAGAAACACTGATGAGAGAGAACATCGACTGGCCGCCTCCTGCATGCCCCCACTGGGGACCTGGCCCACAACCTGGGCATGTCCCCTGACCGGGAATTGAACCAGCGACTTTTGGTGCATGGGTCAACGTTCAACAACTGAGCCACACTGGCCTGGCTGAAATATATATTTAAATGCAAAGTAATATAAGAAATGGAATAAAATAATAAAAGAGTACTTTAAACCTAATTAGCCCAGCCAGTGTGGCTCAGTGTACTAAGCATCAACCCATGCACCAAGAGGTCAGCAGTTCAATTCCTAGTCAGGGCACCTGCCTGGGTTGCAGGCTTAATCCCCTGTGTGGAGGCATGCAGGAGGCAGCCAATCAAGGTTTCTCTTTTTCTCTCCTTTCCCCTTCTTCTCTCTAAAAACCAATTAAAAAAATTTTTTTAACTAATTAAATTAGAAAAATAGATTTTTACACTGATAGCCAATGCTGGTAAAATTACAATAAAATCATTCTACTTATGCATTGCTTGTTCAACTATAAGAAGGCATAGTTCTTCTCTTTAAAAAAATAATAATAATAGTAACACTATTACGTGTCAGGGACCCCAAAAGTGCTTATTTACCTTGCTTAAATAATGCAAGTAGTGGCATTGTATCTAATAAAAATAATACAAAAGAAAGAAAGAAAAAATAAAAATGTTCACCGTATCATTATAATATCAGAAGTAACCTAAATATTGAAGAATGGTGAATGGTTCATTCAACTAGGTTTCTACAAGATGGAGTACTGTGTGGCCATTTCAAATCAATTTCCATAAGAAATAACAAAAATGTTATACAGAAAGCTTCTAAAAAAAGAAAGATAAAATTTTAAATATGCAAGATTACAATCACGTATAATTATGATTTTAAAACTATTGTAATGAAGTACACCAAATAATATCAGTAATTTATTTAAGTAAGGGTAGTGGTTTTTGGTGTTTTCTTCTATTTTTCAAGCTTTCTGTGATGCTATTTTAATTGGATTTCTAATAAAAGACATTCCATTTAGAGTTTCTTTAAAAAGGGCTTTTAATTTAAAAGTTTAAATGCAAGTATAGTTTTAATGAAAACATCTATTATAAAGAAACATGAATTATAAATGTGTTTATTTTAGAAAAGAAGTATTTTTGTACCATGTTATTAACCTTAAACAGTCTATCTAAAATATTGAAAAAGATCTGCATCTATTGCTCCATCTATTTATAAAAAACTTTATGTTCTTAAGCAAAATGGGAGAACAGGCCTCTCTTCAATTTCAGCTTAATTTTCTGAATCAAAAGCCAAGCAACCATGAATATACTGGGTAGTTATGTATAAATGTTGGCTTCTGAATATGCTGGGTGGTTATTTCTGAATTCTGGCTTTCTGGCATAGTGTCATGCAGTCATTGGTAGAAAAAGAGGACTTTCACTATTGATAAACAATTAATACTGCACATTTTATGACTCTGTCTTGGTCACTGCCCCAGTGCATACATGGAAATTAGCCTACCACAAAACTGGACAAGTACAATCCAAGATCAGTGTTGAAAAGTTATAGTGGCCCCAGTGTTTCATTTCAAACTATGCCCCTGACAACAGTATTCCATAGTAACTCATAAAAAATAACACATCTCATTTTTTTTTTTTTAATCCTCACCCAAGGACACTTTTGCATTCATCTTCAGCTAGAATGGGAGGGAGAGAGGGAGGAAAAGAGAGAGAGAAACATTGATGTGAGAGAGACATCATTGACTGGTTGCCACCCACACGACTCCAACCGGGCCAGGGACAAACTGCAACTGAGGTACATGCTCTTAGCGGGAACAGAACCCAGGACTCTGGTCCACGGGCCAACTCTCTAACCACTGAGCAAAACCGACCAGGCTCATCTTTTTAATGTAAGAATTATTTTAGTTTACGTTCAGATAATTTATGCTCCTATAAACCTTATTTTTTATCTGTATACATTGAGGGTCATTCTCTTATGACAGCTAGAGTTAACAATGGATGTCACAAATTATGTTATTTGCCACTCTATTGATTAGTCTATGACCAGAAATACAGTGCTAGTCAAAACCCAGTGTCCCATCACTCCCGCTCTTTGTTCCCACAGACCTTGCATATCCCCTATCACCACACTTAATTCTAACTATGTATCTACAGTCTTCCTGACAATATTATAAGCTCTAGGAGAGCAGGGCTATGTGTATCTTGCTTACCACTACTGCCTAAACTTAGTATAGCACAATGCCTCACATATAGCAAATATTTGCATTACAATATGCCAGGGCCTATATCAAGTCCCTTTAGATATTACTTAAGTTCTCACAACAACCCCGTCAGAAGTACTGCTGCCCTCCCATTTTATATATGGGAAAAATGAAGGACACTAAAATTAACTCATTTACCAAAGAAACAAAGCTAGGTTATAAATCCGGGCAATCTGGATCAAGCCTGAAATGTTGATCACTATGGAACTAGGGAATTCTTTTTCCCGGTCTTGATCTATTCTGAGTCCAGCCTGAACACTATAGGCGTAGACTGCCATACTTTCCCCAACGACAGTCATGAACAATCCCTCTGTATATAAAAGTTCACTACATAAAAATCATAGCCTTTCATCTGATTAATTTCTATTAAAAATGACAGAAAAGCCTTGGCCAGCATTGATCCACCTGGGTACCAAAGGTCTTGGGTTCAATATCTGGTAAAAGGCACATACCTGGATCCCCAGCCCCAGTTAGGGTGCATGCAGGAAGCAACCAATCGATGTATGTCTCTCCCCCCAAACCCAAAAAATAGAAAAAATATCCTCAGATGAGGATGAATAAAAATATAAAAATAAATTAAAAAATAAAATAAAATTGATAGTTCTGGCCATTTGGGATCAACAGCAGAGCATCAGCCCATGGACCAATGAGTTGCAGGTTCAATTCCAGCCAAGGGCACACACCTCAGTTGCGATTTGTCCCCAGCCCCGGTCGAGATCATGCAAGAGGCAACCAGTCAGTGTGTCTTTCTCACATGGATGTCTCTCTCTCTCTCCCTCTCTCCCACTCTATCTGAAGACAAATGGAACAATATCCTCAAGTAAAGATTAAATAAATAAATAAATACATAAATATGACAGAAAAAATGTTGGGGAATAACAGATGTATTCAGGATCATGGTGAACATGTGACTTCATGGATATATACATATATGAAAACTTATCAAACTATACATTCTAAATACGTATAGCTTATGCTATGTCAATTAAACACATACACATAAAATGACATATAAATTGTATTCCATTTTTACGTGTGCCAAACAATGAGAACATCTGGTTAATAAACATTTATTTCCAAACAGATGCCGTTTCAGTAACGGCCAATTTTAGGAGGTATGTGACATTGAGAAGACTAACCTGTTTTGCATTCTGGACTTGAAAACTGTGCTACCTTTTGGACTTTTCGTACTGGCTTGACCACTTTCTTCTCTTTGCTTTTCTCAACAGGTTTCTCTTTCATTGAGATATCATCTGAAAATCAGAAACATTTACAGCAAATATTACAATGATTCCTACCCACCCACTCATCCTCTCCCGAGTATGAAAAATCAATATAAAGTTTGTAATTCAGGTAGGGAGAAAGAAACCTTCCCGGAGGTTCTATGACCCATCAGCTACCAGTGCCAACTCTTCTTATGGAAAGGTCTAATGATTACCACTACTCTACCATTAGGTTCCAATTCTGGGTGTTTATTTTTTTCAGGAAACACTTGCGAAAATTAGCTCATTTTTACAAACTGGAAGAAACTTCAACAGTAATGCTTTCCAACCCAGGATCCATAGCCTTTATAGAATCTCAGAAGTAAAACACTTTTTCAGATTCCAATTTCATTTAAAAATTCCTATGTAGCTGAGATATTGATGAACTTCTAGAATAAAACTTTATAAAATACTCAATATAATATTCCTAAATTAGGCCCTTTTATGGATATGCTAGTGAAGTATGTCAAGGTATTTCTCATACAAATTACTATTCAGTAATTTTCTCAATTCTAATCTGGGAATATATATATGAGTGGGCAAAGTAGTTTTACATAATACAAATAAATAATACAATTTGATAAATAAATAATACAGGAATAAACTGTTTCACATACTCACAACATAAACCTACTTTTGCCCACCCATGTGTGTGTGTGCGCGCGTGTGTGTGTGTGTGTATAAATTAACCTCTATTACAGATCTAAATACATATACTTCATAGAGTTCTGCATTCTGGGCAAGTGAAGTAAATATGAGTCACAGGCCGTAAGGCAGGAGCATACCACGTGCCTAGGAAACAGCAGGAGGCCAGTTTGCATGAAGTGAAGACAGGAAAACTGCAATAACTAGGGCCAGAAACATAACTGAGGGCCAGACCATGTAGGGCTTTATAGGTCATCACAAGAACTTCAGGTTTTACTTAAGCATGAGATGGGAAGTTTGGGGAAGATTTTGAGCAAAGGAGTGATATAATCTCAATTAAATTTGAACGAGCTTACTCTAACAGCTGTGATGAGAACAGACTCGGATGGAAAGCACAAGCAGGGAAAGCAGTTAGAAGGCTACTGCAGTAATCCAGGCAAGAGACTGATGGCTTGGACCTAGGTAGCAGTGACAGAGGCAGGTTATGTGGTTTTATTTTAGATATATTTCAGACAATATTAGATACAAGGAAAATATGGGGGTCAAGGGGCCTAAGCAATTAGAAAAATAGGATTGCCTGAGGTGGAGAGACCTGAGGAGTAGGTTTAAGGGGTGTACAGCAACCCCATTTAGTTAGTTAGCTCCATTTCAAATATATTAAGCTTAAGAAACCTACTATACATCCAAAGGAAGATGTGGCATTAGCAGCTGGATCTGAGAGTCTGAGTTCACAGGAGAAGTTAGAGACATAAAATTGGGAATTATCAACGACAACAAATATTTAAAGCCCTGAGACTAGATGAGCTTGTCTCCTCTGTATGTAGATAGATAAACGTTTTAAAGAGGGGTAGGAGAAAGGCGGGGAGGGGAGGGAGACAGACCCAAGTACTAAGAATGGGACATGCCAATGTTCAGAAATCAGGGAGTCGATTAGGAAAAAAACTGAAAAGGAGCAACAAGACTTAGAGGAGGAAATCAAACACTTAAGGTATCCTAAATGTCAAGTGAAGAGTTTCAATCATGTCTAATGTTGCTGAGAGAGCAAGATGACAAATCAAAATTAAACACTGGATTTAGCAATGTGGAAGTAACTGATGATCTTGACAACAGCAGTTTACAGAGAAGTAGGAGCAAAAACCTAATAGAACGAATTCAAGAGTAAAAGGGAGGAGGGAAACTGGAGACAATGAGTGTAGGGCAACTTTTCGAAGTTTTTCTGTCAACAGGAGATAAACAGCAGCAGTTGAAGAGAGTAGGGCCAAAGATGGGTTATTTTATGACAGCTGAGAGAACAGCATGTTGTCAAACAGTATGTTGATAGGCATGACCCCGTAGAGAGGGAAAACTTGATGACATAAAAGAAAGGAAACAGGGCTAAAGTTAGGTCCTTAAATACACACGAGCAAATGGAATCTGAAACACAAGTGGATGGGTTGGTCTTAACTAGGAACAGAGAATTCATCTACCACAACAAGAGTATAACAGACAAACTTCTTTAAGAGTTCTTTGGCATTCAACATTGTACTTGTCTATGATACTGTCCTATGAGTTATATTGTTATTACCCCTACTTTACACATGAGAAAACCAAGGAAGAGAGGTTATGTAACACAGGCAGTATACACAGCTAATAAGTGGCAAAGCCCAAGTTTGAACCCTTTAAAGCTGATTCCAAAATATTTGCTCTTGTCCCACCGGTATGGGCATGCAGGAGGCGGCCAATCGATGTTCTTTCTCATCAATGTTTCTATCCCTCTCTCTCGAATCAATAAAGAAAAAAAAAAAAAGGAAAAAATCTTTGCCCTTAACTATTACAATTATTCTCCACATGAGAAAAAAAGTTCTGAATACACTGCTCCAATAATAATAGTAGAAAAACTGGGCTGAATAATGCCACAAAATGTATTAGAAGAATCTCTATGGAGGCTTACTAGAAAAATCTCAGCTTTACAGTCAGACAGAGTTGGCTTTGAATCTTGGCTTCTTTTTATTTTATTTTATTGTTGACACTATTATATATGTCCCCCAGCCCCCAGCCCCTTTACCCACCTTTGCTTCAATTCTTAACTACTCTATGCAACCTTTGGAAAATTACTCTTTTGAGCCTCAATTTCCTCAACTATAAAAAATACAGAAGACTAAATTCCCAGCATCTTGTCCAAAATCATACTAGGTATTTAATGAGTATGACGTTCCTATTTCCCTCTTCCTATCTTCCAGAAATTCTTTGTATTTCCAATTCTCTAACATTATTCCCTTCCTTAAAAGGTTCATTTTTCTTCCTGCATTTTGCCCTCATGTTAGTGTCTTATCTGCCAGCCTGCCAAATTACTGACCATTTCAAAGATGTCAGAGGTCTAGTAGAAGACAGAAACTTCAACTAGACTGCTGTATTTTCTTCAAATCAGACAGGCCTTACTCTGCAAGTCCCCCAGTTTAAAAATAGCCTCGTTTCTGTCTCCTCAGCCATGAATGCTAATTTTAATCCTGGAGCAGAGCCTAGAGGCTGAGAGAGCCTTAAGACTAAAACCACCACTACTTTAGTATACCATGTAGTTAGAAAGGGGAGATATCTTTAGCTCGGTGACCACTTTATGCTTAGATATTTTAAGTTAGATAGCATGCATGATAAACACTTAAAACCTTAGAAAGCTCTACTCTCACCTGCAAAGTGAAGTGCTAAGTCTCGATACAGTTCTCTACTCATGTTTTGAAACTCAGCCTCTTGCCACACTTTGCCATCAGGGGTCCGAATCTTGGTCTCTGAAGGATTGAAGCCTAATACATACCAACAGTACAGAACATTCTTATCAAAATTGCTTTATAAGTTTTATTAAACTTTTAAAAAGCGAGATATAATTAACATTCTATAAAATTCACTCTTTTAAAGTGTACAACTCAGTGGTTTGTAGTGTATTTACAAAGGTATACAACTATCACCATCTAATTCCTGAGCATTTCGTCTCCCTGAAAAGAAACGCTGTACACATTAGCGGTCACTCCCCACATTACTGTCTCTATTCCCTGGCAACTGCTAATCTACTTTCTATTTTTATGGATGTGCCTATTCTGGACATTTCATATAAATAGAATCATACAGCCCCACCCCAGCTGGTGTGGCTTGGTGGACTGAGCATCATCCCATGCACTGAAGGTCCCAGTTCAATTCCTAGTCAGAACACATGCCTGGGTTGCAGGCTCGATCCCCAGTAGGGGGCGGGCAGGAGGCAGCCAATCAATGTTTCTCTCTCACATCGACGTTTCTGTCTCTCTCTCCCTGCCTCTCTCTCTAAAAAATCAATACAAATATATTAAAAAAAAAACAAACAAAAAAAAACAGCCCTGGCCGGTTTGGCTCAGCGGTTGGAGCGTCGGCCTGCGGTCCCGAGAGACCCAGGTTTGGTTCCCGCTAAGGGCACGTACCTCGGTTGCAGTTTGTCCCCGGCCCTGGTTGGTCGTGCGGGTGGCAGCCACTCGATGTGTCACTTTCACATCGATGTTTCCCTCTCTCTCTCTCTCTCCCCCTCCCACTCTATCTGAACAAAAAATGGAAAAATGTCCTCTGGTGAGGATAAAAAAAAAAAAAAAAAAAGAAAGAAAATTAAAAAAAAAAAAAAAAACAGAATCACACAGTATGTGGCCTTTTGTATATGGCTTCTTCACTTAGCAAAATGTTTTCAACAAAACTATATAACATTTAGCAAAGCTCTATTCCTTTTTATTGTTGAATGATATACTCCATTGTATGAGTATACCAACACTTGTTATCTATCCATCAGATGACAGACATTTGGGGTGTTTATTTTTGGCTAGTATTAATGCTGCTATGAACATTTGTGTACAAGTTTTTGTGTGGACATATGTTTTCAATTACCTTGGGTATTATACGTAAGAGTGGAATAGCTGGGTCATATAGTAACTCTATGTTTAACTTTTTGAGGAACTGCCAAACTGTTTTCTAAAATAGCTGCACAATTTTACATTCTCGCCAGCAATGTATGAGGATTCCAATTTGTCCACATCCTCACCACGACTTGTTATTGTCTGTCTTTTTTATTACACCCTAGTAGACATAAAATGGCATCTCAATTGTGGTTTTGATTTGTATTTCCCTAATAACTAATAATGCTGAGCAGCTTTATAAGCTTTTAAGAGAGGAATGCATAATTAGCTACCACGTAATGTGTTAACAAATACTATTTGAAAAAAGTAAGCTTCAGTGAGATAAAGCAATACATATTTGTTCAAAAAGACTAAACTGGGGAAATAATAAATTAAATGATAAAAATGTTAATCATTTAAAATTTCAGAGATACAAACCACCCTTCTCAAGACCGAGAGAGAGACTACACTACTTATTCATTTCTTTGAAGACAGGTATTTGTTGCTAACATCTGTCTGATTTTCCTTATAGCTGAACTAATGGACAAGTTGCTGCCTACATAGGCAAAATGCACCAAAAGTGTAAAAAATGGGTTTTTAGAACACTTGTTCAACTTCTCAAAAAAATTACACGTGTGCTTTTTCCTAGGAATTGCTGTTCTGACTTCCTACTTCAAATTTATAGCTACTCTTTAAGAAATGTACTGAACTTGCAATGCTACTTTATAAAATAATAAAATAATGAATATGGATAATATCGTAGTACAGATTTATATTTTAAGATGGCTCAACTTACCAAAAACTTGGCAGCCAATAAATATTTGTAAAATTAAATCAATATAAAGAATAGGTTGGAGTTGAAATTTCTAAAAGCACTTTAGAGGTGTTAGATAAAATGTACTGGTAAGTTAAATACATGTCTAATAGTAAATAATCTATTCAGCTCTTAGGCATAATAGCATAAACTTAAATTTCACCTGATATTTGTGGCAAGAGGCATACAATTATGCCTTTATCTATATAATGAAAAAATGTATAAACATAGTGTTCCATCTTTATAAACTACAGATTATAATAAGGAACTGTGGCAATTCCATGCAAGTCTATTTCTCTCTCAACATTTCTCTTCATCATCACCCCCATACCATCTTTCTACATTTAACCCTATCATTCCCCCCGCTCTTTAAGAACTATTAATTTCCATGGGAGCCTTTCTTTATATTTGCATCTTTACATATAAGTTAACTTCAAGAAGCTTTTAATATCTACATCAGTTTCTCTTTCTGTACCCCCGTCTTTATTTCTACTCTTTGTCCACTTTTTTTTTGTACTAGTTGACTTTATTGAATAGAATAAAAAAATTATTGTGCACTTACTTATGTCCAAGACACTATACTAGGCACTAAAATAAAATAAGGATGACCTACATAGGCTCTTAACCTTCATGGGCATTTATACAGGAAAGAAAAAGCTATGCAAACAACTAAGTAAAACACAAGAAAGAATTGCCCAGCCAGTGTGGCTCAGTGGATTGTGCGTCACATCAGCCCATGAACTGAGAGGTCCAGGTTTGACTCCCAGTCAGGGCACATGCCTGTTTGTGGGCTTAATCCCCAGTAGGGGACGTGCAAGAGGCAGCCGATCGGTGTTTCTCTCTCACGTCGATGTTTCTATCTCTCTCTAAAAAATCAATAAAAACATATTTTTTTTAAAAAAGACAAGAATCACATAAACTCTATTTGTGTTTAGTACTTCAAATTTTAAAGCAAACTCACAGAAAATTTACAATGCCTCCTTAAAAAAAAATAAAGCACACAAAAATATAAATGAAAAACCAAGGGTCTAAAAGGTCTAGCCCTGGCCAGTTTGGGTCAATGGTCTGAGCATAGACCTGTGGACCAGAGGGTCATGGTTTCGATTCCTGGTCAAGGGCATGTACCTGGGTTGCAGGTTCAACCCCTGGCCCTGGTTGGGGTCATGTGGGAGGCAACCAATCAATGTGTCTCTCTCACATTGATGTTTCTCTCTCTCTCCCTCCCTCCCTTCCAATCTATCTAAAAAAATCAATGGAAAAATGTCCTCAGGTAAGGATTGACAAAAAAAATAAATAAATAATAATAATAATAACAAAAAGCACGGGTTTAGTATGCTAACAACTGTATAAAAAAGAAGAAAGAAAACTAACTCTCTTTCTCTCTTATTTGTTTATGTACACAAAAATTATCTCTAGAAGGATACACAAACTGTTAACACAGTAACCTCCAGAAAGGGGACCAGGTGGGTGGAGAAGAGCTTTTCAAGGTCCACCCTTTTTATCTTTTGACTTCTGAACAAAATGAATTTAGTATATATTCGAACAAATGAAATTGTCACTTTAAATTTCTGTAAATTATTAAATAAAATATGGATTGATATTGACCATCTTAACTTTGCCTTAACTGGAATTTCAGAACTTTAACTTCTAGAATGAACAAACCTTAAGTGTACAATATGCATTTAATAGGTTTGATATAAGTATAACAAAAGTTTTGGAAAATAACTCACTATCTCAGAACCAACAAGTACATTTTGACCTCAACATTTGCTATTTGCTCTGTCAACAGTGTGGATGATTACTACATAGTACACAAATAATTAAAAGGACATAAAAGAATTTTATTAATAATGCATTAGACCAATCATGGATAACAGAGCAATTTTTTTTTCAGTATTCTAAAGGGAACTACTCAGTTTTACCACAAATTAACTAGATAAAATGTAAATTACCCATTTTAAAAATCTAGTCCACAATGAATATCACTAGTAAAACATAATAAGCAGCAAAAAGAACTGGTAATTGGTCTAATGTACACAGTGAAATTTGTTTTACAGGAAAAATGACTAAATCATGTTATGACTGCAAAAAATTACAAAAGTGGTCAGAGAAAAATTGGACTTAGTAGAAAAATACAAAACAAAATTGACTACAGCAAAAACTAAGCTGGTTTGTTAACAACAAAATTAACAGAAGAAACAAATCTTGACAATATTTTGATCTTCATACATTTATCTAAAAAAACTGAACTTGGAAAAATATCCACAAAAGAAAGGTTACAATAGAAGAAGTTTTCATGATAAAAGTCTTAACACAGATTAACCTGATCAGTGAATTAACTGTTTAATAAAAACTTTACATGATGTCTCTGTGAAAATAATTTCAGGAACATAAAAATACAAACTCCTTAAAACCACCTTATATAAAAACTTAAGCTGGCTAAAAACAGAAATTCTCTCTGAAAAGCATTTACTCAGTGGAGCTCTCTCAATGTTAGTATAAATGTGATTTAAATATTTGTTTTCTTAAACACAGAGGATAAAACTCTAGTGTCAAAACTTGAAAGTTAAAATAACAGGAACCAAATGTCAGTGCCAAAATATTCTGTAACCAGATATTGACTCAAACTGACTGATCTTTTAAATACGATTTTTGAAAAAACACTTAATAACAATCCAAATACAATGGCAGAATAAGAGCAATATTCTTTCAGTTCTCTGAAAATGTACTAGTTCTTATTTCCTCTTTTGTTCAACTTATTAAATGTTCATATAGTGGTCCTCAAGGACTTATTAAAAATTCCAATTCTGGATTCTATCCCCAGAAATTCTGATTTAGGTCCAGTGTAGGATCCAGAAACCTGAATTTTTAACATGCACTTTGAATTAATTTCTTACTTCTCTGGTTTGAGAATCACACTCTGTTCTAAAGATGATCATCTCTACTCAAATACATCCTGGGGAGACAGAGAGATAAGCAGGCAGAAAGAGAAGGGTACAAGGACTGATTACAAACCTTTATAAGCTGGAGCAGGTGGTGCTGTTGCCACTTTCCTGACTTTTGCTGTCACTGAGCTATCAACATTAACAACCATTACTGGGTGGTCAATATGACCCAGATTCTGGCCCCGGCCATTTGTTTCTTCTGAGTGTTCCCACTGTTTCCTAATCCGCTCCTTGAGTTTCTCCAGTTTGACATCATGTTGTCGCCGCTTTAAGATATCTAATCTTTGGGAATTAGAAGTACTCGTAGAAGAGGGAGAAGAGTCAGTTAGCCGTAACACTTTCGGATCAACATCATGGCCCATGTTACTGACAGAAGCCTTCAAATTGTTCTCATTTCCTTTTGTTCTATTAGGCTTTTCTTCCTCAGTTCTCATAGGAGTTGCCATCTTTATCAAACTTTCCGAATTTTGCAATGCATCAATTGCTGGTCGATCATTTAAAAACCTAACAACAGTATCATTCATGACAGATGACTGGGAACTCTCAAAATCACAGCAACGTATATTCCGTTCTTCTCGATTGCTTACAATCCGATTCCCATTCTCAGGCTTTTCTTCAGTAACATCCACACAATATACATGCTTTGACTCTAAAGGGCTGGGATTTACATTGGAAGGTGTGCCATGAATTTCCCTATTATTAAAAAATAATAAGTTTTAAACAAAAAGTACAAAAACCAGTCAAACTGAAACCAGTCTTACAAATGGAGAACTCTAAGCTAAAATTAGAGACCAAAAGAAATCCAGAAATTCCAGTAGGTTAAAACTAATAAAATAATCATTACGAATATTAAGACTCAATGACCACCCCTCTATCAAGTTCTAAACCATAATCTGCATATTATAAAATAAGAAAAATGCAAAAGATATGTGGAGAGATTTCTTTAAGAATGACAGAAAATAGGATTACCATCTGATTTTGGATATTCATCTGACACCTTTTATAAAATGTGTATTTTACTCCTTTATGAAAACTTAAGTACTAGAAAAAAAAGTTCTCAAATACGGGCATTTCACGTGTGTAACTTCTAAATAATGTACTAAATTAACAAACAGACTGGGAGCAGAAATAAAGTAAAGGTACAATAAATATTTTCCTTCAAATAAATGTGGTTAATGAAGTCAAACCTCTCTGAACCACAGACCACTATTTTGGCAGCTTCAAACTATGTAAAGCATATCTAGAAACTCTGGAGCAAGCCAAAAGACTAGACATAGCCAAAGTACATATCACAATGTCCATATTCTCTATTCATAAAAACACTAGCAAAAATCTTCCTTCAGAGACTATTTTTATTTTATACATCATTCTAATAAGTTATATTTTAGGAACAGAAACAGTTTATTAAAAGGGAGGTTAATGAAGGCAAAAAGGCCTCAAGGGTAAGAACACATGAATCATGAAAAAATACCCAACAAAATTATAAAAGTATACAATAACAATCCAGACCTGCAAGTCTGAAAGAGTAAACATTAGCCACCTGTGGCTAGCAAGCACCTGAAATGTGGTTAGTCCAAATTGTGATGTGCTATAATGTAAATTACATAAATTCAAAAGATTTAAAACAACAACAGCCCAGCTGGTGTGGCTCAGTGGACTGAGCATGGTCCCATGGACTGAGAGGTCCCGGTTTGATTCCTCGTCAGGGCACATGCCCAGGTTGCAGGCTCGATCCCCAGTAGGGGGCGTGCAGGAGGCAGCCAATGGATGTTTATCTCTCACATCGAAGTTTCTCTCTTTCCCTTCCTCTCTCTCTAAAAGAGTCAATAAAAACATATTTAAATAAATAAAATAAAACAACAACAACAAAAGAATGTAAAACATCTTTGTGTGTGTGTGTGTAACTACTAAAAATGTTTAGATTACACATGTGGCCACATTTAATGGGCCTATTTTATAGCATTAATTTTGATGTTTCATGCTGGTGGGGAATACTAGACTGTGGGCCGTATAAGGCCTATGAAATAAATACCAGCTAACATCAACACCTCACCACATTAGCCTGACCAAATATAGCAGACTAATTTTTAAGTTGATAATTTTATATGGCCTGCAAATGATGTTATAAATATCCAAATGGCCCTTGGCAGAAAAAAGGTTCCCCATCCCTGAAAACTCTGCCTCAAAAATTCTTATAGCCAAGACTATGACAGCATAGTATGGTAATTATATCTATTATATCTATTGTGAGTATTTGAGTATGCATATTTTTCTAAGGAGATCGTCTACAGCTTTCATCAGATTCTCACTGGATTCCATTAGATTTCCTCAGAAAACATTAGACTGATTATTAGAGTGGCTGATTATTCAACAAGATGGGGTCTGAGAACTGAGTCCTGTAGCTTCCACTAGACAGCAAGACTAACTGCAGTTATTTTCACTATCTTGACCAGAATGTACCAATTCACAGTTAAAATTATTTGGTCTAAAATTAGCACACATAGAGAATAAAATAAAGCATAAAAAGACAGGTTACATATCTTAAAAAGGGAAGAACATTGAGAAGGAAGGAAGGAAGAAAGGAAGGAAGGAAGGAAGGAAGGAAGGAAGGAAGGAAGGAAGGAAGGAAGGAAGGAAGGAAGGAAGGAATTCATTTACTAAATATTTGCTAAATACATATAAGGGTGTTCACTATACAATTCTTTCAAGACGTCTATAAATATGAAAATGTTCATAATAAAATGTTGGGAAAAATATTTATGGAATGCTTAGTAAATGATAGGCATTAAGATAGAGCTTTGAGAATAAGATTTACAGCCTTTTATAAACTAATGCAATGGAATCAAAATATCATACAATATGAAAGAAAATGCTCTAATAAGGGAAGTTATATAGTATTATGGCAGCACAGAAGAAGGGTTAAATAGGCTGGGGGAATAGAGTGGGGTAGAAACAGATCTCACAATGTTTCATACAGAAGGTGATAAAAGATGACTTTGAAGTGATAAATGGAGTTGGCCAGGTAAAAGGCATTCTATTCACAGCTATCTTATAGGCAATTTTTTTTCTTAAAAGATGCATACTTTACACAATTTTAAATATTAGGTAGTATTCTTAGCAGGAAGGACATTAGAATATGTATAAAGAGTACTTTTAGTTTCAATTCTGATAGTGATTATGTTTCTAGGCAAGTTGCTTAATATTTTTGTGGCTAAAGATTCTGAACCCTGATTATTTTTCAAAAATTTCCTTTCTCTTTTTTCTAATCTATGAACTTTTATCCAGATTAAGCCCCTGGCCTTCTCTTTACATTATCTTCACCATTTTCATCACTACAACACTAGTGACAACTCCCAAATTTATATTCCCAGCCCTGACCTTTCCACACACATTCTATCCAAATTTTCAAATGCTACTGAATATTTTCACCTAGATATTTCAAAACTGTATCAAATTGAACACATTGAAAACTGAACTCATAATCTACCTCCATATCCCAAATTCTTTCTCTTAAATTTAAGAATACAAACATATTCCCAGTACTATCAAGCACCATCATGAAACTCCTTGATTTATTGATTGACTTTTTAAAACACTAAAAATGCTTATAAATACAACAAAGAAATATAAGCTCCAATATTTATTACTTATTATTATTTGCTATACTAAGAGCACAAACACATCTATATCATTAGTAGAATGTCCGTCAAACAAATACAAAATTTGATAATTTTATCTGTTAAATATCCTAAATTATCAGCTAATCAAAAATGCAAACCATTTTATATCATCTATACTATCAAAATTCATGCATCAGGCTTGAACATCTGACTAAATAAGTTGCTGAAAAAAGCCAATGGCAAAAGGTTAAAACAATAAACCAATCCACATTCTCAAGAAGAAATTTTAGGCAACTAATGCTATCAAAAAAAGAAAAAAACCACGTATACAAAGTTCATTACGTAAATATCCAATCTGAGATACTACAATGGTGATCGTGGCCTCCAGCAAATAAATAGTCTTCACTCACAAAATATTTAATCAGTAAAAGTGAAAGTCAGTGTTCCATAATATTAAGAATGTTTGCTTTATTTATTTATTTTAATGTAAAGGTAATAATACCAGAACCAGAGTGTTATGAAAATCTCAGAAAATAAACTATAATATTACTGTAAATACTACAGGCTATTCCTATTTGATAACTTTTTTAAAAAAGACACTAACCTAGCCCTGGTTGGTTTGGCTCAGTGGTTAGAGCATCGGTTCGCAGACTAAGGAGTCACAGGTTTGATTCCGGCTAAGGGCATGTACCTCGGTTGCAGTTAGGTCCCCAGCCCTGGTCGGGGTCGTGCGAGGGGGCAGCCAGTCGATGTGTCTCTCTCACATCAATGTTTCTCCCCCCCCTCTCTCTCGTTCTTGCTCTCTCTCTCTTCTTCCCTCCTTTCCACTCTATCTGAAGATAAATGGAAAAAAAATATATCCTCACGTGAGGATTAAAAAGAGACACTAACCTGTAAGAAGCCAAAGGTTCACGGAATTCCACACGATTATTTTTCTTTACATTACTCTCTAGGGTGGTGACTCTGAGAGGGCGACGAGATTTCTCTTTCCGCGATTTAGAACATTTGGAGGTTGGAGCATTAAGCCAAGAATCATCCAGGTATCTACCATCTGAAAGAAAGAAAAAAATCTGTAAGAACATATGATATAAAATACGACTGTCTCTGAATTTGGCAACGATCTAAGAAAACAACTTAGGTATCTATTATTTCTGGCATTCTAGATGCATATTATATAAGCAAATATAATGTTTATTCAGGTTATTTAAATTATTACAGCAACTCAATCTATAAAGAAAGATTATATTCTGTGCAAATAATGCAAAATAAAATTCAATATATAAAATTCCCTTTTGTCAAAGGCTCTCATTCACTTTAAAAAAATATATCAGTCCTGGCCAGTTTGGCTCAACAGTTAGAGGGTTGGCCCATGGACCAGAGTCTCAGGTTCGATTCTGGTCAAGGGCACGTACCTCAGTTGCAGTTTGGTTCCCAGCCCTGGTTGGGGTTGTGTGGAAGGTAACCAATCGATGTGTCTCTCACATCAATGGTCCCCCCCCTCTCTCTCTCCCCCTCCCTTCCTCCGTCCCTCCCACTCTATCTGAAAATAAATGAAAAAGTATCCTCCAGTGAGGATTTAAAAAAACAAAAAACACAAGTATCAGATAAAACCCTACAGATTCACAGGTTTAAAAAAAAATCACACTTTCAGTGGAGAGTACTAACCTGCAAGTTTTAGACCACAGAATAGGAAACCACAGAATTAAATATATAAGATATAAAGAAAATATTGGCATTGTGCGAATTTATGATAGGATCTATAACAGATATTCCATTTTTGATTTTAAACTCCAACAAAAAATATAAATCTTATTAAGCCAACTAAATTTCAAAGAGATATAAAGACCTGAGATTTAAGGGGGGAAAAAAAAAGACATATAACTCCAGAGGCTCAAAATCAAATTCTCACCACTAAAAATTCCTTGTTGAAGGTGATGCGGTGCTGCTTAAGTCCCTAATTAAAGGATGGGGAAAAAATCACCTACAGTCACTGAATGTGAGGCTGCTTTGTAACTACTCATTACCCAAGGAAAAAGCCTAAATGCTGATGAGGTGTAGTCTCTGACAAGAAAGCAAGCAATACACAAACTATAAGAAATTAAACTGAAACAAAACCAACATGAAAAAGTTGTATCGAATATACTCAGATCTTTTGAAGTAACTCCATACATACCTTTTCTATTTATTTTTCGGGCAGCACTTGCAGAAGATTTCTTGGTATCCATAACAGAATCAAACACAGCTGTACTTGTAGGGGTTACTTCTAACTTGTTTTCAATGTGCCTCAGCTAAAGTTAAATACCACCACAACAAACAGGTTAACTCTATAAATAACCAGCTACTATCAATTTACATAGTTATTTAAAATTATATTGTCCAATACCTTTCTCCAAAGTAGAAAATAACGCAGAAATATTTTACTTTGATGAACAAAAATACAGTGTTTTTATTATGTACTACTTCAGCTATACTAACAACTGGCGCAATGCTGCCCAAATTTAGACAAGAAAATAAAAAAGATTCTGAAAAATATCAAAGTGTTTCTATTTGTCTTGACCTATTTTTTAATTGTTGCATTTCTTAAAACAGTAAAAAATTTCCGTCCTGACTGGTTTGGCTCAGCGGTTAGAGCGTTGGCCCAAGGACCAAAGAGTCTCAGATTCGATTCCAGTCAAGGGCACATACCTCAGTTGTGGTTCGTCCCCGACCCTGGTTGGGTTGTGCAGGAGGTAACCAGTCAATGTGTCTCTCCCACATCAATCTTTCTCTCTTTCTCTTCCTCTCTCTCCCTCATTCTCACTCTGTCTAATGATAAATAGAAAAATATCGTCGGGTAAGGATTTTTTTAAAAAAGGACATATTAGTAAAGTGCCCATAGAACAAATGAAAAAGGAAAGGGTCTCCCTTCGAAGAAACTATGCATCACCTGCCATATATATTTGTATTACTAAACTCCTGACAAGACCGGATACACACAAATGTAAACAGGTTGCTCACAGTCATTCTTCAATAATGCTGAAAGAAACCTGTGTATTACAGCCACACATACACACAAAAGAGGTAACTCAGTCCATTCAAGAAGTAGTTGTTTCTTTCTTTTCCTGACTCTGAGCCTTAGCCCCATCTTCCCAAATTCATTCTGTTTTAAATCTTCATATCAACATACCAAATGAGAAAATTTTAATAAAGAAGAGTGAATAGCACAAATTATTTTAATATTTTACATGCCATAGTGTTAATGTTCCTGATACCTAAAGTGTCTTTATTCTTTTACTAATTAATAGTTGTCATTAATGTTCATTTTATAATATATGCTATATAACTTAACAAAACGTTAACCTTATTTTTCTACCAAAAGCACTATAAAAATTTTTAATCTATTCAATCACATGTAATCAATTTTAAACCAGAAAGAAAGAAATGGAAACTATAACTACTTACAGCAGCCTTGGTCTGAGAAAGTGCATCCCACGATGTGGTTGTATCTGCTGGGGAAGTTTAATATTTACTGAATCAGAATCTCTGAAGTAGACTTCAGAACCTGCATTTTAGTAGGCTCCCAAATACACTTAAAAGTTTGAGAACCACTTTATTAGGCAGAACTATTTTCAACAAGTGCTGTACTATATTGAGCCAAAACATGGTTCTTCCCCATCCAATAAATATGAGCTTCCCAATATATGGTTCAGAGTTGCTTAGTTCAGCTGGACTAACCCCCATTCACACCCTCCTTTCACATCTCCAACAATTTACCCTCATGTGCTGAACAAATACAAAATTTTGTATTGTATGGTAATTCACATTATAATGTGTAAAGATTAGAAAACTACACCGGTCCTGGCCGGTTTGGCTCAGCGGTTAGAGCGTCGGCCTGCGGTCCCGAGAGACCCGGGTTCGGTTCCCGCTAAGGGCATGTACCTCAGTTGTAGTTGTCCCCAGCCCTGGTTGGGTTATGCGGGTGGCAACTACTTGATGTGTCCCTTTCACATCGATGTTTCTCTCTCCCTCCCTCCGTCCTTCCCTCTCTCTCTCTCTCTCTCCCTCCCTCACTCCCTCTCTATCTGAATAAAACATCCAAAAATGTCCTCGGGTGAGGGTAATAAATAAATAAATAAATAAATAAATAAATAAATAAATAAATAAATAAATAGAAAACTACACCAGACTTCGATCTACCAGTAGAAACAAAGGTTAAATCTGTTTAGTCTTTCATGTAACAGCCCTTCGAATAGTATAAGGCCACGTGTTTTCTGCGTCAGTCATCCTTCTCCAGGATATTTTCATTTCCTCCAAACGCTCCTATGTGACATGACTTCCAGATCCCTCACAAACCCATCATCTTCCTCCAGACACATTTCTAGTTTGTCAATGTCTCTCAAAAAATATCACACTCTAAATTAAGGTTACCCCCAAAAGCATCATTTTAAAGAGTTCAACAAGACTATCATTTTCATGATCTGTGCACTATAGATCTATATTAAAAGCTATATATTATTTATTGACATTAGGTCAGAATTTCTAAGAAATTGTATAAAACTAATTTTAGATGTACTGATTCTTTTTCAAAAAGGATTTTTTCCTTTACCATAGAATGCCTTTGAGAGGAGGTACCTTGGATCTTTAAAACAAAATTAAATTTTTTAAATTATTTATCCCCTTTTATAAATCAAAGCATATGTATAATTTTCATTTATTGATTAACCCAGAATTTTATACATATAACCTAAACAAGGAATTAAGTTCAGTTTTTTAAAAAAAAACAAATCAGCCCTGGCCGGTTTGGAGGGTCAACCTGCGGTCCAGAGAGCCCCGGGTTCGGTTCCCGCTAAGGGCGCGTACCTCGGCTGCAGTCTGTCCCAAGCCCTGGTTGGGTCGTGCGGGTGGCAGCCACTCAATGTGTCTCTTTCACGTCGATGTTTCTCTCTCTCTCTCTTCCTCTCCCTCCCTCCCACTCTATCTGAACAAAAAATAGAAAAATGTCCTCGGGTGAGGATAAAAAAAAAAAATCATACCTTGAACAGTATCCTTGCTTTGAGAGTTCCTTGGATTTGGTAAAGGCACCTCTTTTGATTTGCTGCTCCTCATTCTGCCAATTTACCTGCAATCGTATTAATAGCATTCATTGAGCATCAATATAATAACGTTAGTAAAGAAAATGCCCTGGCTTACCCTGCCTTTCATTAAAGTCAAAAAAGGATTTTGTCATCTCTAAAAGTTATCTTTATACCCTCTCTTAAGAGTTTCTAATATCTGCCCTGGCTGATTTGGCTCAGCGGTTAGAGCGTCAGCCCCAGGACCAAAGAGTTGTGGGTTTGATTCCAGTCAAGGGCAAGAACCTCAGTTGCAGTTCGATCCCCAGCCCTGGCCCTGGTCGGGGTCATGTGGGAGGTGGCCGGAAAAAAAAAGAGTTCCTGATATTCTATCTAAGTAGGTCTGTTCTGTATATAATAATATATATAATGTATAAGAATAATCATTTTCTATAAAAATAGAAAAAAGATTGTAAGAAAAGTACAATGAAAGGAAATCTCTTCATAAAAAGAAGTGAATCTAGTATGTCAAAATTCTATCTTTGAAGTATAAATTTTAATTTGCAAAATGCTTTTTCTAACCACTTTAAACTGTTCACCAAATCAAACAGATTAAACATACTCAAGATCATTTCTTGGGCAATAATGAAACTATCTTCTCAACAAATTTATTCTAGAGCCATATGGGAATTTTAGAATTTATATTTACTGAACATTTGTGTATTCTCTTTTGCCTGTTAAATCTATCAAGAACTAAGAGAGGTAGACAGTACTGTCTTTAAAAATATGCTTCCATAAGCTGCTAAAAAAGTTTTTAAGATATTTTTCTTAACTTTTCTTTCTCTCTCTCTTCCCTTTGCCTCTATTCAGATCATCATCTTTAGCCCAAATTATGGTAAAAAGCTTCTTAAATTGTTCTGCTCCTAATCTAGTCTTCATACTGCAACCAAAGTTATCTTTCTAAAACAGAACCTAGCAAATCTGCTTTTATAACTCTTTGATGACTGTCAACTCTGGGATAAAGTTCCAAATTCTTAGCATGATGAAACTTGGAAGCTTTCACAAAACCTTAATTCACAGTCTTACCCCTTGCTAGCTTCACTGTATACCCATTATTCCCATCAAACAGCCATACCTAGAGGGCATTCTCTGAGCACCCAGAAATTTTCATTATCACCGCATCTTCTTTTCCTAAATTTTCTCTGGCATTAATACCCTTCAAAGCCAAACTCTGTCATCTCCTATAAACTTTTCACAGACTGTCCTTGAACAGAATTACTACTTCATGTTTCCCACAGCACTATGTGAATTTTTTTTTTTTTTTTGTATGTGTCCCTAGCGGACACCGAACCCAGGACTCTCCGGTCCACAGGCCAACGCTCCAACCGCTGAGCCAAACTGGCCAGGGCACTACGTTAATTTTTTATAGCCCTTATCATTACACACACACACACACACACACACACACACACACACAATCATTCATTCATTCATTCATTCATTCATTCAATGAACACTAGTTGAATACTTAACCCTCACAATCTAATAGAAGAGACACATATAAACAAATGGTTAATATACCATGTGATTATATAATAAATTTACAAATAGCATATATGTAACAATGTCCCCACAAAGCTATCCTTAAGGACTACATCTTCTGATTCATCTTCATATCGACAGAGCCCTTCAATGAACAGATAAACAAATGGCAGTGTTGAAATCTGTTAGGATCTCAATTTAAACAGAAAAGAATAAAAGGCAGGGTTGCACCCTGGGCGGTTTGGCTCAACAGTTAGGGCGTCAGCCCGTGGACCAAAGAGTCGCGGGTTCAATTCTGGTCAAGGGCACATACGTCAGTTGCGGCTCATCCCCAGCCCTGGTTGGGGTCCTGCAGGAGGCAATCAAACGATGTGTCTCTCTCACAGTGATGTTTCTCTCTCTCTTCTTCTCTCTCTCCCTCCCGCTCTATCCAAAAAAAAAGGAATAGAAGGTTGGGTAAATCAATAAAAGTGACTCAAAAACATGACCTAAAAAACAAGAGGTGGTTAAAAAGCCAGGCTGGAAAACTACTCATAAGAAAGGAAGAACAACACAACATACATTACTAGGTCCATAAGGTAGGAAAAAATAAAGAAATGAAAAAGAAGGAAATGGAATTCATATACTAATTTACAAGTAGCCTGTAAGAATTTACGGTCAAATTACTAAGCACACACACACACACACACACACACAGCATAATTGCCTTTGCTGATGATAACAGAGAAAAAAAGAGGGTTACAGGTGGCCATATAAGCTAAATGTATGATGCCATGGAAACAATGGGAGTCATTTGATAAAAGCACATCACCAATGTGAAATGAATCAGAAATGAATCAGAAGACTGGAGCAAATATAAGGTAATTGTTCTGGCTATAATCAAGTAAAAACCTAATTAGGATTAGGTCAAACAATGGTACAAGAACTATGTATAAACTGTATTGGAGGTTCATTTATTCACTCTCTGGACATGAACAAGGTAATGAGCAGTTAAACTGGAGCAATAAAACATTGCCATCTAGAGTCACTGAACATCAGAAACACTCAAAAAGGGAGAAGACATTTCTCTCAGCTACTTACCCAGAGCAAAAATTCACCATCAGACCCATGGCTTCAATCTCACACAAAAAATCTTAGTGTTTCTTAGAGGGGAATGGTGTGGCCCCAGCTGAACTGATTCTTTGCAGGAATTATTAGAGAGGTAATACCAGGCTACAACTAGGCAAACGCATCTACCTTGCTAAGAATTCTGTTTGTTAGCAATCCAGTTGCCTGATTCTGGAAGTATGCTGATATCGCTGAATGCCCATCCTCAACAGACCTGAACTCTACCTGACCTACACTGAAACCCAGTAGCAAAGATTCCAAGGTGCACAGTATCCAATGGACAGTAAGCAGCCAGAATCCTAACACAGAAATTGAAAAAACTGAAAACAGAAATGTAAGCACACTGTCCTACATCATATTTGATTAATTTAATCAGGAAAGTTAATGTCTTCAGTCTCCTAAAACCCATACCATACTATTTCTTCTAAAACCCTATAACTAAAATGAGCTGAAAGGGAGAAGTGGGCTCCTAATACTTACTTTTCCCTCTATTATCTATCATCTCTGCTTCTTTCACTCTCTAGTACAGTCTCACTTAAGAAAATTTGCTTAAAATTAAAGAAATGTTGATATTTATTCCGTAAAATACAAATCTGGCATAGTCTCTTCCAATATCAGTAGTATATTTTTCTTTTTCCCATTCACCTACTATTTTGTTTTATAATATTTTCCCTCTTAATTTCCTGTTTACCATATTAATCTCTTATCTGATTTCCTCTCCTCCCTTTCTCACCTTTAATTACCTTATTTTTATATCTACTATTCCTATTTATACCATACATGTTTATGATGAACTTCTCTAAACCTAAAAAAGATATTATCTGTATAAAAAAATATATAATAGCCCTGGCCAGTTTGGCTCAGCGGTTAGAGCGTCGGCCTGCGGTCCGGAGAGACCCGGGTTCGGTTCCCGCTAAGGGCACGTACTTCGGTTGCAGTTTGTCCCCGGCCCTGGTGGGTCGTGCGGGTGGCAGCCACTCGATGTGTCCCTTCACGTCGATGTTTCTCTCTCTCTCTCCTTCCTTGCTCTCCCTCCCACTCTATTTGTACAAAATATGGAAAAATATCCTCTGGTGAGGATAAAAAATAAAATAAATAAAAAAAATATATATATAATAAAATTTCTCTCAAAATTCAAAAAGACCTTTACCACACTGAATAAGATATGCAATATATACACGTATGTATACGTATATTTGAATATATATTTATTAAAATATAATAAGATAATATAGTTCATTTTTTTTTAAATCTGGGTACATGATGTGAACTGGTATTAAGATTAATGCACAAAACATAAGTCTTTGATGCCAGTATACTGTCAAAATGCATCTTTATTCATCGTATCTGCTAATTGTTTAATCCATGTCAAACAGAACCAAACAGAAAACATCCTTTGTATCTGAATATATTTCAAATAACAATACTTTAAAATCATTACTCCCCCGCCACAAAACCTCTGTAACTAGTTTTTAAGCCTATAAAGAAAACTCTCTCTCGAATAACCCATATATATATATTCCCAATCATTCCTACTGCAAGTGAATTACAGAACAGCCACACACTGCCTTCCTCCAAGCAGTTGCAGAGTTCTTGTCTCCTGAGCCTGCTTTCTCAAAAGCAGCTCTAGGAAAATCACCTGGATAACATGTTAAACAGAGATGCCGAGGCTCTACCCACAAGAGATTCTAAATCAGTGGGTCTCAGAAGAGTCAAAATACCTGTATTATAAAGGTCTACAAAGATCTCAAAATACATCAGCCTAAGAGATTATCTTCAATTCTACTCTTCAAAGTCTGAAGCCTCCAAAAATACTGTTGATTCCATAAAGATAAGCATCAGCAGAGATAACTAATTCTATTCCCCAATCACCTGAGACCATCTTTCTTCTGAAGCTCCAAAACGCTTAATAGCAACAATCCCTTTAAATCAGAAGCCAAAAATGACAGACCTCTGACACTATGGGGAGGACCACGCGAGCAGTTAATAATCATAGCTATCATTTTCTGTGTTCCTTCTCAAACAAGGACCACATTGTTTTCCATATATTATTTCTAATCTCCATCACAACCCATGAGGCACCTATCCATATATCCATTTCACTGATGAAGAAACAGTATCAGACAGACCAAAGAACTAGTCCAAGGTCATTCAGCTAATAAGTAACAGAACTGAAAATACATTCTCTCTCTCTCTCTCTCTCTCTCTCTCTCTCTCTCTATCTCTCTCTCTCTCTCTCTTTCTCTCTCTCTCTCTCTCAAACCTCTGAAAGCCTCTAAGGGTCATTCACATAATGCCTCTCATAATATTCAAACTCAGCCACCATCTATAACACAACCTCATCCTCTCTTATAATTCCATCACAAGGCACCTTGCTTTCCCACCTACATTGTATCCTCTTTAGAACCTCTGTTCCATTAATTTCAATGAACTTTTAACTTCTTTTA